ATTCGAAGTTTAGACAAAAACTCACGCCTTATTTCGCACTTTTACTGGATACCAGTCCTTGAGCAAAAATTAAACACTTGAATTCTTCAACCGTAATCTCTGCCAATCTGAAATTGTCACAATGTCTATTCACTATAGATGCATAAGTTAAGTAATCCTGATCGTCGGATTTAGCGACATTCATGCATAACCATCGCTATGCCAAAGCGACATATTTGCTCCAAACAACTCCTTTCTTAATTTCACTGTTTCCGAGAATTCCAATTCATTTGTTCTTCTCGGTAGAATAAAATCTACAAATTTGCTATGTTCTGCTGTACCTAGCTTTCTTAGTAATAGACTGACTTTTCTTGAATTGACCAGTTTTCACAGTCTGTGTGGAAAATATCTTCATATCGTTTAAAAGCACGCTTCAAACGTTTTTCCTTCGTCTGGCACATAGTTGAAAGTTTCCAACGAATTAAATATGATGTTATTAGAATATGAAGAGTTACTTTCATTTACCTGAATGTTGTTTAATTTCTCCAATGTTAACTTTTGAATTTCCAAAACCGTGACATACATTTCTTCCTGTTCCTTTGACGTTGCTGACTCAACTCCTCTTGCCTTTCTTGATAATTCTGCTGTGCTAATTGTTGTTCTCTTAATAAGGCAACCTGTTCACTTTGTTGTTGCAGACTCAACTGCTGGGATTTGAATAATTCAGCTTGACTCAACTGCTGGGCTTTAAACAATTCAGCTATGACTTTGGATAATTCCTCCATTTTAACTGATAGTGTTCATGCAACAAAGAATATACTTTTAAATTGTGTATCCACGAATATACTATAAGCAGACAAAACAAAATTGAAACAACATACGCCTTTTTTAATTTTATGTCTTGCTTTATAAAATATTGTTGAGCAACCAAACAAACAAAAAATAACAAATTTTTTTTTTTTTTTTTTTTTTTACAATTCGCTTACCTTTCAAAGTCGACACGTGGTATTTGTGCTCCTTTTAATTCCATGCATGTTTTTTTTTTTTATTCGGCCAGCATTTTTTTTTTTTTTTTTTAGTATTAGCATTTTTTTTTTTTTTCGCCGTTATTTGTTTACGCCACCTTCCAGATTTTTCTGAGTGTACGTTCCTTTAAGCTTAGTCGTCCTTTAACTAGTTTTAACTGTCCAAACTTCAGAATACTTTTCCGTTCCATTAGATGTTCGACTTTTAATTAATGATTTTTTTTTTTTCCAGCCTGGGTTCTTCCACTTGTCCCAATTATTGAAGGCTATCAATTATTAATTCTTTTTTTTCGAAACGTAAAAGTTCTTTATACCCGTCGCCATTGTTGAAGCTTAAATAAGCATGGAATAATACAACACAAAATGTACGTTAACAAAATGTATTGAAACAAAGAATAGGTACACAATATTTACAGTTAGTTTGGTATATTCTTGGGAAGACTGTTCCTGCATAATGGGTTGACTAAATCACTTGAGTCGGGCAGAGTCTCTGGATTCAATTTCTTAATCTCTACTATCTTCCCCGTCTTCCGGTACCAACCCATATTTATATGGTCGGTAGTCCGCTTATGTAAATTAGGTGTATCATACACAACAAACACCTAATTATTATACCACCAAATTTATAAATCATATTCAAAGTTCAACCAGAACAAATCACACTAATCTTGTATGAAATCTTTCATCATAAATTTATTTCTTCCTGTTTGTTTTTCAATCCTGTTTATGACATTCATTTTCCTCTACTCTTTCATTATTTACATCATTCAGACTATTGTCCTCATCATTATTGTCACGTTCACATTTGTGCATTCCAGGGATTGGCAAAGGTCAAGTTCTTTTTCCACAGTTTTTTGTGTAACATCTAAGCTATGCTTAGAAAATTGCGATAAACATTGTATACACAAATACTCAATATTTATAAACAAGCATTTTTTTTTCTACAGTAAAAATGTTTGATTCGAAAAATGCACTTCATGATTACTGAATTAAAATTAGCCATGATAGATGGGCTTACATGATCAAAGTTTCTTTCCTTTGCTCATCCATGTGAGACAGTTATTTCTTTTTTAAAGACTTTTTTTTTCTTTACATGATTTACATTTTTCAGACTGTTGTCCTCATCTTTATTGTTGCACTCACAATGTTTCAGTCATTGTATGTTTCGGCCTTCTTCAGGTGATATTTGTTTGAATTTCAAACCAAACCCAGAATAGACAATAAACAATAGAATGTTGGAATTTCTGAAGATTGGTTCAATGATGTTTGTGTAGACATTTTTCCCATGTTTATTTCCTGAAATTGGCTGACATTCACATTCCTGGGTTGCTCAACAAAGTCACTGAGAATCTGTACCATTTCGTCCACCCAACACTTTCAAATATCGTGACAACAAACCACACAATGTCAATAGTGTAACTAGATACAACACACCTCATCTTAAAAATTTAGACAGATCTCTTTCATTATCATTAAATTTTAGAAAGATCAGTCTTTTGTTGGAAGAACTGAAACTTTAGGGGATCTACCTTTCAGCCTGGGCAAAACTGCTTGCTGTCTTACCTCAATTCTGTTACTTTCTTCCATTTGATTATCTGGTTTGGTATCATCTTTGAAATCACAGCTCACTATTTGCTTGACTGTTTATTCAGTGTTTATTTTGCAAGACAGATGCTGGATTATTGTCATAATCTTGTTTGTCCCATGTTTGCCAGAATACATTCGCAGAGTGGAAGGGGGTATTCTTTTTTTATGTCCCACTCTTGTACGATATGATATCGCCTAGAATTCTTTCTCGGTAATGACTTGTATTCCAAAATATTTTTCTTGTTGAATGTTGAGTTTATTGGCCACAGTCTCACAAGTAGAACAGTGCAGGAAATCAATACTTTAGATCTGAAAAAAAGATTGAGATTTCTTTCATTTAAAAACAAAACAAAAAAAAAACACTTGGTTGGAACTATATCCGTTTATATAAAAAAACAAACCCTCTTACGACAAACAATGAGAAAATGCTTTCAACCAAGATAAAAATTAGTGGTCAGGAACTTAAAGTAGTAAGGCATTTTATATATCTTGGCTCAATTATCAGTGAAGGGGACTCCAGAACAGGAATATTTTCAAGTGCAGTACAAAGGCAGCTGTTGCAAAACTAAAAACCAACTGAAATGACAAGAAAATCTGTTTAAAATCAAAGATCAGACTATTAGGTGCATTGGCCATCTCAATCTTTCTGTATGCCTGCAAATTTGGGACATTATCAGAAGAATTATGGTAATGAATACAAGCATTAGAAATCTGATGCTATAGAATCATCCTAGGTGGTCACCTAGGATGATTCAATTGGACCCCGTCAGGTTATCTTGCTCTAGACACAACATTACAGTTATAGCTGAAGTACATGTGGTACTCCTACAACCCTTATGGGTTACAGGTTTGAGAAAATAAAAGCAACATTGAATTTCTCTCTAATATTTCCAGGAATTCTTGGTCTTTTACAATTGCACACCCAAAATAAAGATACCTGCCTTGACTGCATCAATAATTATGTCCACACTAATGCCTGCAAGAATAGAAAAGATTGTATAGCCTCACTCACTTCTGCGAACACTTCTCTTTGTTCAAATTTGTAATTCTTTTTACCTTCTGACACTTTGATGTTTGCTCTGATATTGTCTGGCAACATTTCCAGAAAATACTCCTACTACTTATCTTTGGAAACGGTTTCCGATGCTCCCCTGGCCAGAACTACAGGTCTCAGAGTTTTATGCAAAAATAAAGTGCCATTTTCATTTAGCTTTTAAATTATTAGCACATTCACAAATCCCATAATCCTTCATATTATAGGGGTACAGCACATCTACTGCAACCATAGCAACAATGATATTTCTTGGGTAAGACAGCCCGACTGGGCCCAAACCTTTCCAGGCTAATGAAGTACAATACTTGTTATATATATTGTTATGCTTGATGGTTTTCGGAACCTTTTCTCCTAATAGTCACTAGCCCAATAAAATATCTGCAGCCACAGACAATACGCCTGGATGATCTACTACTCACCATCCTGGGTATGACAATAAACCACATCTAGTAGCAAAGTGTTCACCCAGGAAGTTTTGAGAAGCATGGAATCAACTCTTAATGGCTGTTGTTCCCAGATCCACCCTTACCTGGGGTGGTAGCACCTGTTAGGGTCCCAGCTATGAGCAAATAGTTTACCCCATGCAGATTGGGGTCAAAACCTGTGAAAGTATAAACATTTTTATAGTAAAAAATACCGGCAATACATTTTTGTAAAAGAAATTACGAATGCTCCCAAGAAAATTAAATTTTTATATTAAATGACCCATAAGGAGTTGATATGACACTAAACAAACAAACCTATTATTAGCCCCTAATGGTTGATTAAGTTTCCATCCAGTACAATGATCAAAGTTTCTATTTGCCTGCACTTTTCTTGAATATCTACCAACTTCTACTGGAGCACAGATAAGGCCATCTGCTTGACCAAGAATCGAATTGAAATACACTTCATCGAACACTTCTTCTGTTACTTCAGTTTCTAATACATTTCGTTTGTGAATGATGGCTACAATTAGTTCTCCTCAATTGCTGGAACCTTCTGATCAATGGAAATAACAATGGAATAATCTCTTGTCACTTGAGTTTTTCTGTGTCCCAATGTTGAAATTCTTCTTTCTCAATGTTTAATTGGCTTCCTGTAGATTCCAAATAGCCTTATTACAGAAATTCTGTCTCTTTGTTTCTGCCATTCCCTTTAGAGCAAGCAACACATGTCTTCTGCTTAACAACTAGTTCAAGGGCTATAACTCCTCTTAAGTGTAACATTTAAAAATCACATGACTTTGTTTTGATATGCTGTTTGATTAAAACAAGTTTATGTAAGAAAATAAAGTTGCTTTTTTATTATTCTTCTTCTTATTATTTATTTCAGGGAAATGGATTTACGAACTGATGTTGGGTTCAAAAGGTGTCATGCAGATTGGTTGGTGTACAATCAATTGCCAATTCTCACAAGAAGTAAGAATTTCATTTTTTTTTTTTATCATTTCACCCCATGCAAGATAGTAAAGCCACTAAGACACAGGTGGATACTGATTGTGAAAGAATAAGACAAAAGAGAAACATTATTAAGGAGTAAGAGCAATAGAAGAGTAATCAAGAAGACAGTAGATAACAATTGACATTGCATTTAAATTTTTGAAGATCAAAATTGGCTGGAAAGCATGGAGCCAGAACAGAGTTCCAGAAGCGAGGAAAGAAACTGGTCAGCATAGAGCTTACAGTTACATCTAGCAGCCAATCTAGTACTGCTCTTAAATTCATTAAGTCTAGGTACCATAGTGAAGAAATCATCCAAAGAATTACCATGAAAGTATTTATAGAAAAGGCACAGGAAAACTACATTACATTGGTGAGAAAGTGGCTGAAGCCAAAATGCCAGGTAAGAACCAATAATATTGGTGATTCTTCTTTGGATTTTATCAAGAATCTCTAGATATACATAATGCGCACCAGACCATATATGGCAATGAGATTCAAGGCTTGGACAAATGGTAGACTTATAAATATGTAAGATAGATTCAGGAGAGAAAAATTGTCTAGCACAATACAGTGAATGAACTTTCTTAGAAGCAGACCTAACAATTGATTTAATATAATCTTTCCACTTCCTTTCAGCTGAGAATGTAAGCCAAGAATGTACAATGAGTCATGGAGATTAGTATTGGCCAGGTTGATGGCAGGCAGAATGAGGTTTTCAGGTGATTGAGAGAGAAAAGTTACATTTTGGAGGCATTAAAATTAACAAGCTATTCCTTGCTCCATTCCTGTAGATCATTTCTGAGATCAGCTGCCAATTTGATCTTATCAAACTGATCAGCCTTGCTAGCTTGGCTGGATTAAGTGGTTGTTAACAGGCATAGATACTGAGTTGAGAACTGAGGAGTTTTTTTTGTCTTTGTTTTCTATTTATTCACTATTAAAATAAAAAAAATAGTTTTATTTTGAGAAAAACAAAGAAAATATAAGAGAGAATCTAATATTCAGATCTTGAATGATTTCTTTGTATCATATACCAAAATATGACATTTACAAAAAAAACATTTATTTGGACAATGATTTTCATCTAAAATTCAGTGGTGTACCTAAGGGATGCCATTTGTCCATCACTTGAAGATAGCGCCACTGAGCAAATTCTATTAAAGTTAGACAAGACATCACTGTTTGGAAAAGTCATTGTTATCTCCAAAAATTCCTAATATGATATTCACTGGGTGGGGGATATTCTTACAGTTCAAAAATATCTTTTGATTTTAAATAACCTACAAAGGATTGATAAGCTGTAAAAACAAATCAATCAAATATTCAATCCTAGAAGATTTTTCTGGTTAATTAAGGCTTTCCCCCAGTTATGGGTTAAGTAGTAAATTAAAGCCTTCAAAGGAAGAATCTGTATGTTACTTGGCATGTAGCTCCCACTTAGTTTGTTTCATACTATATAATTAGTGCAAATCTATAATTAGCATAATTATAGATTTTTATCAATTGAATGTCTCAGTGTTTCTCTCCCCAGTTTAAATCAAAAGTTAAAATAGCATTTTTACTGCAAAATATTTGCAGTCCAAAGCAACTCTCTGTTTGCTTTCTTCAATGGAGTTGCATGCTTGTCTTTCATTTTTGCATACAATTTAATAATTATCAACATCACATAGGAAAAGAATGGATTCAGTAGTTGGAATAATATTTTTAGGTTGGTTCGTTAATTTAATCTTATTAGGATATTAAATACTGAAAGTAAGTCTAAAAAAAACAAAAACCACAATTAATAGACATGTGTCTAGTTTACTCTAGGGTTTAAAAGTAGATGCAAGTTTGGTTTTCACCAGTGTGAAAAATGTAGCCATACATTTTATACTAATAATATCAAAAGGATGGATGTTGTTATCCGGTCAGATATTTGACCAGCAGTTCAATTTCATTGCTAGTTATGGATACTATTTTTCCTTAGATAAACTCCTGGTGAAATTTAAACATTATTGAATAAATTTAAAATTATTTTCAATATACTTCTCATTGTGTAAATATTGAGCATTACAAATTTTGAGGTGCTCTTAAATAGAAGCGAATTAAAATCTGGATTTTATTTTGTTGTTATGGTGAGAATAGAAATTCATGAGATAATTTTTATTACTTTATTTTCAAACGACACTTTTAAATCATTATCAATGCAGTTTAACATCAGGTCAAGGAAAGCTAACATTTGTTTCTGTTTCATAAATAAATTTACACATTTTATATTCTCTCGTTAATTTACAAATCAAGTAATATTAAATATGTCAGCCAATATAAATAAATAGAATAACATCTAATGAATGAATCTCTTAAAATCTAAACTACTTGGCTTAATTGAAATTTTACATCTAAAAGTTGCATTTGATAACTTCTCTGTTTAGACCTATTTTTAAAATTTATGCATTATGAGTACTTGTATACCATTTTGCTTTCATGACTTTTCAGCCAGTGTTAAATGGTCAAGAGTTTTTTCTTTTATTTGGCATGGATTTATGTTCAGACGAAGGCAAAGAAAATAATCAGGAAAATTGTTTTGATGAGATAACCCAACTTCCCCATTCACGATAATGGACGTTCTGGTGGCCGATAAAGTACGACCACAGTAAACAGTAGGGAGGGACAAAAAAAGAAGGTCTTCGTTTACTAACACCATTGCGGTTAGCTTACTCCTACGCTGTCTCTGTATTTTGACATACCTACATCCGATTATAAAATTATTATTGAAAACCACACTCGGGTTTACTTTGTTTATTATATCTTGTACGAGATATAACAAAAATATACTTCCAAATATACTTCAAATAAATTTTGTACAGCTTGAATAGATTTATCCACCCGTTTATCTGTTGTGTTCCCCAGTATTACAAACATGTTAATAGTCAGCTATCAAATGACCTCCACCTGACTGAAAAAAAACCACCTTTTCTGTCATTTGTTTTCTTTAAGGAAAGCATTTTTCATCTTAAGTTTCCCAAACTTTAGCTAATCCTTCATTTATATAAAACTCATAATTTACAAGAGCAGATTTTTTTTTTAAACTCCTTAGATGCAAGGTGGTTTACTGGGAGTGAAAGAAAATGAGAAAATTTCAGTTAGGTGCAAGAATAATAAAAGAACATGATTCAGAAAGTCAGAAGATGATGATTGACATTGCATTTAAATTTTTGAAGATTGTGGGTGGCAGGAAAGCAAGAAGCCAGAAGAGTTCCACAGGTAAGAAGTGCAAGAAAAGAAAGTATTACAATAGGACTTATGGTTACATCTAGCTATTTCAACAGTAAATAGCTGTCAATCTATCAGTACACTTATATTCATGCAGTCAATGTACGAAGGAGGAGAGTGCATTAGAACAATTGTCATGAAAATAGTTCTAGAAAAGACAGAGGTTGGAAAATGACTGAAGTTGTGATGCCAGGTCAGGACTGATAATATTACATACTCTTCTTCAAATTTTGCTGAAAATCTTGAGATATATAGCAGGAGCATCAAACCAGATATTCAATGTATAGATGAATAGCAGATTTATAAATGTGCAAGATGGATTCTAGCAAGAAAAATTGCTTGGCATTACAAAGTGAGCCAACTTTCCTAGCAGCAGACATGGCAATTGATTCAATATAATTATTCCAATTCATGTCAGTGGAAAATGTGAGACAAAGAAGGTGCAATGAGTTGCTCTCCTGGAGGTTAGCATCAGCCATGATGATGGAGGGCAAAAATGTTTCTTTATGATGATTAAAGGATAGCAGTTTCATTTTAGAGGCATTAAGATTAACAAGCCATTTCTTGCCCCAGTTAATAACTGATTGAAAGTCATTTAAAAAGAATGTTTCAACACATTTGTGTGTGTGTGTATATATATATATATATATATATATATAGGATGTTCAGGCTAAATTTGATAGTTTAATGTTTTTATTTTTTTTAAATTGGTTTGGAATATCTGTAAGCAGTGAACAACATTGTAGAAACTAATCGCTACGGCTTTAGAGGTGTTAAAGTTAATTGATATAGACAAGCGAAAACCTTTTGAATATTAGAAAAGGGTAACCTGCATCATGATCAATCAAAATGCTGCAATTGTGACAGGTGCTCAATGCTCTTTGAACACCGTGAAAACAATAAAACGTGAAATGGAGAACTAAAACAGAGATCGTAGCTTGTACGAAAGAACACAGCAGATTTTCAGATTGTCTCTCTATACCAGATTTCATCCAACAACTGGAGAAAGTGATGGCAGACCCAGGCAAGAGAATCCAGGCATTGGCATGGGAAATGGGTGTTGCAATTTTCACCATGAAGTTGGCCTCAAATGTCTCAGACATACAAGAGGCGTAAAGGTCAACTTCTTATAGAAAAGACTCAAGAAAACCATCTGACAAAGACAAAGAAACTCCTGAATGAAGTGAAACATCCTGTTGAACCAGGGACAATCTGGTTCTTTTCTGATGAAAAGAATTTTTGTCAGGACCAGCTGCACCCCCACCCAGAACAACAGGTGGCTTGCTTACAATCCATATGACATTCCTTATATTATGAAGATCATGTTTTCCTAAACTGTGATGGTTTTTGAGTGTGCCTCCAGTAAGGAGAATATCATAGCATCTCACATCTTTGAACAGGGTCTAAGGCTCAATTCAGATGGCTATGTGGAGTTGCTGAACACCATGGTCAAGCCTTAGTTAGAGAGGGTGGCTGCTGGAAGACCATAATGTGTGACAGCAAGATTCAGTTCCCTGTCACACCTCCGGGAAGAGTCGGAAAAGTGTTTGTCAGAGAATTTTTACGACTTCACCAGACCGAATGTGTGACCCCCTCACTCCCCTTATTGTAATCCCATGGATCATTATGTATGCGGTATGGTTGAGAAAGACACCAACTGCACTGCTTGTAATACCAAGAGCAAGTTGATCAATAGAATTAGGGAGATGTTTGAGGCTTTCCCTAGGGACACCATGAAGGTTGCATGTGCCAGATTCTGGAGTTGGATTGAGGCCAGGGTAGATTGTGATGGTGTCTTCTTTAAATGAATTGTCATTTGATTATTATAACCTTTATATAAATATACTGTTTATTTATTAAACTATATATTTATTTATTTCCATCTACTAGCCTGAATATTCAAGAAATTTTATTAGAAAAATATGTATTCTCTGGCAGGATTCAAATCTGCATTCCCCGAAGGAAAACCATCATTATATCTGATATGCTTTAACTGCTCAGCTACATAGAACCTACTGTGCAAACAAAGCCTGAATAATGCTTTTGAACACAGACCTTTCCTGATTCTTGAAATATACATATCTGCTCAGTTTTATATTCTGGCGTAAGACAATTTTCAGGAATGGATTTTTCATTTATTAATCTGATATATTTTTATTTTATTGTTTAAACAGTATTTTTAGTGGATACCTATATTTTAGTAGATGCTCGGTTTATTTATTCAACAGTATATTTATTTATTTATTTCCATCTATTGGCCTGAATACTTGAGAAATCTTATTAGAAAAATATGCCTTCTCTGGCAGCAATGTATAGAAATGACAGTAAGGCTTCAACAGCAGCAGCAGTAAGAAAAGAGAAGCCTCGGTGAATGCAATCAAACATATTGAGCTGTAGGTTGCTTAGGTTTAAAAATCCAAGATTTTCAGGATTGTCTCATGATCAAAGTGTCAGTTCCTGAATTTGGTGACGTAGTAATTGTAAGTTCAATTCCTGGGCCGGGCTGGTGCAGATGTATACTGACCAGTATTAAATAAGAATTAGACAGGATATCCCTAGATATGGTTGGCAGAATGAGGCTATTCTACAGAGATCTGTTTGAAATTCCCTGATTGATAATCACTTGATGAAGACTGAAGGGTAAAATATTGTGAAAATACCAAAGGTGAAGACAATAGTTTGATTGAAACTAAGGTAAATAATTTCTTCTTGTTCTTTGTTGAAATGCTCTAGCATCATATTTTCTAGTCATAAGTCTGTCAAAAGAAGCTGAATTAAAAAAAAAATGAAAGAATAAAAGGTAATTGGAAATAAAATAGATAATAATTCATCCATGCTTAGAATATTGCCTGTCACATATGGTCCAGTGTCCTTGCTATTTACCTTGAACTTCTTGATTAAATCCAAAGAAGAATCAGCAATATTATCAGTCCTGATCTGGTGGCTCAACTTCAGTCACTTTCCAATTGCTGTAAAGTTGCCTCCATGAGCCTTTTCTATAAATACTTTCATGGTAACTGTTTAGAAGAGCTCTTAACTATGGTACCTAGACTTTTTTTTTAATTTAAGCACAGTACTAAATTGGCATTGATATCTTATTAATTTACAGTTGAACTGGCTAATGTAAATTCTATGCTAATTCTTTTCTCGCACTTCTCACTTGTGGAATTCTCTCCCAGCTGCATGCTTTCCAGCCAACTTTGATCTTCAAAAATTTTAAAAATTGCTATCTACTGTCTTCCTGATTACTCTTTCCTCTTCCTGCTCATTATTAATGTTTCTGTTCCTAATTCTTCTGCATCCTGTAACCACTTGTGTCTTAGTGGCTCTACTGCCTTGCATGGGGTGGTACAGATTTTTTTTTAAAAAAAAACATAGTCTATCACTGAAATGGTACCTAGACTTTTTGAATTTAAGTGCAGTACTAGACTGATATCGAGACGTCATCTACTTACAGTTGAGCTGGCTAGATGTAGCCGCAAGTTCTATGCTAACAGTTTCTTTTTTTCGCACTTCTCACTTGTGGAATTCCCTTCCGGCACCATGCTTTCCAGCCAACTTTAAAATAAAATTTAAATGCAATGTCAATCGCTATCTACTGTCCTCCTGATTACTCTTTCCTCTTCCTGCTCATTATTAATGTTTCTGTTCCTAATTCTTCCACACCCTGTACCTCCTTGTGTCTTAGTGGCTCTACTGCCTTACATGGGGGGGGGGGGGGGGTGATACCAATGAAACAAAAAAATTTTGTTTGCGTGATTTTTCTGAAAATGACATTACAAAATCAAAATTATTTCTTTGCTTTTACTCTTCTTCAATGTATTAAAACCAAAATGATGTTCTCTGGACAACAAGAATCAAAGTTGCAACTTTTGTTTTTCTATTTTCCAGAATGGTGTTGGAGACACACCCGATTCTTATGCATATGATGGAAACAGACTACGCAAATGGAATGTGAAAACTCAGAGATATGGAGAAGTATTTTTGCATTTTTAAATTTAATTTTAATTCATTATACAACATGTGGCAGAAATCCCCTCCCACATAATGGTAAGACATTAGCTCGATTAAGACAACATTACCACTAATGTCTTACCATTAGGCGGGAGGTATTTCTGTCACCCTCACCCCTCCTCTCTGTAATTTTATTGTTTGCTTCTTGACAATAAATTGGAACATAGGTTTTATTTTTGTTTTTTTTGGGGGGGGGGGGGGCGGTTCAAGTGAAAAAATCACCAAAACCAATCAAATACTTGATTTTATCATTTTTACTTTTTGTCTTTTCTCTTGGAAAAAAACAAAAAAAAAACAAACAAACACTTGGCTTTCGGCAAATAAAGCATGTAGTTTTTAGTGAGAACCATCCTAAGAATCTTGTGGACTGGTGCTACAGAAAAAAACAGACTAAGAACTGTGCCAAATAACATAAACTACATCACTTGAAGACTTTCAACTGCTAAAATGGATATCACCTGTAACTTGAAGAGAAAATAATGAAATAATCAAGATGTTGACATTCCACACCACTTCAAAGAAAAGGTTAGGAAGGAAATCTCTATCAATACTGGAGAGGGGGATAACAGCTGCTGAGTTTGAGAAACTTATTTTCCTTAAAAATTGGTTTAAGAGAAAGATTTTTATAAATTTCCACTGAAAACAGTATTGCCTGCTCGGTCAATGAATGCCGAATATTCCCTTATAAGGAAAACAGCTAATATTACCATTACATCTCTTGTAATGCCTGTAGTATTGTTTAGTTTCAGTTCACACATGTACTGATTTAAATATTTATGATACCAACAGCTAAAATCACTTGGATTGCTCTATGTTTATAGATTCAATATGTGCTTTGAAAAAGGATGAATATTTTATTTTGCTTGTACCTCTCTTCATTAGGCTCACACGACCATTACGCTCTGCCAATACCTCATAAATAATGGACTATTCCATTTTGATTGTGTGTAAGGAAGAGAAAGACATTACTTGGTTTCAATACTTAACATCTGTTTCAATGAAATGGAAAAAGTTGTTAATTTCAAATCTTTTCATTTGTACCCCCTTACTTGTTATAGAACTCGCCATAAGCTTATTCAGTTATTAACTTAACAATTAATCAGAAAATTAAAATAGGAGGACCATGAAATTTTCACAGGTTAAAACTAGTCATGTTATAATTTTGCTTGTTTCTTAATTTCAATATACTTTATACCCTATTTCATTTTAATCATGAGGAAAGACAGAAAAGACATATCAGAAAAGCTATTTCATTTTAATCATGAGGAAAGACAGAAAAGACATATCAGAAAAGCTATTTCATTTTAATCATGAGGAAAGACAGAAAAGACATATCAGAAAAGCTATTTGTTGTGGTACGATCCACCTAATTTACATAGTGGAGTACCGACCATATAAATATGGGTTGGTACCGGGAAGACGAGGGAAGAAGTAAGAAGAGATCCAATCGAGAGACTCTGCCCGACTGTGATTAAGTCAACCCATTCTACAGGAACAGTCTTCCCAAGAATATACCAAAACTAACTGTAAAAATTGTGTAACTTTTCCTTGTTTCAATTTTTGTTTACGTACATTTTGTGTTGTATTATTATTATTCCATGCTTATCCAAGCTTCAACAATGGCGACGAGGTATAAAGAACTTTACATTAAAAAAAAAAGAATTAATAATTGATAGCCTTCAACAATTGGGACAAGTTTGAAGAACCCAGGCTGAAGAAAAAAAATCATTAATTAAAAGTCAAACATCTAATGGAACGGAAAAGTATTCTGAAGTTCTGGACAGTTAAAACTAGTTAAAGGACGACTAAGCATAAAGGAACGTTCACTCAGAAAAATCTGGAAGGTGGGCGTAAACAAATAAATGGAATTAAAAAAAAAAAAAAAAAAAAAAAAAAGCTGGCCGACTAAAAAAACATGCATGGAATTAAAAGGAGCACAAATACAACGTGTCGACTTTGAAAGGTGTTTAACTTGTAAAAAAAAAAAAATTTGTTATTTTTTGTTTGTTTGGTTGCTCAACAATATTTTATAAAGCAAGACATAAAATTAAAAAAGGCGTATGTTGTTTCAATTTTGTTTTGTCTGCTTATAGTATATTCGTGGATACACAATTTAAAAAATATATTCTTTGTTGCATGAACACTATCAGTTAAAAATGGAGGAATTATCCAAAGTCATAGCTGAATTGTTTAAAGCCCAGCAGTTGAGTCAAGCTGAATTATTCAAATCCCAGCAGTTGAGTCTGCAACAACAAAGTGAACAGGTTGCCTTATTAAGAGAACAACAATTAGCACAGCAGAATTATCAAGAAAGGCAAGAGGAGTTGAGTCAGCAACGTCAAAGGGAACAGGAAGAAATGTATGTCACGGTTTTGGAAATTCAAAAGTTAACATTGGAGAAATTAAACAACGTTCAGGTAAATGAAAGTAACTCTTCATATTCTAATAACATCATATTTAATTCGTTGGAAACTTTCAACTATGTGCCAGACGAAGGAAAAACGTTTGAAGCGTACTTTAAACGATATGAAGATATTTTCCACACAGACTGTGAAAACTGGTTTAATTCAAGAAAAGTCAGTCTATTACTAAGAAAGCTAGGTACAGCAGAACATAGCAAATTTGTAGATTTTATTCTACCGAGAAGAACAAATGAATTGGAATTCTCGGAAACAGTGAAATTGCTAAAGGAGTTGTTTGGAGCAAAATATGTCGCTTTGGCATAAGCGATGGTTATGCATGAATGTCGCTAAACCGACGATCAGGATTACTTAACTTATGCATCTATAGTGAATAGACATTGTGACAATTTCAGATTGGCAGAGATTACGGTTGAAGAATTCAAGTGTTTAATTTTGCTCAAGGACTGGTATCCAGTAAAAGTGCGAAATAAGGCGTAGAGTTTTGTCTAAACTCGAATCTGAACAAAACCTTACCCTGCAAAAGTTAGCAGAGGAGTGTCAGCGGGCCGTAAGTTTAAAGAAAGAGTCTCAAAAATTGAAGAAGCTGGTATTGCTTATATTAAAAAGTGAAGAAACAGTCAAATTACCCATCAGAAAAAAAAAAAAATTGGATTAAAAATTAGGCGTATTTTAAAATAAACAAGAAAAATTAAATGGAAAAAATGAGGAGGGAAAAAAAAAAATGGTTCCGCCATTTAATTGTAGACGGTGCAACGGAAGACACTGGGAGTTAAATTGCCCATATAGAAATAAAAAATGTTTTCGTGTGCCACAAGAATGGTCACAAAGGGTCGTGTTGTAAAAACGAAAAAAAGTCAATAGCCGAATTAGACAAACAAATTCAAATATCAAATCAGATAGAGATTTGAGGAAGTATGTGACGACTGAAATATTTAAAAGAATATCAAATTTCAACTCGATTCGGGTTCAGATTTAACAATAATGAACTATAAAACATGGAAAATTTTAAAAAGGCCTACAATAATGAAGTCAACTAAACGCTTTCGAACAGTGACTGGAAAGGAAATTAAATTCAAGGCGAGGTTGTACTTCCTATGAAATTGAACGGATAGTTAAAAATAAAAGTTTTCATTCTGAAAAATGGAGAAAACTTGATGGGTACAGATTTTATTGAAACATTCGAATTGTGGGATAAACCGTTAAACTCTTTCTGCAGAAAAGTAGAAAGTCATAAACAAGACAGGACATTATTGAGGAATTAAAAAAAGTTTCCGGAAACTTTCACACCTGGTCTTGGAAGATGTAACAAGTTTGAAGCCAAATTCGAATTAAAGGAAAATACTATGCCAATTTAAAAAAGAAACGTAATGTGCCTTTCGCAAGTGTAGAGAAAATTAACGAAGAACTTGATAGGTTGGAAAAAATGGGAATTATTTGAAAGTAGAATCTAATTCATGGGCTGCGCCGATTGTGTGCATAAAAAAGAAATCAAACCAAGTCAGAGTCTGCGTTGATTTTTCGACAGGGTTGAACTTCGGTAATTAAGGACTACCATTACCCGTTACGAGTCCGGAGGAGATTTTTAACAAGCTAAATGGTGGAGTTATATTTTCAAAAATTGACTTATCAGATGCCTATCTCAAATTCCCCGAAGAGGAATGTTCGAAGTTACTAGGATAAACACGCATAGAGGGTTATACAAGTACAACAGGCTTCCTTTTGGTATTAAAGTGGCACCAGCCATTTTCAACAAGCTATGGACGTCATGCTGAATGATTTAGACTTTATGTGCGCTTACTTAGACGACATCATAGTAAGGAGCTTAATCGATTCATTTAACATCGAGAGCATCTCAATCAAGTATTTAAAAAGATTCAGGACTTTGGATTTAAAGTCAAAAAGTCAAAGTGCGAATTTGGTTTGGAGGAAATTAAGTATTTAGGGCACATAATCAACAAAAATGGCAGATGTCCAGATCCGGAAAGGTCCATTGCGATTAGAGACATGCCGACGCCCACTAATGTGGCGATGCTACAAAGTTTCTAGGGCTTGCAAATTATTATCAAGCGTTCATTAAAGGAATGTACAATTTAAGAGCTCCGTTGAATGAACTGCTAAAAAGACAAGGCATGGGAATGGACGGTAGAATGTCAGAAAGCCTTTGAGGAAATAAAGAAAATGCTTACGTCCAACCTCATTACAATCCAAAACTGGATATTGTAGTGGCAAGTGACGCTAGTTCATACGGGATATGAGCGTGTATTCAACACATAATGCCAGATGGTTCTAGAAAACCAATTGCACATGCTTCGAGAACTTTGCTCCCAGGAGAAAAAGTTACTCTCAGATAGAAAAAGAGGCACTGAGTATCATTTTGCCATACAAAAAATTTCACAGGTACATCCACGGCAGACATTTTATCCTTGAAACGGATCATAAACCACTGATCACTATTTTTGGTTCAAAGAAAGGGTTACCTGTTTATACAGCAAATCGTCTGTTAAGATGGGGAACCATTCTTCTCAATTATGATTTTCAAAGCACCTATCATCCAAAAAGATAATTCATGCGGATAGTCTATCAAGACTAGTACCGAGTCAAGAAGAAAGATTCCGAAGAATCAATTATTGCAAATATCAGAGCAGATTATGAGGTGAAAAGCATGGTAAACAACATTGTAAGAGAGCTACGGTTACGCTAAATGAAATTAAAAAAGAAGCTGAAAGCGATGATTTCATTTTAGAAATTAAAAAGCAAAATGGTAGCAAATGACCAAAAAAAAGTGCAGGAGATTTATTCAATAGGTGATGGAGTTTTATTATATGGTGAGAGTAGTAATACCAAAAAAAAGTTGCAGAAAAGAATACCCGGGACTTTCATATGGGTCACCTGGGATTAATAGAACAAAAAGCTTAATGCGAAGCTTTGTGTATTGGAAAGGAATGGATGTGGATATCGAAAACATGGTTCATCGATGTAAGGGGTGTGCGTTAGCAGCTAAGGCACCACCTATAGTACACAAACCATGGCCCAAGACGGATCATCCGTGGACAAGATTACACATTGATTTCGCTGGTCCAGTAGAAGATTTTTACTACTTAATAGTGGTAGATAGTTTTACAAAATGGCCGGAAGTACTACGCTGTAAAAAGCCTACGTCCAATACCACAACAACTTTTTTGCATGAACTATTTGCACGGTTTGGTGTGCCAGAGTGTATTGTGAGTGACAATGGTACACAATTCACTTCGGAAGAATTTAAGGAATTTTGTGAGTTATATCAAATTAACCACATAACGACGCCTCCGTATCATCCGAGGTCTAATGGACTCGCAGAAAGATTTGTCGATACTTTAAAGCGAGCTCTGAAGAAAGCCTCAGGAGTTCCAATGGAAAAGGCGCTTCAGCAATTCTTACAAGTATACAGAATCACGCCAAACCAGAGAACACACTCAAACATGGCACCAGCTGAACTAATGTTCGCTAGGAAAGTTAAGTCAGTGTTTGACAAGCTTTTGCCAGGAAAAAAATAGAGTAAAAAATACCATGTATACAGCGAGAAAAAGATACACTCCCGGAGAGAAGGTGTTTTTCAAGTGCTATAAAAACAACGTTGAGTTCTGGGAACGAGGCATAGTGGACAAGAGAATCGGTGACCTGATTTACATAATTAAAGGGCCGAAGAATACTCATAAAAGGCACCAAAACCAACTTAAAAAAGATTACGGTATAGAGCAAGAAGAGTGTATACTGGATGAGGACGAAGATCCCATTGATATAATGTATGATATGTTTCATGTAGAACCTCCACAGAATACACCTGAACCAAGAAGATCCGGTAGGAAACGGAAGTTCACGGACCCATTAGACGTGAATCCAAAACGGAAAATATATTAAAATTAGGCAAATGGATCTACAAAGAAATAGCCATAATCATCAACCCATATAGGAAGCAAATTTGAAATCCAAAAGGGATTCCAAGGCTTGGGAGGAGGGTGTTGTGGTACGATCCACCTAATTTACATAGTGGAGTACCGACCATATAAATATGTGTTGGTACCGGGAAGACGAGGGAAGAAGTAAGAAGAGATCCAATCCAGAGACTCTGCCCGACTGCGATTAAGTCAACCCATTCTACAGGAACAGTCTTCCCAAGAATATACCAAAACTAACTGTAAATATTGTGTACCTTTTCCTTGTTTCAATACATTTTGTTTACGTACATTTTGTGTTGTATTATTATTATTCCATGCTTATCCAAGCTTCAACACTATTTCATTTTAATCATGAGGAAAGACAGAAAAGACATCAGAAAAGCTGTTTCATTTTAATCATGAGGAAAGACAGAAAAGACATATCAGAAAAGCTATTTCATTTCAGTGTGAAAAAGAAAGATAGAGGTGGCAGTGTGTTTAATGTCTGCTTCAGTGAAATACAAAATCTTGTCAATTTTGAATTACTTCATTTGTATCCTCTTCTTTAAATAATGACCTGCATTGTTATTGCAGTATTTTGTTAAGCCCAGATATTTAATGATGTAATTGGGAATTTTCACAGGTATTTTATTGTTGTAGAACTTGTCAGGAGCTTATTCAATCATTAACTTAAGAATTATGAATCATCAAAAAATTAAAACAAGAAAATAATAGACTATTCCATTTTAATCACCAGGAAAGATGCGCCAGAAGGTGCAATTTTTAATTTTTTTTAAGTGTGGAATTTCTCTGGTATTTCATCCAATAAAATTTTCTACTTAGAAATCTTTTTAAGAAAGACAACTTCAAACCTTATCTTGAGCCTACCTAATTGACGAGCATCTTTTTTTACTTAAAGATAGGACAACATTGACATGTATCAGCTTTGAAAATGCAAAAAAACAAGTACTCATTGTCAAAATAGTGACATCATTTAAAGAAACATGGAATGAAAACTAATCATCACATGTGAGAAGAAATTGTATCTTTATAAAGAGAAAAGATTACATTTTGTTTACATACTAATTTTATCTAAATAGTTTTGAAAATAGTCAAGCTATCAGCAATTGAATTTGATAGAAATTTTATTATTTTGACCTGTTTTCACAGTGTAAAATATAGAGAGGTTTGGAAATAACGTAATGGAAGCTTTTTCTTAATTCAAATTTATTTTCCTATCTTATTGAACCTGAAATGACTTATTATTCGATTGCAGTCCTGGTTAACTGGTGATGTAATAAGCTGTGCTATTGACTCTGACAAAGGAACGATTACATTTTTTCGGTAGGTATAAACAAGTGATATTCTCTTTTCTCTATTTTTTTTTTTTATTGTAAAGAGATACTGTCCTATAATAATTGTGATATTTAGTATGTGAAATGTGTAGGCAGCTGAAACAATTTGGGTAAGGGGACAACTTGGATTATATAAATAATAATATACCTTTGTTCCATAATAGTTGGTATATTTGAATATATGAAATGTGTAGACAAATGGACCAACTATTATGGCACAGTAATAGTATTACAAATAATAATATACTAACTCTGTCCCATAATAGTTTGTACAATTTTTAGTATATGAAATGTGTACGTAAATGAACAAAGGACACATAGCACAGTGGATAAAGATGTTGGTTACATCCAGTGACAGGACCCAAAGAGTGTGAGTTCAATACTCAGTTAGGGCAGTGAAGAACTTTGAGAGGGGAATTAACAGGAGATAACTGATAACTGACATCCATTAAACATGGCATGTGGAACTAGAAAAGTCTACCCCAGTGAGCGAAATAAAGGGTTCAGTTCGACATTCCAACCACCTGAAGAAGGCCAAAGCATACAACGGCCGAAGCATACAACGGCCGAAACGTTGTAATAAATATGGCGACAAAGATGAGGATGATAGTCCAAATAATGTAAATAGTGTACATAATACCTCATCTCAGAAATATAGACAGATACTGAAAGGCCGAAACTTTGTAATAAATATGGCGACAAAGATGAGGATAATAGTCTGAATAATGTAAATAGTGTACATAATACTTCATCTCAGAAATATAGACAGATACTTTCAGAAAAGTATATTTTATTTTTGGAAGATTTTTTTTAAAGAGATTTACATTTTTATACCACTTTGCTAAAAATGATGCTAAAATTTAAAAAAAAAAAACAATTCCTTCCAATCAATTTAAATAAATTTTGAAATACAGAATAGTATTTTGTTTATTGGAAATATTAAATTTAATCTCTCAGCTTGAAATTAAAACTAAAATAAAAGCTTCAAGAAAGATTTTTCATTATTAAAAATTCATTTTAAACATTAGGAATCATGTTTTTGTGGACGTACCTAAAAATTGTTTAAATAGTTATACCTTGTCTCAGAAATGTCGACAGATCAAAAATATAATTCATGATAATATCATTTAGGCATTATGTTAAAAGAAATATGGAATTTGATTCAAATTTATAATTAAGATGTTTAACCAGCATCTATTTTGATATTATTTTCTTAAAGTATTTTGATATTTATTTTAAAATATTACCAAATATACTTGTGTATAAGCCAATTTCATGTATAGTGTAATCCCTGAACTTTTTTGCATTCATTTTAACCCCTCCAGAAAAAATTTACTGTTGTAATAGTGCAACCAGTCACTGAAAATGCCTGATTTTTAACATCTTCCAAAAAATTACCTGTGTATAGTACCCAACCCCTCCCCGTATTTTTTGTGTGTAAAAAAAAAAAAATGATCTTAAAAACTTGCACTATACACAAGTATATACAGTATATTAGTCAGAAAATATGTTATAAAAAGTTATAAATAATCAAAATTGTAAAATTTTGACTGATTCAATAATTTTAATCTAGAAGAGATGATTTCTGATGAATACATTTAACCATTTTGGTGTTTTTAAAATTCAAATGATTTGTATATTTATCTGTATTATTTGTCTTTCATTTTCCCCCTGTCCCTTCCCCCATTCATTTTCTTCCTGTCCCTACCCCACCATTCTTTTTCTTCCTGTCCCTACCCCACCATTCATTTTCTTCCTGTCCCTACCCCACCATTCATTTTTTTTTTCCTGTCCCTACCCCACCATTCATTTTCTTCCTGTCCCTTCCCCCCCATTCATTTTCTTCCTGTCCCCCCCCCCATTCATTTTCTTCCTGTCCCTTCCCCCATTCATTTTCTTCCTGTCCCTTCCCCCATTCATTTTCTTCCTGTCCCTTCCCCCCATTCATTTTCTTCCTGTCCCTTCCCCCCCATTCATTTTCTTCCTGTCCCTTCCCCCCCATTCATTTTCTTCCTGTCCCTTCCCCCATTCATTTTCTTCCTGTCCCTTCCCCCCATTCATTTTCTTCCTGTCCCTTCCCCCATTCATTTTCATCCTGTTCCTTCACCTCGACTATTCATTTTTCAGAAATGGAAAGTGTCTTGGAGAGGCATTTAACAATGTCCGTACAGGTCCAGGTTTTGCATACTTTCCAGCAGTCAGTTTATCCATGTCAGAGAATGTACGAGCAAATTTTGGAGCCACTCCTCTCAGATATCCTTTTCTTAAGAGATGAAGGAATTTTCATTCATTACTTAGAGGAAAAAAGGGACAAGAAGATGAAGAGAACTATTATCATTCATGTACTGAAAGGACTTGGCATGTAAAAGAAGAAAAATCTTCCTACACTGACTCCATTTCTCGGATACCATATTTCTCAATATATAATATAGGACCTGGTAAATGTAATTATGATACATTTGTATAATTGTTTGCTTGTATGTTTTTTACCATATTTTTCAATTGTTATCATAATTTAATTATTTATAATCATATATATTTACTTCTGGGATCATCAGGTGACAAGTGTGTGAAACAGATTCTTTTATATAAATAAATGCGAATGTGTCAGTGTATCACATTTTTTCAACTTTACTCCTGGAGGCCATAACCCAAAATATCATACCATTTTGGAATCAGGCCGACTCTGTGAGCAAATTAAAAATATTCTGAACCAGATCCAGACATACAATCCTGAAATTTTGGATTCCCAAGTTTTCATGACTGCAATTGTTTTTAGTGATTATTTTTTTTTTTTTTTTTTTTTTTTTGCAACAAATTTTTTTTGTATAATAACAATTTTTATAATTTGGAAATAAATTTAGGAATAATTGAAGTTAATTGCAAAATCCAGTGAAAGTCACCTATGAAATAAAAATAATTGTTTGTATGAAAAGTAAGGACCGATGTACATCAAATTGTCTTTAAATTAAGTGGAAGCAGGAGAATTATTGTTGAACTTTTAAAATTAATCTTAAATATTAATGCAATATTTAAATGTAACGATCAATTTTGAGTTCTGCAGTTAACTGTTGCCTATTACATACAGCAGAAGTATACCTTGCAACAAGAAATCTCTGCTAACAGAGGGCCAGATTGCAATCAAAAGAGCTAATGCTGCAGCAAGGAAAAGAAAGTTCTGTACAAATGAAAATCCAGATCAAATGGCAGCTATGAGAGCTTCCAATATGCAAAGATTTAGGGACTCTCAAACTCCTGAACAAGCCAAAGGAACAATCAAGAGCCCACTGCCCACCTTAATTGCTGCCCAATAGGTTACCTTTTAATCTAATTTATCTTACCATTTTTTTTCATTTGTAATCCTAATTTGATCATTTATAATCATATATATTTCATTCTGGGTTCATCAGTGGACAAGTGTGTCTGTAACAGGGCAGTGGGTCTGACTGAGTCATATTTGTGCATAAAATATTGTTTAGTAACTTGAGGTATTGAGAGACTTGGTAATCCTGAGTGAAAGATAGATGTAGAAAAATATAAAAAAGTACTTAATTGGATTGGAACCCAATGGAAAAAATTTGGTTTAGAAATATTAAATTGAACCTATAAAATATTAAATTGAACCTATAAAATACTTATGAGGAAGGCATCGGAATATTTGAACCATCCAGTTTAACTGAAATTCCCTGCCTATCCCAACAGCCCTGAAGAAGTTGTGATGACATTATTAATGTTTCCCAACATTCTGCAAAATCCAGATAAACTTGAGGAATTTTTTTTTTTTTTTTTTTTTACAGTAAGGTTCACCCTGTACAAGGCCCAAGGGCCACTCAAAGTAGAGGGTTGTGTTAAGGGGTAGTTTATATGGATAAGAGGGGAAGATAGCAGTTAGCTCTAGACTCTTAACCTGTTTAAGAGTGTAGCAATCAGGAAAACATCCTCTTTGTAGTCTGTTCCATAGGGCAGTGGTTCGTAAGAAGAAACTGTTTGAGATGAACTTACTTCTCACCGATGGAATACAGAGGCAATGTGGGTAGTTTACTATTATGTAAGTGTCATGGCAGATCCTAGCTGTGAAGGTTAGACCTGGCAGAACCAAAAAATGTAGCTCATCTGAGCACTTTCCATGGTAGTAGCAATAGAGATGTGAGAGGCTCACCACATTCAGCCTATGAGAGAGAGGCTGGAGTGTGTAAAATAATTCTTCTCCAGCAAGGACTTGGGGACACTTTTGAACTCTATCGACAGGAAAATGAGGTCTGGGCAGTACCCACCCAAATATGGCAACAGTACTCCCTTTTTGACCTGATCTGGATCTTATGAAGGTAGAGGATAGCATGAGGAGTCAGGTACTTACTGTAGCCGTACAGAGAGCCAATCGTTTTACTTACATCTGTAGCAATGGATCATATATATAAGAGTTCCACTTGAGATCAGGTGTGAGTTTGAGGCCCAATATTCTAAAGTACAGAGCCTCCTTTGGAAGACATTCGTTCATCATGACTGGCAGTTGTTCAGGGTCTGATCAGCAGTGATGGAATATAACTAGTTTGGTTTTTGAGCATCTCATCTGGCAGAATCATATTGAAGCCTTACCAAAATTTCTGATCTTGAGTACTTTAGAAGCATGGATCATGTGCAGTGCTAATAGGAAGTTCTTTGTTCAAGGACGAAGTCTCCTTTCAGACTGTTATCCTTATCAGCACACACATAACTTTAGTCAGTTCATGCAAAGCAATTTCAGGGACCACACTGCCATCCATTTTCATCAAAATTCTAACAGCAACAAAGTTGGTAACAACCTGTATTTTAACTTTTAGATATCTCTCACTGCCTCAAGGGAAGAAAAGAATTTATGACTCCTAAAGAAAAAGGTATTGCCTTGGGGAATGGCTCCCTGGGCCTGAGTTTAACATTATTTTGAAACTACCAAGCCAAAGCCAGGTAGGTATAGGCTTTAGTGCTAAGTAGATGTAACTGCTTTGATTAGAATTTGAACTCTGAATGCCAATTCCACTTTCTGTGCTAATAATCATTACATTACCTGCACCCCAAGAACCACTAAAATATGATAAATGTCAGGCTTTGTAGAAATACCAACAATATATATATATATATATATATATATATATATATATATATATATATATATATATATATATATATATCATTTTATATATGATATATAAAAATCTGAATTCAGACCAATGTCATGAAGTATGTGAAAGCATTCTTTGGATTGAATTTTAATCTTACCATTCACTCAAGTTGGAAAGGTATTTAATCATGTAAGGAGCCTTTGCTTTACCTGGAATCCATGCTAGTCAGGATATATTTGCACTTTTCACAGAATTGTATGAGTTTTGTAATGACTCTGTTTTTGTCTTAATAGAATGAGCTATAGTTTATAAGAGGAATGATCCAATGCAATAACCAATAGAATATAGCTGGAATAACCCAAGGTTTATTGCATGAGTGGAATAATCAAAAGAAATGAAATAATTTCTTCTCTGATTGTCTATTCTTTGGTTTGTTGTTATTTCTTGATGTTTTATTCCTTGACAATGTCGTACATATCAGGTTGAAGGATATCGACCCCTTCAAGACCCACCCACAATTGACCTTATTCAAGCACAGCTCCTATTTTGTTATCTAGAAAATTTGTTACCAGTGATGGTTAAGGAGGAGGTAAGTACACAATTTCATGTAGATTCTTTAAAAAAAAAAAAAAAAAAAAAAATTCTGTCCTGAATTGTTCATAAAATAGCAGGACTGCTTTGTTGCATCAGTAATTTGAACACTGAATTGGCAGAAATGTTATTGTTCAGATTAGAATTGACTAATCCTAGCAGTTCCTTGTCTAAATTTTGATTTATTGTAAAAAGAAAAAAAAAGCTTTTTACTCTGAGTTGCATAAGGAATAGAAAACTCTAAAAAAATTCTAAATTGTTCCTAAAATGGAAGTAAAGCTTTTTAGTTGTGCCGGAAATTTCAACATGCAACAACAAAATTTGCATTTGTCATCTAGTTTAAATCGGACAATACTTAACAGCAATAAATCAATAGTAGCAGGATTTTTCAAACAAATCAACCACAAACATGTAATTTTATAGTTAATTTAAACAGGATAAGCTAGAAATCCTGAGATTTGAAACTGAATTGACAGATATCTGATTTCTATATAAAGACATTATTCACATCAGAACAGACTGAATCCTGACAATTCCCTTTTTTTTTTTAATCAATTTCACCCCATACAAGGCAGTAAAGTCACTAAGACACAAGGGGTTACAGGGTGTGGAAGCATTAGGAACAGAAACATTACTAATGAGCGGGAAGAAGAAAGAGCAATCAGGAGGACAGTAGATAGTGATTGATTCTGCATTTAAATTTTTGAAGATCAAAGTTGGCTGGAAAGCATGGAGCCAGAAGAGAGTTCCACAAGTGAGAAGTGCAAGAAAAGAAACTGTTAGCATAGAATTTACAGTTACATCTAGCGGCCAGCTCAACTGTTAATTAATGAGATCTTGATGCCAGTCTAGCATTTCACTTAAATTCAAAAAGTCTAGGTACCATAGCAACAAAGAGCTCTTCCAAACAATTACCATGAAAGTACTTATAGAAAAGACACAGAGAGGCAACCTTATGGTGGTGGGAAAGTGACTGAAGCTGAGCCACCAGATCAGGACCAATAATATTGCTGATTCTTCTTTAGATTTTCTCAAAGAGCTCTCCCACAACTGCAAGGTTACCTCTCTGTGTTTTTTCTGTATATACTTTCATGGTAATAGTTCAACTTTCCAACCAGCTTTAATCTGCAAAAAATTTAAATGTCAATCACTATCTACTATCCTTTTGATTACTCTTTTCTCTTTCTGCTCATCATTAATGATTCTGTTCCTAATTCTTCCAAACCCTGTAACCCCTTCTATTTTAGTGGCATTATTGGGGTCATACCAATTACCCCCACCAAAAAAAAAACACAAATACAGCAAAAATTGTACTGGCAAAATTGTCCAAATCATGTAACAACAAAATTATCCATCCTACAAAATGTTTAATATCTAAAAAAAAAAAAAAAAAAAAAAAAAAAACCACTAAACTAATTGAGTTTCTTTTTCCAGGTTTTCAGATAAGACATTTAGCCAGCTTGATATCATTTTTTGTAAGAATCACTGAAAAACCCTTTGAGTTATTCAGCTAAAAAGAGAGCAGGTTAAAAATGTCTTGTGTCACACGCACTGTCTTCCCAACTGATCAATGGTGAGATGAAAAAAATCATTCAGGCCTTCAATAATAATACCAACATTCATACTTTGGCATCCATCTTCAAAGTCCATTCAAGAACCATGGTGAATATGTTTAAAATAGCTGAGAGGAAAACTTGATCAAGAAGTTACAACAGCAAGAGAGATCACCATTTCAACTTAGAGCAAAAGGGATCACTTAGAAAAAATCCAACTCAATTCATAAGACATTTAGCATATGAGAAAGGACTTTCACCTGTGACAGTCCAAAGAGCAATGAAAAAAAACTTGAAAATGAAATTGTACGTGAAACCTGTGAATAACCTTGTTATTCCAGGACAGAAAGAAGGTTAGAGAGGGCAAAGGTCTTCTTGAATAAATTGGAAAATAATCTTGGAATAATATATATATATATATATATATATATATGAACTTTATGTCAATCCTTCATAGCTTTCAATCCTTTGCTATAATTAATTAATGATGAACAGGTCATTTTCGTTTATGATCAATTTCATCACAATATTTCTGTTAAGCTTAGAGAGTAATTATACATTCTCATTGATCAAATTAGAGACCAGTAGTGTTATAAAAACCTTGGAGAATTCCAGTAAGATATCTTTAATCATTTCTAAAATACAACAGTTTAGAGTTTAATCTCTAACATTTGGACAATTTTGCTGTTACACCCGGTATATATACAGACACACACACACACACACACACACACACACACACACAGACACACACACACACACACAGTATTAAAGTATGCTTTCTTTTAAATTGTAAAATTTTGCTTTTTCTTTTTACTTAGTCTGAACGTAAATCCCTGCCCATTGAGAAAAGAGACCTGCGTCCACCTACGCTGACTGATTCCCGAAGCCGGCAATGCAATCTTCTTCTGGTGGCTGCCCATCTATTCAACAAACTGGCCACATTATTGGTAATTTATTTATTCCTTGTTTTCTAGCTTATTTCTTGTTTTTACATTTGTCTCCTTGAAAAGCTAACAGCTATAATTTTAAAAGTATGGTAGCATAAAAAGGTAAAAAAAAACAAAAAAACACATAAGTTGCTTTTTCTTTTTTTTCTTAATTCATGGTATTAGTTTAAAGTTATATTTTAACAGCAATAGTCCCTTTACTCAACTTTATTGATTTAAGTGCATTACTAGATTGGAAGTTAGGTCTCATCATTTTATGACTAGATACAATCATTAGTTCTATGCAGTTTCACACTTCTCACTTGTTGAACTCTCTTTTGGTTTCTTGCTTTCCAATCAATTTTGATCTTCAAAAATTTAAATGCAGTGTTTGTCGTTCTGTCTTAATTCCTGTTTTTTTTTATTGTTCCTTCTTTTTAATAATGTTTCTCTTTTTCTCATACTCTTTCACATTCAGTAACTCCATGCATCCTAGTGGCTTTATTGCCTTGCTTGGGGTGAAATGATTGAAAAAAAAGTCTTAGTTTATTTTTACATCTCAAATAAATGGATAGTGTGTTTTGGTACGTTCTGTTCTGTTCTATTTGCTCAAACTTTGTCACAATCACTCACCAGCTCCAAAAAGAAAAACAAGTGTCCCAGTCATGCTTTCCTCTCTGTTTTTAATGTTGCTGATTATTACTCATATAGCTGAGAGGGTGAGGCATGTGGACTGGACAGCACACAGCCTCCATATAGTATCTGCCAGATCTGTGCCCTGGAGAGGTCATTCCAGTCTTACCACCAAATGACAGAATTTTAACCAAGCATGGTGCTACCATTATTTCACAAGATAACTACTACTGTTCATCATACCTTTACTCATGTTAAGACTTGTGATTTTTTTTCTCCCTTAACAACACTTTCCCTTCCCAAACAAACATTTTTTTTCTTCCCAAACAGCCCATTTTCTTCCAAAACAGCATGTTTTTTCTCCCCAAACAGCACAAATCTTCCCAAAATAGTACTTTTTCTTTATAGATAGTAATGTATTTGCAGTGTACTTATAAAAATATCAAAAAATGAAATATTGTTGCCATTTTTTTTTTTTTTTTGTCATGGTAAGTAAACTTGTATTCTTTTAATTATCAGGCAAAAAAAAACAAACAAACATTCCACTAAGAAAGCTGCTGATTTATTATCACCAAAATATGAACTTCAATTTATTTTCTTGTCTCCTTTCAGAAAAGTGCCTATATTGTTGAGGCTTGTCTCTTGAGGTTTATGTTGAAGGTCTGTGATGCAGAATCGTGCCTCTCTGAACAACCGTATATCGCTAAACTTTTAGACAGTATGTGCACTCTGATGCAGGTAATCTTTTCTCCATGTTGCACTTGTATGTTAGGTTGTTGCCTCTAAGGAATTAATAGATTTGATCTTTAAGCCAACAGTATTTCTTATTACTTTGAATCTTATATTTTACTGGATACACATCTTTGTTCTGTTTCTTTTTTAAACAGTATAATTGACATCTACTAGTCTGGGCATTTGAAAGTGTTAATAAAGAAAGTGTGTATGTTGTGGCATGGTTCAAACCTGCATGTTTCTCATATAGCTGCTGTGTTGCTGGATGTGCTTATTTGTGTCAAATAAGAATGAGCATGCAATTCGAACCTTTATACATTTCATAACAATAGATTAGAACATAACCAGTGGATTACTGGTAGATTAATAGTTTATGATAGGGAACATGAGAGAAAGTGTGACTGTCACCTTGAAATCCCTTTTCTTCTCTGTTGTTCTAGAGAGTTCTGATCAAGGGGCATAACTTGGTTCCCATCTAAGGATCTAGTTAGCTCCCTTGTTATGATGTCTATCCGGACAATAACAGAAACCACATTCATACTTCAGCCTGCTTACCAACATAAAACTTTACAGCGAAGCAAAACTCGATTACACTTTTTTTAAATTTTTCACTGGTATATTTCATATCTGCTGACATTTTTTTTATTTTTTTTACATTCAAAACATAAAGTACTTTCTGTGGAACTAATTACAGCCACATCACATTGAAATAACACTTACCATACGATCACTGAAGTTAAGTGACATCAAGCCTGGTCCATACCTAGATGGGTGACCACTTGGGACTACCAGGTGCTGTAAGCTTGAATGTACAGGTAGTGTGATGAATAAAGGCTCGGAATTGTTAATCGAACACTTTAGTCTCGATCCCCATCGGGTTCGTTATATTTACTTAGGCTCAAATTTATGAATCCACCTCTTTTCCCCCCAGCTATGGTTTAATTATAAGACTTATATCACTAAACCTTTATTATATGCAAAAAAGAAAGAAAAATTTACAATTTAAAAATATTTTCTGGCTTTAAATAACCTGCAAAAGGGTTAATAAGCAGTAGAAATCAACCAAACAACTAAGGAACTCATAGATTTTTTCAGTCCAACATTATTTCTGATTAATTTAGACGTTATATTTTAATGGATACTCCTGTTTGAGTTTACATTTTGTTTTTCTTAAGTTTGAATTACATCTACTGACCTGTGCATTTAAATGTCTTAATAAATAAACTGTGCCATGTGGCCAAGCAGACTAAAGCATGCAGGATCAGACAGTGGTTTCCCCCACAAATGGTGGATTCAAGTTTGAACTCTGCCAGAGGACATTTTCTTTCTTAAGACTCTTGAGTGCACAGGCTGGTAGATGTAACTCACACTGTTTTAAAAAAACGGGGCATCTACTAAAACATGTGTATCCACTAAAATATAACATTTAAAGTGATAAGCAGTTGTTGTTGTTATCATAAATCTGATACGGTTTATCAATCCTTTGTGAGTTATTTAAAGCCAAAACATATTTCAAATTCAAAATAACGAAAAATATGACAAATAAACTCTATTTTAGACTAATCGTGGTAATTGAATGACAAAAATGAAAAAAATCCTTTGCAATACTTTTGAACCTCCAAAAAGGGCTTCTTCAGACTAAATCAATATTGGTTATGACTACACTACATTGGGAGTGATGTTGAAAATTCTGTGACGCTTAATTGTAAATTTTTTGACATCTAATGTGCCTAGATACACAACTTGAGCTGACCTGTTTTACCTCATTTAAAACCAGCTGCATTAAAAACAAAAGCAGTAGGAAGTTGAATGAGGTCAGCTATGCTGTGCCTCTTGATATATCAGAAATTTAAAGTTAGGCATCCCTGCATCTGCAGTGTTTCTCTTGGGGATATAATTATGAACAACATTTTTGGGTATCATCTTGTGGGTATAATTATGAACAACCCTCTCTCTGTGTATATCTGACATCCCCCTCAGTAAAAAGGAAGGAAGACGTCCTTTCAAAGAATAAAAACCCATCACCTTATATCAATTTATTTGTTGTCCTATCATAAATGCATTTAATGCAGATATTTTGTTTAATCCATTTGCTAACTTCAGATTCCTATCAAAACAATGAGTTGATGTTAAAAATAGGATATCATCTCAAAATTATTTCACTTGTCTGACAAGAAACTTTAAAATATACTAATTAATAATATATAAAAATACAATATATAACAATAATATTTAATAATATATAATGATATAATATACTAGCAGCTATACTCAGTTGGTTGATCAGAAAAAGCGTTCAATTAGAATGGTTGCAAAAACAGCATCAGGTTTAGAAGTAACAGTCTATCTTCTTCAATTACTTTAAAATACTTTCAGTAAAAAACATTTTGAATTAATGCAGTTACTGATATATAACAGAAGTGGTTTGTATTTATTCAATCAAAGTTAGCCAAGAACATGAAGGGATAAAACAGGCAACATGAAGACCCACTTTGGACCACAATTATTTTGGAGTTTTTGAAATTCAATTTGTCAGTGTGCTACCAGGGTTGTAAAGGAGGATACATTTCGAAAGCAATTAAGTTTGATGAAAATTGGTTGAAAGATCAATGAAAAATAAGAAAGAAACCAGTAAAAATTGCCATTTTTCACTATTTATGCAGGTTTTCATGATTTGGGTGGACTCACTTATCAAGTTAAATGACTGTTAAACAATCAACTTATTGTTGGCTACAATTGAGTGAAGTTTGTATTAGATTGCTTTAAAATTGAGGGAGTTTTTAGTTTAAAATTTGAGATGAAATTGATTTTTCGTTTTCCACTAAACCCAGTGGTATAGAAATAATAATGAGGTATCATTGAGCTTGTCATGATGTAAGTAACCTACATACGAAATTTGAGGAAAAAAAGTTGAATTTATTGATTTTTGATCGGCTTTATCAATTATTGATTTTTTTAAAATTTGTGATTATTTACACTAAGAACTTATCTCTCACATTGTACAATGTATGTGCTAAGTTTGGTCAAAATCAGTTGGATGGGTCTCAAGTGAAAAGTTATCACAGACACATTGACATCCTTTGTTTTAAATATATATAGATAATATGATAATAATATTTAACAAGGTAATATTTAATAATATATAAAAATATAATAATTAATAATACATAAAACTATATGAAAATACAATATATAATAATAAAGTATATAAAAATACAGTTGATAATAATATATAAAAATACAATTTAAAATAATAATATAATTGAAAAATACAGTTTACAATAATAATATGATATAAAAAATACAATTTACAGTAATAATATAAAAATACTACATATTATAATATATATGAATATATAATATATATAATAATATATAAAAACTACTTTCTTTTTATTCTGAGAAAAGCCAATATGATTGCAAAAGTTGTTTGGACAATTAATCATCTTCTTTGTGTTGCTTTTCTTGTTGGTGCAATGCTTTTGTAGGTTGACAGGATTATAAGAGGTTCAATGCAAATAAATACAAAAGGACAATTGGTAGGTGACCTTCTCACTAAGAGGAGGTTAGTGCAAATACACAAGGGGCAAATGGTAGGTGACACTCTCACCTAAAAGACAGGATACACTTTGGCAGATGACACTTTCACAAAAAGGAATTATGGTAATTGGAAAATGTATATAAAGGCTCACATGGAAAAGTCTAAAGATAGTAAGGATTTTACATAATATGCTGCCATTTTTATGGCCTTAGTAGTAGTATTTATATAAAATTCTGCTGGACATAAAGTGAGGGATCGGTTTTTATCATTACTATGCAATAAACTGACCTCTTATTAAATTAGATACCTCTACTAATTTGCTGGAAGAACATAATTGCATGATGAAAAAAGGTCCCAAATTTGATAAAAATAAAGTTTTATTGTCAAAATGTTTTTGTTATTATTAAGAAGAAAGACCAAAAGATTTTTTTTTAATTTTTTACTCCTTTTTAACATGTTCAAAATTTTGGTTAAAAATCTTCTTTTTTTTTTTTTTTTTTTTTTTTTTAATGTGTTAACGGTGTAACAGAGATGATGATGGAAATTTTTGTGCCTGTTTTCCGGTAAAATAACACATTGATTTGGAAAAAAAAAACCAATTATAGGATTTAAATGAAACTTTCAGGACTTTCACAAATGAATTTCAGGAATTCATAAATGAATTAATTTATTTTTGAAATTATTCTTAGAAATTTATTTTTGAAAATATTCTTAGAAATTCTTGGTAATTTTTTTTTTTTTTTTATATCTGTTACCCTCCCCACATTTACTTAATTTCATGAAATTTCTAGAAATTAAATTTCATACTGCAAATCTTTTTTATTAGTTAACAGCAGGACTCCTTGGAGAATGTGAATCATCAATTTTTTTTTTCAAACTATTGCTATTTTTCCCTAAAATCAGCTCTGAATTGTAAAATAAAAACTGCAATAAAACTATCTAATTATTTGATTTGATAAGCTTTTAATTGTTTTATAAATAATATATATTAAGGACATTATAGTCTGAAGAAAAAGAAATTTTTGATGAATAATAAATTTTTACAAGAATTGATATATCTTTTGTGAAATTCTTCAATATAAGGAAAATCTTAATTTTTATTCAAAAACAAAAATAATAAAAGTATAAAACAAAATTAAAACCTAAAATTGTAGGTATAGACAGGTTCAGGGGAAACCCAGCCAACCCCTCCCCTTACAGTCAGATTTACAATCACTATGTCACCAAATTCACAAACTGGTGCTTTAATCCACTAGGCCATTGTTCATGTGAATTCAATCCCTGGATCAGGCAGGGTGTACCTTGCACTCAGTGGAAACGGGGAAAGTGATAAAGAATTAAAAATAAGAACTAGACATCGGCTGTGAAATAAGAATAGTCTATACCCATAGATTAAATAAAGGATTCAGTTCACAATTCCCTGTATGTTACCTAGATTGATATACACCTATGGAAAGCCAGAGGGCACAACAGCCGAAATGTTATGATAACAACAACAAAGATCAGGACAATAGTTCGAGTATAAATAGTGTAAATAAGAGATTTTTAAAATTAATATTTTTTAAAGTTATAAACAGTAGCAATGCCAGACCATTACATGTGTATCTTGGGATTCCTTGTGTTCATTTTGAATTTTCTTTGCAATACAAGTTTTCCTGCATTGTACGTAAACTAATACTTTCATTTCAAAAAGAACACTGCATTGAAATAAGTTCTTCAATTTAAGAAATTTGCCTTGAATTAATGTGTATGTATTGTTCTATTATTAATCAACTGATTATTATCATGTTTTCTTTTCTGTGACAGGACTTCGAATTAAAAGCTTGCCTGGAAAACTTAACCATTACGTTGCTTTCTGCATATCGATTCTCCCCCATTACTGCTGACTTCAAATATCCGGTGGGTCATTTATTCTCTTACATGACCATCAATAACATTTTTTTATGTTACCTGTATATCACTTTCTATGTTACCTGTATGTCACTTTTTATATTACCCGTATGTCACTTTTTATGTTACCTGTATGTCACTTTCTATTGCATAACCCTTATGTTGGCTTCTTGTGCTACTAGTCTGGTCAATATCAATGTTCACCAGGGGGAAAAAAAATGTTACCAAGCTAAATATGCTATTTTTAGAAAGGTTATGGCCTCCGCTTTTGAAAATTGAAAAATCCCCATTTGGACCACCTGGGGAAATTTAGTTATGAGGGATAATTTGCAAACTAGATCTGAACTAATGAACCCATATTTCACCATTTTCAAGTGGCATATATCAGGAATTATAAGGAAAAACTATACTTAGCTGATGAGTTTCATCCTTTAAGTCACTTTATCAAGGCAATGATGAAGTCCCTCAGAGGATGAAACACATCAGCTAAGTATAGTTGTGGGTAATTCAGTTCGCCTGTCGTTTGCAATGACTGAAATGGATTAAAGTGCTTGCTTTCGTCCAGTCCTCCGGTCTACCAACTGAGATATCGCTAGTGACCTCTTATTCTCTCAGACTTGTTAGTACGCCGTCATGCCAACAATGCGTTCTCCCGTCTTTCTCCCAGACTCGCTATTTATGCCCACATCGGGGGCAACTAAAATTTGACTTCTCGTTCACCCAAGACTTCTGGTTTTATAAATTCAAGCTGGTTTGAATTCTTAGTCTTTATTTTTATTTTTTCCCCTGCACGTCCACCCGCAAGATAGGAATTTCAGAGTAATCCATTACACTTTTAATTGTGGTCGCGATCTTTAAACAGGACCTGACATGCCAAGCAAATAGTTTTTACTCTTGTCTCTTTTTATTCATCTTCTCACCTCTATAGATACACTTAATCTGAGAATATTTACACTTCAGTAGTTATGTATATAGCAGTGAAACAGTAGATAACATAAAAACATAGCACAAAACAAAGAACTACCATCTCTATATGGCTCTTAGTGAATACTAACCAAACAGCCACAATTTACAGACCAATAATTAATCTGTAAATTGAATTTGACAAATAAAACCATCTGTAAGGAGAAATAGGAAGAGAGAAGTGACAGTCCAACAGATATTTTAGAATACTTTTTGATTAACCTATATGTTGCTCTCAGACGTTTATCTCATTGTGTAGAACTTTCAAGATGGCCGCATGATATCTGTATATTTTGCAAACCAGAAAGCGCTTATGTTTCATATCTCAGGAAGCGCTTATGTTTTATATCTCAGGTAGCGCTGATGCTGAGAACATGACATTTTGCCTCGTTATAAGTGTTGTTACCAGAGACAAATTAGCAGTATAATTTTATCTTCACTTTGACTTCTTCCTTTTTGGCAGTCTGGTCAGTAAGACATAAGACCTATTTGAAGAAGATTTGATGGTCTTGTGTGTTACAAGCAAAATGTATGACTGGAGAATGAAGAAAACAACTACATAGAAATAACTCATTACATCAAGCAACTGACTGAGCAACTTGAGACCTGAAAGTCCTGTTTTGTTAAGCAAACTGATGGCTGACAACGAAAGTGCTTATTAAAAACGTGTGTATATCTTTTCACATCTTTTTGATGTCTGCCAAAAATGTGATCCTTGGTACAAAAAACAGAAAATAATAGAATCTGAACTCTTTAATTCAAATACTTTCACAAAAATACTAAACCCAGAAAATAGCGTTCCATCAAAAAAAGGTTATAAGACACTACAATGAGTATTGAAACGTTCCCTACTCCACCACCCAAAATAGCAAGCAGAACAATGTAAATGGCCTGATATAACTCAAAATAAATGTTCAAATGAATTAGCATCGTCTTCCCATTCATCCTCTTCTTTTTGAGCGAGAGTAATGTTGTTGCAATCAGTGCCCCTACAATCACTGCATGCTGTTATACACGTGAAACCATGTTCCCGGCAAGAGCAGATGTCTGTGCTGCAAAGACTCTTGGACAAAATCTTGCTCTTACAACACACAAACCTCAGTAGTTTCACAGGAGCAAAATCTAGATTGGTAAGAACTGGGGCTAAAGTACCGTTTATCATTTCCCAACCCCAGCTGCAAGGATCAAATTGACAATGACCTAAAGTTTTCCAAGTCATAGCTTGAAGATACAGATACTGGGAAACAAACATGACTGTTCAGTTGGAGCTAGTTTTTTCAGGTTGTAACTTTTTCATTGATGTTGCTGAGGCAGTCCAATGTATCGCCTGGTTTTGTTCTATACATCTTGACAAGATGCAACCTGGGTAGGAGAAGCAGTTGCATCAGCTAAAATAGACAGGATTTGATTTATGAATAAGCCTGATTATCTCACATTTCCCATACCATCTCCATGTGTGGATGACTGGCAAGTTTTGCAGAACATAGGAGTTTGTCTTCTCTGCGATTTCACAGATACTGAGCAAGCAGCTTCATCTTTCCCCAAGGCTTCTTTCTCTCGGAATGCATATGTCAGCCGTATCAGGGGAAAAGTGGAAAAGTAAAATGTCATATTCCGTGCTAATAGAAATATATACTTGAATAACACGGTGGATAAAATAAGTAAAAGTTTATTGTAAATAATCAGTACAATAAGAATAAAGGTAACAGTTATGCACAAGGTCGTTGCAAGTCAATGCAGTAGTGAGTGCTAACATTGGAAGGTCGGTAGTTCTCTCGTAAGTCTGAGTTGTACTCGACAGATCCTAGCTAGACTCTGTAGTCCGTTGACTTACCGATACTCATAGGTAGTTACTACCTATAGTGTAGTTACTCATGGGGGTGACAGGTTATTCCATTACATCATAAAAGAACAAGAGTGTACATGTCATCAGCTATTGGAGTCACTAAATTTTTGTTTTCAGTCGCTAGTTTGAGCATTTCAGAAACAATGTCCGTGTCCGTGTCTCCCTCTCTTTGGACCACTCGATGACTGTTTGCTTCCAAGGAACAACATTTTGACAAATTAATCTTTGTTCTTTTCATTTGATAGTAAGAGAGCACTTCAGGAACAGCAACTTGTAATCCATCTTCGATTTATATGTTAGCAAAAATCTGAGTTGCTCTTCACTGATGTTCATGGTCTTTTATGGACGGACCTGCCTAACCATAAAAAATGATGCTTGATGGCCCATACTCGGCCTTCACATAGCTCAGGTATTGTTTTTTCCCATGACTATATGTCACCCTAGGCAACCACTTCCCTTGGTGGAGGAGAGCATCACCATCTAAAAAAAAACATTGTGTCAGCTGTCAGCTGAGATTCAGGTACGTCAGTGGGCAGATGATGTTTCATCACGACTTTGTTTTTTCTTTCTCATTTGGAAATTCTTGAAAATTGAAGTTGGAAATGGAGTGAGTTTGAACTTGAAGAACAGAGTCACGTCTTCACATCTTTCAAGCAGAACAACCAGACTTGAAAACGGAGCATTAGAGTTGTCAACATGAAAATTTTGACCATCAATCTTTACACATTTTTCCAGCTCAACAAGCGTACACCCTTGAGAACTTCTTTTCAGTGTTTTCTCTAAAACGTTCATATTTTCAAGCTTTTTCTGGATAGAGTGACCTATCTCCTCAACAATATTGCAATTGATTGCAGCACCATCAGATGCTGTTGTAGTTCTGGCTGACTTGGATCAAAGGGGTTGTGCTGAGAGATCCATTTGAAAACACCGGCCATATCAACAAGATCTCACTTCCGACATGCTCCCTCATTCTGTGAGAAAGATCAGTCAATTGGGCACAGGTGTACATACTATGCACCCACATCAATCTCACAGATTCGGTAAACCCATGTCATTCGACCTCTGCACTTTATGGATCTCATCATCACTTGTTCAATGATGAGATCAGTTGACAAGTGGGCCCAGTAATGGTCACTGTGTTGCATAGAATGAAACCTCTACTCTGAGAACTGTTGATGTGTCCAAGGATGCTTTTCAGGCAATTCTAGCATACATTGTAGGTACAATCATGCCCTCATTGCATAGTTGAAATGCCTGGTTGCTGCAAATAAATTTAGCATCTGCCCCAAGATGCAAATTCTAATCCCCTGTTCTTTCGACATGAATAAACACCTTGAGCATGTCGAGGTACTCAATATAAGCCAGCCATGAGTATGCTGTTCTTGATTTACTCCTGAGTTCATGTATCAGAGTATCGAGCACTCATCAGTATTGATCTCATGCGCTTGGAGTTTATTATACAGATTGTTTATTTCATCCACATCAGACTGTTCTAGTTTCTCAGCCTTGCACCACCACATCATAGAAATTATCTTGAAACACATCAGGGACAAATTCCTCTTCCATGCCAAAAATAATTTCTTCCTCATCTACCTCTGCTAGATCAGCTCAGTCTGATAACTGAGAAGTCGATTGATTAGCATCTGCTGGAAGCACATCATCGATAAGTTTGCTCATCAAGGCTGCATGTACAAAGAAATGTGCTCATAAAGCTCTTGAGATAGCCTTTCCTGAAAGAAGGTATGACACTAAAGTTTCCGCATAGATGGTTGTCACTAACTTGGACAACCCATCACCATTCATAAGACTTTCTTCCTTACCAGAAGGAGAGGTTTTGGTTGTGAAGAACTCATTGAAACAAGCCTGAATTTAATTTCCTATCCTAAGTTTGTGCAAACATATTTATATATAACTTGTAAGTGCATAGATGTGAATTACTTACAGGTAACAAAAGAAAGAACTTCTTTCCATTTCTATTAAATACATAAATGCTACTAAATGTCTCTTAGTGTCTTCCTACATCCTCACAAGAACCCAGAGATTAGGAATACAAGAGCAATATGTATATTCAGATTTCTTAAACTTGTATTGCAGAACAGTATTCTTCTTAGAACTGGAATAACACATCTCTATCTATAAAAGGCAGGATGTGTGTGTGTGTAACAAATGCACGGACACAATTTTCGACAGATTTCCACCAAAATTTACATGCACTTGCTCCAAGTTAGCGCGAAGGCCAAGACTGACTTTGCATTTCCCAACTCTCATCGATTTTTTCATGCTTCTACGGCAGTTTTCATGTAGTTTGTGGCCATTTTCTACTGGCCAGAGTGAGAGCCTATAGCTGGCTGCCATGAATAGGCAGGAAGATTCTATTGGCCAGCGTGAGAGCCAACAGCTGACTGACATGAATGTTAACTAGCATGCTAACATGCAAAAAAAATTTGATAGCTGCATTCGTAACAAGTGGGAAAAATTTAAATCTGCATGGCACTTTACTCCAATTGGCTCATTCACTTGCTTAAACTCAACGTTGATTCTGAATCTGCAGAACTGGGTTCGGTGTGAAAAAGTATTTGTTGTTAACATTCTTTTTTATTTCGGTTTTTCCAGTTACGAGTCCTTTTTTAAAGCTGATCGTTTTGTGTTCATTTTGTTTAGTTCTTTTTTTCGTAACAGATTTAATGTTTAGTATAGAGCTTAGAAAAAATTTTCAGTGTGAGATAGGCAAGAAGTAAGGCATGTAGCAACATCAGCATGGCAAAGGGCACTCCTTTAAAGGCAAGGAAGGGCAAAAATATTTTAAGTCAAGTGATAGTGATTGCTGTATTAGTCGTACGATTTTTGAATCAAGCACGGACAACGCCAGGCCATGCTGCTAGTAACACATATGTTAGTAGCATAAATAATACAACATGAAACATTTTCATCAGCAACAGAATTCAAGAAGAAAAGTTAAAATACAAGCATTAAACAAAATTCTTCTATTCCTTACAATTCACTCTCAGTTGTTCATTTCACTGATCCAGAACAATCCAAATAAAGTCCACATTCAAATAAAGTCCCTCTCTATTGAATGCTATCTATTAGCTGATAATATCTGATCTACAAGAATCTGAAGCAGTTGCAGGTTATATTGTATAATCAGGAAACATAACACCAACTGCTTAACATTAGAAATTGACATAATGTCCGAATAAATTGTAAGACACATTTGAAATGACCTGTGCATAAAAGCCACTTATGAGTGTAAAAATAATCAAGTAGCTGAGAACAATATTTCACATTATAACACCTGTTTTTTTTTTTTTATTATTTTTTACAAAGAAAATGGGGCTCTGATAAACGGACATAAAAAAAAAAAAAAAAATTCCCAAAGGTGGATGAGAAGGAAGTTATTTTCTTCCAGAATATAGAATTCTGCTTCCAATGATATCAAATATGACTTGAAAACATTTTTCCTTTCATTGCACCTTATATTCAATCTAAATCAACCAGACTACACCCTTATATTGACCTCTATTCTTACTCTTATGTCTCTCTCTCTATTCTTGTTTAACATTCATGTTAGCCACTCTACATGTGCTACCCTTATGTTGACCTCGCTTCATGTGCTACCCTTATGTTGACCTCGCTTCATGTGCTACCCTTATGTTGACCCCGCTTCATGTGCTACCCTTATGTTGACCTCACTTCATGTGCTACCCTTATGTTGACCTCGCTTCATGTGCTACCCTTATGTTGACCTCGCTTCATGTGCTACCCTTATGTTGACCTCGCTTCATGTGCTACCCTTATGTTGACCTCGCTTCATGTGCTACCCTTATGTGACCTCGCTTCATGTGCTACCCTTATGTTGACTTCACTTCATGTGCTACCCTTAAGTTGACCTCACTTCATGTGCTACCCTTATGCTACCCTCTCTGTGAATGTCAGTCAGAATTCTTAATTATTCAATGATTGAATATGTTTCTTGTCAGTTCAACAACTATGAAATACCCCTTGAAATGCCCCTATTATGTCATTAAATATTTGAGTTTAACAAAAGATTATGATAACAATCCCAATTCTAAATACAAGTTAATATTTACACAAGAGGCTACAAATGAAAATATTCCAATTTGGCTTTACTGTCTATTTTCATATATTTATAACACTTCATTTGAAAAGTTTCACTTTCACAAGCTAAACCTTAAATATGTATATACGCACACAGTAATTTAAATTTTCTTTTCATAAAATATTTTTGTAATATTTGTCTCTTTTCTTCTTCCTTATTTGTTGGTATGCAATACTTTAACTCTGACATCAAATAATCTGCGAGCCCTTTTTACTTGCTTTCTTTTTTTCTTTCTTTCTTTTTTCTTTCTTTCTTTTTTCTTTCTTTCTTTTTTTTCTTTTTTTTTTTCTTTTTTTTTTTTTTTTCTTTCTTTTTTTTCTTTCTTTCTTTTTTCTTTCTTTCTTTTTTCTTTTTTTTTTTTTTCTTTCTTTTTTTTTTCTTTCTTTTTTTTTTTTCTTTCTTTTTTTTTTCTTTCTTTTTTTTTTTCTTTCTTTTTTTTTTTCTTTCTTTTTTTTTTCTTTCTTTTTTTTTTTTCTTTTTTTTTTTTTTTTTTTTTTTTTTTTTTTTTTTTTTTTTTTCTTTCTTTTTTCTTTCTTTCTTTTTTTTCTTTCTTTCTTTCTTTTTTTCTTTCTTTTTCTTTCTTTCTTTTTTTTCTTTCTTTCTTTTTTTTCTTCTTCTTTTCTTTCTGATTTTATGTATACTTTCTTTAACTAAAACCAAATCATGTCATTGATATATATTTTTCTTCAGATTTTTGCCTCACAATGAAAAGGGGATCTTAAATAATAGCATGGCATAACAGACATGTGAAGTGGGGGGGACATTATAATTTGATTTTTGTAAATGTTTTCTCAGTATTTCTCCATTGAGAGCTTATGTACATTTAAATTCTTTTATTTTTTAAAACTCTATATTATATATTTTTTACTACAATGTATTGAATATGATAAATTTAGATCTTTGAAGAATGTCTTTTTTTCTTCTCAAAGTCCTTAATATTTTATTTCTTTATTTGCAGAGAATGTATTTGAGTCTGACCCTGGCAATATTGAGGCACTCCCAAACACGGCGCCATCTTCTCTCCACTGTTTTATATCCTCAGTTTAATAAACTAGAAAAACATTTCATCACCTTTCTTTCGCTAAAGAATCGACATTATTCAATTGAAAAATCTAGTGAAATCTTGATATCGCCAAAACAATTCCTTTTTTATTGACATATTAGTTGGTGTCTATGAAGACTGACAACTGATATAGCATTTGAATCCCCAACTCTGAGCCAGCCTCATTGCAAAACTATGAATCTGAAGGGAGGGAATACTGTTGTATTCCCTCCCTTCAGATTCATTAAATTTCATAGAGGAGGGCAGATGCTATATTTTGATCCCAGCCTGAATGTCAGATAAATGTAGTGTGATCTGAGGAAGAAGGCTGTGGAGTGACACTTTTTAGCCGAGGCAGAAGGAACAGATATTCTGATCTTAAGTCAAAATATTGATCCATGCATAAATAACCTTATTTTTGATGGGTACTGTGCTGGAAATAACTTGAGATCAAATAGAACAATAATGTTTATTCCTTTGGTAGTTTATTCAATAGAGTAATTCCTTATGACAATGAACATACTTTATCTGAGCGTTCAAATAATTTAAAAAACAAAAAGTTGTCCCACTTTGAACAAAAACTTCTTGTGCTAAAACTGGCACTAAAATGTGATGTGATTGCTATAATCTAGGAGAATCATATTGCTAAGAGAAACGTTTGGTTTTTAAATAACTATAAACTTATTTCAGTCACCATCATTTTGCTTCCAGTCAGATGATTAAATTTCAAATCTAAATTGTTTGTCCATTTAAAATATTATATTTATTAGAAAATATATTCAGTTTAAAGGCAAAAGGAGTCAGAAAAATGACTTCAAAAGGCCGGCTTATATCATTTTCCGGTTATTCAGGGGTTGTTGCCAGACAGAAATGGAATTTAGCCCTTGTAATACAAATGCCCCTTTCAATTTTTATTCAGAGTAATTCGCTATGTGTCATTTTGCTAAAGGTAGGATGAGCTCATTTCAAATCAAAATTCTTTCTACATTTAAAATACTACATTTATAAGAAAATATGTTCAACTTAAGTACAGAAGAAGTCATAAAAATTACTTTTTTTTCTACTCAAAGGTAAAATATTAACTTATGATATATTTTGTGTAAGATTGGACACTGCTTGGCTAATAAAACATTAATTTATCATATATCTTGTTTATAAGTTAATAGTCGGGGCTGAGCAAAAATATCATTAAATTTTGGTAGATCTCGTGTATGAGTTGACCCTTAATAATTATTCAAGAAGACATTAACTTTTGGTATATGTTGTATATGAATTGACAATGGTTGGCCAATAAAACATTAATTTTTATATATATATATATATATATATATATATATATATTATAATTATTTTAAAAATAAATAATTCCATCCCTACATAAGAGTTCTCATGTTTCAAAAACAGAAGCTAAAAAACCAGCTCTGTTTCATCCTCAAGTGAATTTTGGAATAACTAATCTTGAAATTTACAGAGCTTTATAAGCATATACATTCGTAATATTAATTACATGGAAATGGCTAAACCAATTTGATAAATTTAAATTTTCATTTGATAAATTAAAAAATTCATTAACATTTATGACATTATTTATGTATATATCAACTTAGGACTTGATTTTAGGAGATACTAGGCCAACCCTCTTCTCCCTACAGCTATGGGTAAATAGCAGGACAGACTGGTCTACCACAGAAAGAAATGGCAGCCTACTGCGGGGAAAAAATCTGCCTCATCAGTCATATATTGAAAGATACGTGATCGCCTAAGCATGTATTATGCATGGCACATAACTGAGAAAACTCTAAACCTGTTGGGTTTCTTTTAAAAGCAGTTCATGATACAAAATGATGAGGTAACAATTTTATTATTAATTACACATATTTTAATTTGTATTTAAAGGCAGGAAAAGAAAGTTTATTGTTCCACCTGGGCTTCAGAGTTAATACATTGCATGAAAATTTGGAGTATTAGCTTAAAACAGATGTAGTCTTTTTCAAAATAATAAGTATATTTTTTATTAATTATTAGTTAATAAGTAAAAGATTTTTTTGCCCCAAAATGAATGAAAACCACTGAAAAGGCCTGAATGCAAATATATCCTGATTTAAAGTATGAAAATAAATTATTTTATAATATCAGTAGGTACATGTTTTATTTCTTAATATTAAAAGAGAAATGTCTTCCATAAAATATATTTTGAATACAAAATTAATAATTAATACTAAAAACCGTAAAAGCAGGTTTATTGTTCCACCTGGGCTGCATAGTTAACAGATTGCGTGAAAATTTGGAGTAATAACTGAAAGCAGGTGGAGTCATTCCCACATAACTATATTTTTTTATATTTCTTCCTTGCATTTATTTCAAAATATGTAATGGTAGTAAATCAGCATGCATCTATTTATTTACCACCAAGTCATATGACACATGTAGCCTCCTCTTCACCTTTCAAGTAGTTGCTTATAAAAAAAGTACTAATATAGCAAAATGAATCATATGAATATATGTTGTGTTATACATATTTAAATTTATTTAATAGTATTGTTATGATGTATTATGATGGTTTATTATTCATCACACATAATAGTTGGAATATAATATGCAAGGGTTTGTTTATAGGGAACACTTTGATGTGGTGTAATGATTAATAAGCTAGATCAATTAGAACTTAGTAGTGAGTTCAATCCTCACTGTGTATTCTGTATTTTTGACCTTGTGCCACATACAAGTTACACTTACTAAATAGATATATCAACTTTGGAAATTATTTTAGGAGATATGTTATTCATTTTCTTATGGCATTGTTTATATGTGTTTGTTAACTGTACATTTAACAGCTCACTAAAGTTTTTGATGATGTGACAAAACTTTAATATTTTACATAATATTTATTGTAATTGATTATCTCCCCTTGTATTTGCTGTTTTCACTTCTCACACATTTTTTCTTTTTCCTTAATTGACTTACATTTGACAAAATCAAGTTCCCTGTTTTTTTGCATATCAAGCCACCTGATGACAAAGGGTTATTTGAGATTGTCCCAAGGGTTTGGTGGCCCAGAATTGGAGAGGTAAGTTTTGAATTAAAACTCAAACAAGTTGAAAAGTTCTTCCACATGTGGTATGTTCTAAAGAACTGTAACTCTAAGACTATCCCTTGTTACATTCCATCTGCCTCTCTGGTCAGTGGTTCCAACATATTCAACTTGTTGAAATATCAGTATCTGTCTATATTTCTGAGATGAGATATTATATACACTATTTACATTATTTGGACTATTGTCCTCATCTTTGTCGCCACATTTATCAATGTTTCGGCTGTTGTACACTCCGGCCTTCTTCAGGTGGTTGGAATGTCAAACTGAATCCTTTATTTCGCTCACTGAGGAAGACTGTTCTTGTTCCATGTGCCATGGGTAATGGATGTTAGTTATCTCCTGTTAATTCTTCTCTGAAAGTTCTGCACTGCCTTAACCAGGTATTGAACTCACACTTTTTGGGTCCCATCACTGGATCTAACTAACATCTTTATCCACTGTGCCATGTGTCTATATATGTTGAAATATCCCTTAAAAGATTCATTGAATCAAGACCAGACTTGAAATGCATAATTTAAGTATATGTTGACTATATGTTGATGTAATTTAATGAAAAGCCAAGAAAAATATTTTGATGACTGAATAATAATGCTATGAACATACGAGTGTAAGTCAAAAATTATCCACACTTTTTTCATAATATATCTGTTTTATGAATACAAATAATTTTTTACTTTCCCTTTTATGTCAGCCAGATCAGATCTTGTATATACATTGTGTGCCTTAAATATATTTATCACAATTATAATTTGCTTCTTTAAAATTTTTTTTTCTTCTTTAATATTGAAATAGGTATAAAGCATAAAGCATGTGTTTGCATGTGTTATATGAACATATTTGTTGTATGTGTGCATATATGTATATACAGGGAGTGGAATAAATACTTCCCATATATATAGATAAAACAATTGCTAGATGAAGGCACCTTTGCCACTAATGACTTAACATTATCTAGGAGGTATTTCTGCTGTATCCTGTGTGTGTGTGTGTGTGTGTGTGTGTGTGTATATATATATATATATATATATATATGCACACACAAAATAAATATGTTCATATAACACATGCAATTACAATCAGAAGTGTTGAAACAAAATGGTTATTTTTGTCGTGATTTTATAACATATTTATGTTATAATTTTTTAATAATATATATATATATATATATATATATATATAGTGTGTGTGTATTCTGTCTTTATTAAGAGAAAATAGCATACTTAGACAGAAAGTACTTGAGAGTGCAACTAGCTTTTCTTCCCAAAATGGTAAGTTGCAGCCTGGACTTTTTTAAAATATCTCCTTTTTTGAAAGAAATACTCCTTTCCCAAACCAACATACATGACCATATAAATGTTATGAAATTAAAAGAAAATGGCTAACTCAAAAGTTATTATTTAAAATAAATACATACATAAATGATTTATTAAGTTCAAATAATAATTACATTAATGAAAATAAATATATTTAAACAAAAAAAAAAAAAAAAAATTCAACAACAGCATTAACAAAATTTACTTGCTTTCATTTATTAGTCATTAAATTATGTCACTTAGTATCCTCCATAGTTTACCTTAATTAAGAATATTTTAGAGCATTTAAAAATGCTGTAAAATATTCTTAATTAAGGTAAACTATGGAGGATGCTAAGTGACATAATTTTGAAAAATTAAAAATATTTTTTACTTGTGTTTCTAAATACATGTTGCAAAATATAATGTTAAATTTACCTTGATAAAGTCCCTCAGGGGTTGAAATGTGTCAGTAAAGAAAAGTTTTCCTTTCATCTTTATATATATATATATATAGAGAGAGAGAGACTAGGGAAAGTTATCTTAGCTGGCATGTTTTGTCCTTTATCAAGGCAAATGCAAGGATTTTATTTTCTAACAAGTATTTATAGACAAGAGCAAAAATATTGTTTGTTTCTGAAAATTTTTAAATTTAAGAAACACTCATGAATATTCAACAGGTTAGCTGAAATGTCTAGGTAAGTTATGGAGGACACTAACTGACATAATGTCTAATAACTGAAGGTGGGTAAAAGATGTTCTTGAAAGTTTTTTTTTGTATAAATTAATATCAAAATTATTTAAGGTTAAAACTTGAAAAACTAACATTTTTGCTCTTGTCTATAAATACTTGTTAAAAAATAAAATCCTCACATTTGCTTTGATAAAGTCCATCAGAGGACAAAACAAGTCAGCTAAGATAAGTTTTACTTTTGTATTTATTAAATATTGTCCTTTTATGGATATATTCAATCTGAAAAAATTTACATATATATATATATGAATTAAGACAAAAGCAAAACTTAGCTGATTTGTTTTGTCCTCTGATGGACTTTATCAAGGCAAATGTAAGGATTTTATTTTGAAAAAAGTAGTTAGAAACAAAAATAAAAATGTTTCTTAGAATTTTTAAATTTAAGAGATGCTCATAAATATTCATTAGGCTAACTGAAAAGTTTGGGTAAATTATGGTGGATGTTAAGTGATATAATTTACTGCCTTTATTTAATTATATCTGAAATTTTTACACGTTGATTGATCTCTCTTCAGGAAGGGATTGTACTGCCTTCACGGACAGAAAAGGAGGAAGAAGACAGACTAGAATATTTTGCATCTTGTGAACATCTCAGGAATAAAATCGAAGGTAATCCTTTTCATATTTCTGAATTGTCTCAGGACAGACTTAGGCCTGCTACTGGAAACATGTAACAAAGTACAACCTGCTGTATGGACTCATGGTCGGCATCTAAACCAGATATATATATATATATATATGTATGTATATATATATATATATATATATATATATATATATATATAATATAAATATACATTTTTTTCATCACTGGTAGCACAACACTGAGTTTCATGCTCAATGCAATCATCAGCTGCTGAGTTAAAACTGACCATTACATAATTTAAATTTTGATATATATACTGGACTATAGAAATAGTGAAGCAGACCATATTATTTACAGGGTTTGTTGTAAAAAAAAAATAAAATTGAAAATCAATATAAATAAATGGAGAAAAAAATTAAATAAATTATACACATATAAACAAATGTACAAAACCACATGTCCACACAACTTAAATACCTCGTTTTTTTATATATATATATATATATATATACACACACACACACGCATGCACATACACACTAAAGAAAAAACATTTATATTGTTATGACCAACAAACAATTTAGCAGAATACCTAACACTTTAGAAAAGAAAAAAATCCCAAAGAAAAAAGAAAGACAAAATGTTAAACACCTACCTACTTTAGTAAAAGTGCTCAATGTCCAAATTATCTAAGACAGAGCAAAAAAAGGCATTGCAACATCAACACTTCCTGTTCTTGCCATCTGAATATCGTGAGAACATGAAACTCCAATAATGACTCAGTATGTCCTTTCTTATACATACATACATACACACATACACACATACATATATGGCTAGGTCCGGATCTCAATCCTTGAATGGCATTGTTCTTAGAGATGGTATTTCAATAAAAAACATTTGGTGTACTTATACTACTATGTGTTTGAATTGGACCTTAGGAAGAGCATCTGGCCTTATAAAACCTTGCCTCGAATCATTATGACTAAAGGTCAGGCATGACCCACCCTTGCTTCGTGTAAAATTAATCCTGGTCCTGCCTCCAAAAAAAAAAAACAAACATGGCTATGACCATGATGATGAGTAAGATAGAAAAAACACGTTAGGGCTGCGTTGTCAAGGTTTTCTATATCATTATTTTGTCTTTACCACTGGTTGTCCATTTGTTATTATATGCTTTATTATTCAAACCAGAATGCTCATCTAGACTTTTATATTTACGAGATTTTGTCTGTTGTACGCTTCATTTCTATAATAAATGTAAACTGAATTTCAATTTCAAAGATGATGCTCAAAATAATTTCCTTGAAATTTAATTAAAAGTACTAGTTTTAATGTCATTTTTGATTTTGACCCCCAAACTTTCTCAATTTTTATTCAATGTGATCTTATTTTTTTAATTTTAATTTTACAGAAATAGAAAATCTACAAATTGAGATGCTAAAAGTTTTGTTAATACACAATGACGAGAAAGATGTAAGTATAAGATTTGCACTTAATCATGTTGCATGTCTTGAAAATGTAGATACATTGATAGCTGGCCATGTAAATTTTGTAAAGACACATGTCTTGCAAACCTATATGGTAACAGGCAATGTAAGTTTCATCAAGACATATTCTTCTGCAACAGTAAAAGTATTAAATGCACAATTTTTAAAAATCATTCATGTTAAAGCTGTTTCACTGTGTCATGCCAGAAAATGTTTCTTATCAGGATCCATAACTAAATCTAACATTCATCCATGGATTGAGTACTATTGCCATATCTGGTCTGGGACTCCTGCTGTATATCTCAAGATTCTTGACAAAATTCAAAGAAGGATCTGTAATGTAATCGATCCTGACTTGGGATCTCGATTTCAGTCACTTTCTTACCAACGTGACGTGGCTTCCCTCTGTCATTTCTATAAATATTTTCATGGCAACTACTCTGACAAGGTTTTTTCTTCCCAGGTGCCCTGGCTACATGAATTTAAAGTGTGCTCCTAGATTGGCAACTAGGTCTCACCATTTTACTGTTGAACTAGCTAGATAACTGCCACCTGTACTCTTAACAGTTTCTTTTCTCGCACTTCCCACCTGTGGAACTCCTTTCTGATTTTTTGCTTTGCTGATAACTATAATCTTCAAAGATTTAAGTGTAACATCAATAATCATTTGTCTTCTTGATCCCTGTTCCTTTATTGTCCTTTCCTCAATCCTCTCCATTATCATTCTCAGTCACTCCCTGTACCCCCCCCTATAGCCATAGTGGCATTATTGCCTTGCTTGGGGTGAAATATCTGTTGATATGCAAAATGAATTAACAAAATTTTTGTATTTTATTTATATTTATATATATGTATATATTTATTTATATTATTATCTATGTGATTATTAGAATGAATGTTACTTAATAAATCTTACATTTGATATCATTGATGACAAAAAGAAAAAAACTTTGTCGTAAATTCTGCAAAAAGAAATAAAAATTGTGGAAAAGCTTTCTACATATAATGGAGACTCAGTTTAGTAATTATCATAAGAATAAATTCAAATTCTGGCTTTAAGTTAAAGGGAAATAACGGAGACATCTGAAAGAGGCATGTCACGTGGAACTAGAACAATTTACCCACTCCGGTGGATGAAATAAAGGATTCGGTTTGAAATTCCAATCACCTGAAGAAGGCCTGAGAGTACAATGGCCAAAATGTTGTGAATATAGCAATGTAGATGAGGATAACACTCTGAATAATGTAAATAATCATAATACCTCATCTCAGAGATATAGACAAATATAGAGTAGACTGGGCTCTCTAGTCTTGGATGGCAGCCAATCAAAAAGATTACTTTCCATAACTTTAGAGAAGGTAAGAGGAAACCATTCCACTATATTTTTCAAGAAGTCATGACAATTTTATAAAGAAAATAAATCTGTGGAAAAGATAGTGTGAAATCATTCCACTATATTTCTCAAGAAGATATGGCAATTCACAGATAATAAAGAAAATGACTCTATAGAGAAGGCAACGGGAAACCAGTCCACTGTCTTTCCCAAGAAGTCATGGCAATTCACAGATAATAATGAAAATGAGTCTATAGAGAAGGCAACAGGAAACCACTCCACTTCACAGATAATAAAGAAAAGGAGTCTGTGGAGCCCAAAACCAATTATGTCTGGAAAGGATATAACATTTATTTTTTTTAAATATCATAGCACAAGGCTTATCTTCTCACATAAATGAATTGATCTCTTCTTCATCCAACTATGTGCTAAATAGTAGGGTAGACTTTGCCTTGGATGACAGTCTAGAAGGAAAACTGAATTCAAAACCGTGGAGAAAACAACAGAAAACCAATGCATTATTCAATGGCAATTGACAGATAATATAGAAACGTAATCTGTGAAGAGCTATGGCTACCTATATCCTGAAACATATAGCATTTAAAAAAAAATGTTCTTTTAAAAACTGGGTTGTCTTTCAATATTTCAGGGTAAAACCTCAAGAGATTTATTCTTAGAGAAATTCAGAGGCTTCCTAAAAGAAAATGCAGGTACCCGGGTAAGTATTTTCCCTCATTCACTCTCCCCATCTCTATATGACCTTTTATTGATGGTGCTCGACAGCTTCCTGTTTTTTTGTGTCTATTAGATTGTTAATATTACTTCCCTTTTCACTCAAAGTTGTTTTCTGTTGCCATAGCAGGATATGACAACACAACTATGAAATTCAAACACACTATTGTTTAGGGATCATAGTCACCTTTAGTGGCAGGACACACTTTTTGTACAGCAAATGACGTCACATACAGGGTGATAAAGGTTAAATGACCAACAGAGTGCTTATCCTGTCTTGAATTTGGAAAGGATGTCAAACGTCTTTTTATTTTAAAAATACACTGATAATTGTTTTTTTTTTTTTTGGAGAGGGGGGACCTATATTACTCGCTAATCTCTTCTAAAAATTCTACATATTCTAACTGATTGTAGTGACCTTGCCCCTATACATCAACGATTTTATGACAGGATTAGCCTCGAAGGCTTTTTCAAGAAGATATGAGTAGAGATTATCCTAGCCTAATGGAAGGAGGCACATCTATAACAAGAATTTATCGCACCAAATAAATCCTTTCTAAAAGGCATTAAATAACAGAGTTGATTTGCCATTAAAACGGAGCAATGAATCAAACGTTTTTTTCATCTGTGAAGAGATTGTTCTTACATTCACCTTCAGACATTACAAGGAGTGGTGAAAGGTTCTCAGCTCTCTCCCCGCACCAAAAAAAAAAAACAATTTGATGTTTGGTTAGATTTTTGGAAGTGCCTCAGAGTACAAACTTCTGCAGCATCCACTTATACAAGACAGTGTCCAACATTGTCTATCAGAATTCCATTTTATACTTTACCTGGCAACAAAACACAAATAAAAATGATTGCTAATTAAATGATGATATGTTCTTGAAAGTAATAACTTTGATTTAAAGTTGTCCATCTGTAGGTATACTGATTGATTGATTTGTTTTTTACAGCTTACCAACCTCTTTGCAGATTATTTAAAGCCAGAAAATATTTTTAGATTCCAGCATTATTTAAATTTTTTTAAAATAATAATGGTTTAGTAATACAAGTTTTACTAATTAATTGATGGGGGAGAAGTGGTGGATTCTTAACTTTCCCAAGGCTATTTGCATGTGAGTTAAAATATCACACCTGACTAGAATTGGAACTTGGCTCTCTGATTTCCAATTCTGAGTCATTACCCATTACACCACCTGCACATCCAGGCTTTCAGCACTGGGTTTTCCCAAATGGTCAACTATCTAGGTCAGGGTTTCTCAACTGGTGCACCCAGACAAACTAATGCGTCCTGAAAGGTATTCAGGTGTACTCCAAGTTAACAGAAAACTAATTTATTAATTACTTTTATATTTAAAAAAAAATCTTTATTTGTAAAAAGCTAGAAACATCAAGCATATGGCTTTCATGCCTAAGTCTTTGTCATTTGGTATTTTAAATGGGATGCTAAATTCCTTAATCTTTAATAAGTAGTGGATAATCCTTTCCTTTTTGCCTTCCTCAAAGCATAGCATTATAAGGCCTAACATTCAAAAAATTGCCAAAGTAAATGAAGCATAGTTTTCACACAAGTAGCAATATGTCAGCTGAGTTCTTGTTAAATTGAAAGCAACAGTACCTGTCGTAAAAATGGATATCGACATTTACTTTTGACTGATAGTTATCAGTAAGTGAATATACAGAGCAAAAGGCTCAGACAGAGAGAGTCACAGAAGGAAGATAAATTACTTTTTTAGACGAAGATGACAAGACAAAGAAAATTGTTATCTATAAAAGTGACCATCTCACAAAAAGGCACACAGAGGAACGAAGCAGGCCTTGTAGAATGGACAGGGGAGATAGTTGCTGAACTGTGCACCTCCCCTGTCATTTATGCCTCATCTATACTTTGCTCACTTATAGCAGTAGCTTATAACCCAAGAATAAAATCTGGTTTACTGCTAGAAATTGTTTTGTTTTTCACTCATGTGTAACGAACTGACCAAAGGGTAATTTTTAAACCATAAGCGTTTGATTGGAAGAAACTGCACCTTGAGAATGAACCTGGTGTCTGGTCTGAACTGCAGTGCAACAATACTTAAATATACAAATGTAATGTCTTAAAAATAAATGCTTATTTTAAGAGACTTATTTATCATTTACCTATTTTCAAATTTCACAATTAAAGCTTCCTTATTAAAATTTAAAAGTGCACCCAAAAGTTTTAGTTTTTCTACAAGTTTGACATGAAATATAAAAAAAAAAATAATGTTGAAAAACACTGATCTAGGTAGTGACCAACTTCAACATTGCTTAACTTTGGTGATCAAACAAGAACCGTTTTTTCATTATGATATGGCCATAAGCCTCTGTAGGTATAAGAGAAAGAGAAGCTTTTATTGACTTTTAGTTACTGTTAGAATTTTAATGCAATTAACATCATTTTTTTTAAATTCTCCTCTCTTTTTTTTTTTTTCTCTCTCTTCACAAACTCAGTTGCAGCCTATCAACACATGCCCTTTGCCAGTAAGCCTGTGTTTCTTTCATCGTCTTATTCAAGCCTTACGTTTCTATTGGGATGAATATCATCAAAAAGATCCTGCAAGATATTTACCAAGCTCAGGTTAGTTTTTTTTATTATATCTGGAGTTGATTATCTTGTGTTTCTTTTTCTTTTTTTACTTACAATTTGTAAATTCTACTTTTGCCAGCTTCATATATTCCCTGAAACATCTTCTTAAATGAAATAGTAGGTTTGGTATATATATATATATATATATATATATATATATATATATATATATATATATATATATATATATATATATATATACTGCTGCCATAGATGGGCCAGAAACAACCATTACTCAGTTTCCAGTTGGGATAGAATTCAGAATCATCTTCTCATCCTTGTGGTCAGTGCAGGATTTCCATATGGGCTGCAGGCTGGGATCCTAAACACTAGAGGCTGGATGTGCCCAGTTCTCAGTTTCCAGCTGGGATAGAATTCAGAATCATCTTTACAGCCTTGTGGACAGTGCAGGATTTCCATATTGGCTAGTATAGGCTACCACCCAGGGGCCTCCAACACTAGAGGCAGGAGGTGCCCAGTTGTCACTTTCATTTTCTAATAAAACTGGAAAAAATAAAGATATAAAAACAAAGAAGATTTGTTAACTTTCTGATTTAATGAGGTTCCTTTGAACTAATTTGAAACAATTTAGTGTATTTGGGCCCCTCTAGTTGGAGTCGGTCTTTTAAATTTGATGGGGGCCCCATTAGATTTTGATGTATCCTTTTTATATACATAGATTTTTGATGTGGCAAGGTTGTATCAGTTCAGAATTTTCCTTCTCTATTTTCTTTGTTTTTTAGGATGATTTGCTGGTGAATTTGAATCCTAGAGTTTCTGTCTAGTACAGGCCCTTCACTCAAGATACATATCTGTCGGATGTAAAGTTTGGATTAAAAATATCATGAAGTTGCTAATTAAATACATTAGCGGAGTTCTAAAATCATTAGAAATTTTAGTTGAAGTGTCTCATGTTTTACACCAAAACAGTGTCATCTAAAAATATATTTTTTGTTTTATAGACATTGTGGGGTGGGGAACAAACATAAGGAAAGGGGCCACCAAATTCTATTAGCCCAGGGGCCTCTTAATGTCTAAATCATTGAAGGTGATGATTTTTTTCTACCCTATAACGCTCATCCAACAGATGTAATCTTGCAAACATCTCACTATACTGCTATTTCCATGGCAAATGTTCCGATGCGCTACATTCTTTAGATCTGCCAGTTCAGACTGTCACAGCAAAGTACCCCCCACCCCATCACCGCCACGTACACTGGGACAAATGATCCTTATTCCCTTATCATATTACATTAATGAGAAAGAAGTTCCATTCAGGTAGCTTGTTCCCAAAAACTGCTGTTTTGCGGAACAGACACCCGAGACGATGCTTCCCTAATCACTATAATGTTAACCACTTCAGGTCTAGGATTAACTGTTATATTTCCTACATGTTCTCATAAACTGCACTTCGTACCTCCTCCTCTTATGTACCTCAACATCAATCAGTAACCTTCTACCTTGAGTGGCTCTTGTGCCTTTTATTGAGTGAATAGTAAAGCATAAAATTATAAGCAAACCAGCTTTTTTTCTATTTAATTGCACCCCTATCTATCTATATATATATTATAATAAAGAGAAAGAACAGTAAGATATATAATCCGATGTTATTATTAATTATTTTTATTTTTAAAAAAACAGTGCTCAATACAATTCTGCAGAGCACAAATATTAAATTTATTAATGTAAAAGTATGGTTCCATCGCTACACAGGAATTACCATGTTTCAAAAACAAACTAAATCTTAAATTTAATTTATAGAAATAAATTTAAAATTATATCTGATTCATTTTCAAGTGATTTCTCAAAATTTTATTTTGAAAATAAGTTGTTCCAGAAATTGCTTGAAAATGAATCAAAGATAATGATTTTAAATTTAATTCTATAAATTAAATTTAAGGTTTAGTTTCTGTTATATATATATATATATATATATATGTATAAGTTTAATACATTTATTTAAATAAAATTTGTTACTTACTGAATATAACATCAATCAGCTATCTCAACTCTCTGGGTTCATAAACAAATCTTTTTAGTAATTGTTTTGGCCGTTGGTTCCTATCAGAAGCTCATCCATCATTTGAGAAGTCTTGGTTTTTTGTCCTATAGGGTAACATGTCACCCTAATCACAAGCAGAAAAGCTAGTGAGGGAGCTGGTTTAGCATGTGGCAAGTTCTACTGGATTACATGTTACTAGTAGCAGGCCCCTGTGGTTGAAAAAAAATCTTTCTTTTTTATATCAAGTTCTGATTAGCTGTCATTAATGTTAATTCCATCTTGTGTGTCTTGTTCTATATAAATTATCTGTATGATTACGAAACCACTTTTTCAAAATGTCAGGAAATTCATATTGGCCATATCTCCTTGTTTCAATAAATCAATAATTGTTTTGATTTAATTGCTATTTTTTTTCTTTTCTCTTAATTTGGATATCAGCCAACTTGTTTATATATTTTTTTAAACATTTCAATTTACAGAGGCTTATATGCCAATTAATGAATTCAAAAAACCTGGCCGTGACAATCTGGACTTTCAGAGATGTGGAGGATTACTATCTCATTTACAGAGGACCGTTTCTGGTAAGGCGCAGTATTTTTCTTCTCCCCCCCCCTATCATGATTATATGAAGCCTGTTTTTACATAACTTACAATGCTATGTTGAGAACATCTGTGAAGTCTTGAGTCATGTAACCTGCATTCATTTTAATCAGCATTTCCATTTGATTATTATCAGCAAATGAGGGCCTCTTGGAATGTTCTTGGTCTTCCATATCAAAATTACCACTTTTTGTAGTGTGGGGAAATATTTCTTCCATGTTCACTTTCAGTTTAAAAATATTTAATATTCACAATCCGCAGAAAAATCATGTAGATAGAGACACTGAAATCTTTCAGAATATGTTATTATGTATTTATGTACAGAGCAAGGTTAAAAGTTTTGTGGGTGGACAACAATCTCTTCTTGGCACTATTAACCAAGGGAAGATGTCACAGCTTAACAGCCTCTGCAAGACCATCATGCAAGACACTATTGAAGGTGGCCACAAGCAGGGACGACAATACAAGAGCTGGTTAGGTAACATCAAAGAATGGGCGGACATGACAATGGCAGAACTCCTGAGAGCCTGCCACCAGCAGATCATCCTGGAGGAGGTTGCCTGTTTCTTCTGCTCTTAGGTCCCCCTAACGATTGAAGTGGTCAAGGGACTGATTGTATGTTATAAATTTCACTCCAGTGTGAAACGAAATCACATATTCAAATACCATCTATTAGAAAATAACTTTAGATTTGCATCATTATCGCTAATAAAAGTTTGTCTTATTGTGTTCATCTTTAAAGCCCCCTCCCCCCCAAAAAAAATCGTTCTCTCATTGTTTCTGTTGTTACTGGAAAGAGCTATAATAGTGCATTTGAAAAGTTTAATTTCCAAAAAGACAGAAGATAAAGATTTTATATATTTCAGCAGGACAGCAATGCCGTTTGGTCAATGAAGGACCAATGTTTCATGTATGTCGATGGCTGATTTCACCATTACCGTTAGTACCAAAAAATCTTGGCTGATATTAAATTGATATCACAAATTTCTATTGAGACAATGTTACAGCAGTTTTCATTTTTCTTGAAATTCTTCATTTAAATGCAGTCATCTCTTCAAATCTCTTTCAAGTGAAAAGTCTTTTCTTGTATCAGCTTATGGTCACCTCACATTGAAACACTGGTTTCTGTATGATCACCCACCAAAGTTAAGCAATGTTGAGCCTGGTCAGTACCTAGATGGGAGACCACTTGGGAATATGAGGTGCTTGGATGTGTGGGTGGTGTAATAGAAAATTATTAATCAGAGCCAAGTTCTAATTCCAGTTGGGTTTGTACATTCACTTACACGCAAAGACCTTTGGGAAAGGCATGACTCCACTGCTTCTCCCTCCACCTATGGGTTAATTATTAAAACTTGTATCACTAAACCATTATTATCTCCAAGGAAAAAATTCTATCTAAAAATATTTTTTGGCTTTAAATAACCTGCAAAAGGTTGATAAGCTGTAGAAAATAAATTTAGCATTCTTCTTGTAGCTTTCATTATCAGAATATTGACTTTATTATTTCATATTTAAAAATTTAATAAAACATGCTTTTATTAAATGTTGTCTCCTGGACTGTTTGTGAGTTATGGCTCTCCACAACTTCCTGTCTTTTGTTATTCTAAGTAGCTTTTAACCTTTTACCATCCTCTTTGTCCCTGTTCTGCCATTTTTTTTTTTTTTTTTTTTTTTTTTCAACTTTTTTGTTTTATTTTTCTACTTGAATAGTGCGGTAAATTTAACTCCCAAATATATTACTATTCACATGCTACACTAATCATAGGCAGAAGGTGACTACTAACAGTTTCATTGTAGCTTGAGTGTACAGATACTACATTTTGATCCTATGCAGAAAGCAACACTTTTAGCTGAAACAAATTGCAGGGATATTTTCAAAAGTTCTCATCCACACATAAATAATCTTGTTGTTTTTTTATAGGTATTATACTTCCTGTTTTTTGTGCCGTGTTCCCTTCACTGTTGTCCTTCTTCTAGACTGGCTGCCCTACCAATGCTAAAGATCCTAATCTGACCTACTATTTCATCCATAGTTGTGAGGAGAAGAGGTGTAGTCATGCTTTTGCAAAGCCTTTAAAGTGCCATATCTCCTCAGGACATGGGGTTGGTCATGACTCTCCATAACTTCCTGTTTTTTGTTACTTTTAACCCTTTACCAACTCTTTATCTCTGTTTTACTAACTATTCACTCCAACTCATTAAGTAGGTTACTTGCCTTCTTTATATCTTGTGAGTATCAAATTCTCTATAGCTTCTTTCCTTGTCATGTGTCTCTAAAATTTCAACTAATCTCTTTTTGATTCTGAAAGTGTCTTTTTTTTTTTTTAGTTTTCCTTAAAACTTCCTTGTCACTCACATTTTCCATTTATGCTATTCTCAGCATCCTTCTGTAGAACCATATCTCGGTTGCCTCAAGTCTTTGCTTTATCCATGAGGAAATTGTTCACTTTTCACTGGAGATTAGATATTACACTGCAGCAGCAATATTATTGGCCCCATTCTGGCAGCTCAGCTTCAATCACTTTCCCATCACCATAAGGTTGCCTCTCTTTGCTTTCACTCTAGATACTTTCATGGTAATTTTTCAGATGAGCTCTTTGCTATGGTACCTTGCTTTTTGAATTTCAGTACAGTGTTAGACTAATGTCTAGATCTCATCAATTTACAGTTGAGGTGGTTCCTTTTCTCACACTTCTTGCTTGTGGAACTCCCTTCCAGCTCCATGCTTTCCAGCCAACTTTAATCTTCAAAAATTTACATGCAATGTCAATCGCTATCTAATGTCCTCCTGATTACTCTTTCTTCTTCCCACTCATTAATGTTTCAGTTCTTCCACACCTAGTAACCCATTGTGTCTTAGTGGCTTTACTACCTTGCATTAAAAAAAAAATTGAGTCTAAGATTATTTTCTTTGTTTCTAAGGACACAGATTATCTCCCTTGAATGAAAGAAAAATTCAAATAAACTATTCTCGATAATGAATCTTAATATTCATCTTGAAATAGCTGAATATTCCCAGATATTATTTGTATATTTTCTCGTTAAGAAACTATCTGCTTTCTATGATTTTCAGAATCAGAAGGAGGCAAATCCAAGAAAGGACATAAATCTGATGGTGCTTCAGGTGAGTAAGATCTTCTGCTATTTGGGTATTGTTCCATTTGTCAGGCACCCCCCCCCCAAAAAAAATGGCATGCTATAAAAGGTGTTACATAATGAAACCATATTTATTTTTCAAGCGAGACCAAATAAATATACTTCTTTTAGGCAGGAAAGACTGCTGTTATCTTCTAATTTCAGCTTAGTTTTTTAAACAAGGCCAAAAGTACAAAGGCCTATTGAGGATCAAACCCATTATTCAGTATTAATAGTCAACCAAACCACCCAAGGCAGTGATATTGTTATTTACTAAACTTAGCCGATTTTGACAAAGTGCCACAAGTATTAAGCATCCAGTGAAGACCAAAACCACTTGTAATGTTCAACTAAACCATCACCTTAGCCATTACCACATATTTAAGAACCTTTTCTTTACTCGGTTTAGCACAAGGCCACAAATATAAACTAACTAGTGAAGATAGAGCTCACTACCCAATCATTATGGCCAATCATTTCTAATGCCAAAACGCCGCCTGAAAGACCTGTTGGTGCTGTTTCTTAACATACAATCCACCTATAGAAAGGCTGACAAATACGAGAGAAAGCTGCTGCTTCTTATATATATTGTGTCCCTTCAGGAGGTGAGAAATCATATCTGTAGTGAAAGAGATAGTCAGGTACCCTGGAAAAATGTTCGTGTTTTGTGTGTGATCTGTCGAAGAAACATTACCAAAAAGTAGTCAGCAAAAATCTTATAGCGAAGAAAACGGCGACTTACCTTGTCAAACCAAGCAACAGCGCGTCACGTATATTCTACGACGGAAAAAGTGACGAAAAATAAACAAGTCCATCGCAGGAGTCGCTATAACAGTATTTCGATATGCAAATTACGGAGCATCCTATCCCAGCTGTTGACGAATGAAAAAAATAGGTTCTGCCGATAAAAGCAGTTGGTGTTCTCGATTCAGAGACGGAAAATTCGGTCATTTTTGGCTTCGGCGTTTGTTAGAGAGCGAATTATTTTTCTGACTGGTTACACGCATTGTGATTCGAGATAGTACCAGCGAATCGAATTATCAACATTTCTTTCTGCCCCCGATATTCGAGTCTTTGCTTTCAGAACGCTTACACCTACAATATCTTTCCACAATTTCCTCTCCTTTACACTTCTTATTAATGTTTGTCTTTTCGCTATCTCTCTTAATACCTGTTCTGCCAACCATTTACACAAGCTCCTTCTTCTTACGCGTGCCATGTCCCTTCAGGATTTAGTCGATCATGGTTTTCCATAATTTCTTGTCTTTTGTAGCTCTTATTAATGTTTTTTTACTATCACTCCAATTCCTTGTTCTGCCATCCATTTACATAAGCTCATTAGACAGTTTACTCGCTGTTTTCCTCTGCCCTTTAATGTCCTATGAGTGTCAAATTCTCTAATCTCTCTTTCCTCTTTAGGTTCTAGAAATTTCAACTCTTTCTGATTCTATATACAAGCGTCCATTTTGTTTTCATTTTCTTTTAATCTTCTGTATTTCTCACATGCCATGTCCATGATATTCTCAGTATCCTTCTGTAGAACCCTATCCGTTGTCTTGAGTTTCCTCTTCATCTGTGAGGAAAAATTGTCCAGCATTCACTATGATGTACATGACAGATTAATGCTCCTTTTTTTCCTGTTTCTTATGAAAGGCATCTTCTGCCGTTCCAATGTACCTTTGCATTTTGGTGTCATATTTCCCCTCCATTGTTGTAACGTTTTCCAGATATTTAAATCTTTGTACTTGCTTGATTTTGACATCTTGAATTTGTAGCATACATCTTGGTCCGTTCCTCTTGCTGACAACCAAACATTCTGTTTTTTTACAATTGATAGTTAGTCTTTTCTTCCTGCTTTCTTTTACTGCCTGATCTAAGTGCTCTTGCAGTTTGCTTTTTTTATATGCCTGCCATCAACACATCTGATGTTTCAATAATGAATTCTGCTGGGACTTCTAGTTCTTGCTGTAAAAAGGTTAAATTATTTGGGTGAGAAGAATATTTCAGAATGATTTACTACCAGAAATCTTCATAAAATCGAACCTCAGTTTAGATCAGTGAAGGAGCCTTTTGAAAAATTTGTGATTTGGCAAGGTTTTGGGTGAATTAAAGAGCAATCATTTGTGTTAGATGATTTTTGTCTTTGGTCAAAGACCATGAAGATATTTTCTACACTTTTCTTTATAATAATTTCAAGGATATTGGTAAGATTGAGATAACATAGATTTCCTGTGGACCTACTAATTTCATCTCTTGATGGTGGTCCTACACAGTTTCAGTTGTGATTTCAAATGGTCCAACCATTGTGTCATTGATTCAATGGTTGTGTGATTTCAATTTGGTTCAATGGTTGTGTGATTTCAATTTGGTTCAATGGTTGTGTGATTTCATTCAGTTCATGTGATTTTAAATGTTAGTTCAGCCAGTTTTTCTGTTTTCATACATTCATCTAGTTGTCGTTAGAAAAATGTCATAAACAGAAAGAAAACTTACTAATCCTCAGAGAGAAGCAAATAATTATTAACTCATGATAATATATATTTACTGGTGAGATATTGTCCAAAAAGTGTATGGAATAATGAAAATTTGTTAATGTCAGAACTTAAGAAAAGTGTAAAAAGAGCAAACACTTGTACAAAGTCAGGACATGTTAACAATGAGGAAGTATGAAAAAATATAGGAATTATGGGAAATTTATAATTATAAAGAGAACTGAAATTTTTGGTTCGCCTAATGAGGAAAAAGTGCTTGGAGAATTTAATACTCACAGGACATAATGAAAGCAAGCAAAGTAGTGGGAAAATATTGAGTGTTTTTGTAACTGGATGGAAAAACAACTTGGTTAAAGGTTACTTAGAGCAACAAAAGAGAAGATGTGGAGAGCCATGATCACACATGTTCTGAAGAGATCCAACACATAACGGAAGAAGCATATGAATGGAAAAACAGTGATGAAGATCAATGGTTAATGGTCAAAGGTTACTTAGAGCAATAAAAAAATAGGAAGTTGTGGAAAGTCATGAAGAATAGCGACAATGACAGTAGTTTGAATAATATATGGAATAATAAAATGATATCCATCAGGAATTTATATTCATAAGTTGCCAGAATTTTATCAGCCAATTAGAAATTTATATTTTGTGTACACTTTTTCCCTAAACACCTTGTGTGGGGTGGCTTAGCTGGAGTGGGAGGAAGAGTGACATTGACAAAAGGTAAATTTATAACAAAACATCATGATACCAAGTCTCACACACACACAGAGGTTTTGTTGAAATAAAAATCTTTTTTCTGATGCTGCCAGTTCATCATGTCAAAGTAGAAGTTTATTGTCTCCTTACTCTCACCACATATCAATTGAGGCTTACAGTTAACCAATGTTAAGCAACATCAATTCTGGTCAGCACCTAGATGGGTGACCACTTGCAAAAACCAGGTGCTGTAAACTTGGATGTGTAAATGATGTAATGGATAATGGTTTAGAATTGTTAATCAGATAGCCGAGTTCCAATTCCTGTTGGGTTCATTAGATTCACTTACACACAAATAACCTTGGGAAAGGAATGAATTCACCTCTTCTCCCCCAGCTATGGGTTAATTAGTAAGACTTGTATCATTAAACCATTATTATCTCCCCAAAAATAGTTTTTAAAATCTAAAAATATTTTCTGGCTTTAAATAACCTTGATAAGCTGTAGTAAACAAATCAATCAATCAAATATAGTAATTGTTATCTATCCTATTTGTCCTCATTTCTTACCATCTTCTCTTCCATACTTATCTCACACCTCATTAACCATTACCATTTTGATTGTAAATTCTCTACCTTGAGTGGGTCTCAAGCCCTGTATCAGTAAAATTTATTAAAAAAAAAAAATAAAAACATGCCTGAAATTTAAAATAATATCTATCTTTAAGTTATAATAATTGAAGTTAATCTTTTTAACATGTTTAAATTTTGGGGGATGGCTATCAACCAATATATGGCATTTTCATGCTTTGAATTTTATAGATAAAAAAAACCTTAAAAAAATTTACCTTGGATAACGTGGTTAAATACAGAAATACAATATGATAAAAAAAACAAAAAAACACACACACACACACACATTTTGTTGAAATAGTAATTATTTTTCTGATGCTGCCTATTTATCTGTGAAATATTTCAAGCTAGAACTTTACCAAATTGTATTATAATAACATTATCATAAATATATTATCATATATGTATTTCTTATTTTTCTGAAAAAGCAAAAAGCTGTTTTTTCCTTCTTCTTCTACTTTCTTTCTTTCTCTCTGTACAGGTAGTAGCAGTAGCAGTTGTTACCAGAGCAGTGTGGATCCCGGATCCGGGGAAATCCCCAGTGACCCGTCACTCACAGAATTACTTGATGGTATCATAACACTCTATCACATAGCAACACACAAACAACTTGGCAAGGTCAGTAACCACTTCAAATTGGACAGAGTCCAACTAAAGAGCAGTAGCTGCTGCTGCTGCTGCTGCTGCTTTTACTAACTTAAATGATGTCATTATGCTGATGAATATTAATTATCAGCTCTGCTGCCGATGTATAAAATCTAATTGGTTCTCTTTTGAAAGTGTCTTGATTATCACAATTGCCTATTATATATGAATAAGATTCATACTCAGTGATGGCTTCAGGGTCAAAGCATTAAATCCTAATTCCAAATGGAAGGAAATCACTAAATTTCATCCTGAGGAATATTTTTATTTTTAACTGTGAAAGTATGATGTACAGTGCAACTATCTTCACACTCTTTCAAAACCGTCAATTATTACTTTCTGATATTAATATAAATAAACCTTCAGGTTTTATTTTTTAAATATTTTAGTCATAGATTATTTTTTTTTTAAAATGTCTCATCCCTTTAGGATGCAGCTGATCCTTGCCTGTTCTTATATTATCTGTGAATTGCCATGACTTTTTGGCAAAGACAGTGGAGTGGTTTCCCGTTGCCTTCTCCACAGATTCGTTTTCTTTATTATCTGTGAATTGCCATGACTTCTTATGAAAGGCAGTGGAGTGGTTTCCCGTTGCCTTCTCCACAGATACCTTTTCTTTATTGCTTGTGAATTGTCATCTTGAGAAAGATGGTGGAGTGGTTTCCTGTTGCATTCTCCATAGATTTCTTTATCTGTAAATGGCTATGATTTGTGGGGGTGGGGGGAGATAGTGGACTGTGTTACCATTGCCTTCTCCATAGTTTTGAATTCAGTGTAGTCTTTCTCCTAAACTGGCTGCCACACAAAGCTAGAAATCCCAGTTTATCCAGCTATGCTACCCAGTGTTTGTAGAAGAGACTTAGTAATATTTTTCTCAAAGACATTAGTTCATCATTGAAAGTTAGAGGTGAGACCAAAATTTGAATGCTACTTAACAATTCATTTTTATGTGCTGATAACCCTCTCAAGCATGAAATGAATTTTCTTTCTGAAATTCACTGATGGGGAATTATCCATACTATACGGTGTCAAAAGATTTTTCTTATATCAAAAGCTTTAATTACTATTCTAAACAAATTACAAAAACCATTTATTCATCAAAATATATTTCATCACATTCTGTTATCTGCTACCAGTATTTTGTCAGAAGCTCAGTGCCATGCTAATACCATTTGGCTGGTTTAGAGGTAAAAAAAAAAAACTCCTTGCACCCATTTTCAACCTCATCCATATTGTTGAACCTCCGTCCATGCAAGAAATGAGCCATAGCTTAGAAAAGGAGGTAATCCAGTTGTGCAAGGTCTAGACTATAGGCCAGTCAAGGCAGCTCTTCCAAACCATCAAGTTTTTCAAGTTTGTGCTTGGTCACATTAGCAGTGTGTTCTAGGGCATAGCCATGCTGTCAGAGTGTTGCTCTTCGATTGACCAATGCTAAGCAGTGGGCTTTGAAAGCATCGTATACTTGCTGCTATTGTTGAGCATAAAGGTCAGAATTCCCAGTATGATCATCTAGGACAAGCTCAAAATGCAACACCCAATCAAAATTCTACCAAACACACATGACCTTCTGTTTCTACCTCCCTTGTTTGACAACAGGTTCTGAAACCTTCTTGCAATGAAGCCACTGATTTCTTTTAGGATTATAAAAATACATCCATTTTCCGTCCCCAGTTACAATTTAACACCAAAAACGGACATTTGCCAGCAGTTGTTTACAGATGTTCACTTGTCATTGAACGTGGTCATTGGGCAGTTCATAAGCATCTGTTCACAAGTCCATGCTTATAAAGGTGTAGATTAATGCTGCTTTGTGAAGACCCAAGTTTTGCTGACAATGTACAAGTGCTTGTGCTTGGCTGTTCAACCATTTCAAGCAAGCCTTCATCTTACACAACATAAGGTCTCTCTGACCTCGTTTTTTCTTCGAGGCTAATATCACCTTCCTTAAAACGTCTGAACCAGTTTTGTGTCATACATTTGTTGACCATTCATGGGTTTTCCACATCATTAATTTCTTTTGTTGTTGCTCTTGTATTCAGTCTGTTTTACCCACAGGTAGCGTAAAATGGCTTGAATTGCAATTTTTCAACAATGATTTGATGGCAATTGTATCAAATGAATAATATAACATAGAGATACAAGTTGCCAAAACTCATCAGTGAAAATATGAAAAATCTTTTAACTCAACCTGCTACATTGAACTATTGAGATGAGTATCCTTATCTTGTTTGTTTTGATCATAACATTTTGATTATTGTATATTCTATCCATCTTCAGATGTTTGTAATTCAGTCAGTTTTTATTTTTATGAATGTTCTATAAAATGTGTCATGTTTATGTAAACATTCTATAAAACATGTCTTGTTTTATGAACATTCTATAAAAATGTGTCCTCTTTATATGAACAATCTATAATATGACTTGTTTTTGTAAACATTCTATAAAAAGGACTTTCTCAAAAGATTTCATTCATGATTTTTTAAAAAAGGCATGTTTTAATTTTTTAATTTTTAAAAAAAATTATCTTCAATAGTATCTTAAAATTAATTTTTACTTTTTCCCTTCCAAATCATTTGAAAACTTTAATCTTTTTAATGCCATATAATTTCAGGCAAAATGATTAGGCCTCTCTGTAGACTCCTTTTCTTTATTATATGCAAATTGCAATGACTCTTTCTTGGGAAAGATAGTGAAGAATTTAGAGCTGTTCTTTTATACTGGCTGTCATCCAAGGCTAAAGAACCCAGTCTGCCCTGCTATTTAATCTGTAAATTAGGGAGAGGTGGGAAGAAATGTATTCATGCTTTTCCTTGGGGCAATTAATGTGACAGTGAATTCAACAGACCAGGCTGGAAATTTGGAACTCTGCTTGCCAATTCCACTTTCTGTAGTAATTCCTGTTAAACTATCCACACATTCACATCTTCTTTTTTGCATGTTCTTAAATTTTCCAGATGCAAGTAGAGTCTTGGTTGTTAAGCATCGTAATCTTTGCTTGTTATTACGACATCGTAGCTTTTATTTTCATTTCCATGGTCTCAGATGATATGCAGCCAAAGAATATCAGTGTTTCTATGTTTTCACTGTCAGTCTTTTTGGTTGGTTGAGGTTGTTTAGCAGCATATCAACCTCTACAGCTTACTTAATGCTGAAATCTAAATATTTTGAACACAATTTTATGGCTTTAACTACAGATAAGATGTAGTGTTGCAAGTAGGTATTGTTCATAATATTTTTATATAAAGATGTATTGCCAGTAATTTCATTATAAAAATGTATTTTTACACTTTTGTAGTGTTTTGGTTTTGTTTGGGGGGGGGTCACTATTTGCCCATAGCTTGGACCCTAACAAATGCTACCACCCCAGGTCAGGATGGGCCTGGGAATAACAGCAATTAAGAGGTGGTTCCATACTCCAATCTTTTGATCAGAGGCCTTGCTGCTGGATGTAGTTTATCATCATACCCAGGACTGAACTGTCAGCCTTGTATTATCTGCTGTTGTATTGGCAACAAAAGAACAGTCTTGTTTACTACAAAGTTGTCAAAGGATATTGTGTTTGAAGCTTCATAAGGGGGTAACATAAAATTTTATTCGTATCAAGATTGACTTGGAAGGTAACATTAAAATGTTTTTCTTTAATTTGTTATGCAGATGATCATCATTGTTTCATCATTTATTTTATGATTATTTATTTTGTAAATGCATATTATTTATTTTATTATTTCTTTTCAACAAATGATTATTTTATTTATTTTGCAGATGAGTACTTTACGAGAAAACATGAATGAATTTATTCATTCTTTGATGGATACTGAAGAGAAAATGAAACACTGCCCTGAAGATGTAAGTATGATTAAAAGTAAAGTGTTTATTTGTGTATAATACAATAAATTTTTAACACAAATTAAAGGAAAAAAATGCGGGTCATATACACAAGTAGATATTTTCAGAAATTTTTACTTAGCTTATAAAAGCTCAACACTCAACACATTAGAAAATAAAACACAAAAGTAGGCAAGTGTTGATAACAATTGTTTACAAAAGATATTTGATATATCGGCCATATTTGTTCTTTGAGAATCGGTGTAATGTTTAAAATTTGAACAGTTTTGCTCGCAATATAATGTTTATTTGCATTTTGATTTTCTTGTCATCTTATAAAGGTTTCTATTCTCACTCTTAATGAAAGACAATATTTTTTTATTTCCATAGTTTATTAATATATAGAAATAAAGTCATATTAAACAGAAAAGTATGACAGATTAATTAACACTTTAAAATGTGTTACTGGTTATGTCTAATTAGCACCTTTCCATGAAAATTCACAAATAAGTTTTTGAAATGGAAATAAGAAACACACAATGGCTAAATGTCCAGTTCATTTCTATTGTTTAATATTGTCAAAAATTAAATATTTTAGTTAAATATGTATGACATTGAGATTTTAATGGATAATAAGGTAGAACTTTTCAAACAATTTAATAGGGATGGTCGTACTACGGGGGTCATATTATACTCAAGGAAATAATTTATTCCGTTTTAGTTTCAGCAACACAGGGTCATATTATACACAAGAAAATACGGTAATTGCTCAAATGAGACAGTCATATAGTTATTTTTCATTTGTCTGCTCTTTTGAGACATTATAAAAAAACAGCATCTGTGTACTTTTTCAATATGCTTTGTTAATAAAAAAAAAAATTTATTTATCTTTTTAGGCTCAAGAAATTCGTAATGAACTTGAACGGGCCAAGTCAGTATTTGAAGAAAAAATAGCTGAACAAGCCCGGCAAATGGCTTGGGTTATTGCTGTTATATATTCAAAGGTAATAAAATCCTTTTAGTTTAATCTTATGCCAGCCTAGTAACCAATTATCTCCCTTTGAATATAGCTGTTTATTTCAGGTATTTTGTCTTCATTACCACTTCCAGATATTAAATTTTTGTATTTCATTTTCTTAAAAAACGCATAAAATCCAATATTTACTTTAAGTGGATTAGCATATTTATTGTTAAGCCACCAACCATTATATGATGTTTTTACATTAAGTATTGTCCACCAAGTATAAATTATGTTTGTGTATTCTGCAACTTCTACAAACATTTGTTTTCCTTAGGTCACCAATCCAATAGTGAATTGGTTAAAAATTTACAAAACTAATGAAACATTTTGCCTTTCCAAACTAGTATGAGAAAGAACCTTTGAAGAAAATAATATAAAAGAAATTAATGACTTTATTATTTTTGTTTTGTACAAAATTTACTCTTTTGATAGCATGAATCTATGCATCTGATAAGTCCTTATCTTTGCGAAATTTAAATACATTCAGTTTTGGTCCATTTTCATAATTTCCTTTGCATTTTGGGACTGCACTACCATATGGCAATTTTTGTAAATTATTTCAGTGAAAATATTTATAAGATATTTACAAAACAAATTAAAAAAATCAAACAGTCAAGAAAACAGTAAAAGCAAAGATGCACTTATACAGCTGTATGAAACTAATATTGTCTGCTGTTTTCTTTTTAATTATTTCACCTGACCCTACCCTTTCTCAGAGTTTATACTACAGATATCAGCAAATAAGCCCTACCCATTGAACAGGCCTTCTATCTATGATGTGGTGTTGATAAAACCCTTTCAGTTTAATATGCCAGCCTATTAACCAGTTATCTCCTCTTGGATTTAGAAACCTTGAAACCCAGATGTCGGTAAATGTAAATTTTAATTTGCTTTTTTGTTTTCTGGTCAATCAGACCATTTATATTGGGTGACTTTGGTATCAATGTTTGCAGCCCAAATAAAGGTCACATGGATACTTTTGAAAAAGAAAAGATACAAGATTGTTGTGAATAATAAAAACAGCAATAAATGCATGAAAACTCTTGATTTATTCCACTCTATCCACATACTGTGTTCGGTTCCAACACAGCTGAAGCTTAACACAATCTCAGTATCGTTACTGGCTCACTTCTGTCATTGCTTTGGACAGACTTAACATATCATGAAATATACATGTGATACATTTACATGAAGTTGTGCTTTTCATCAACACCAGAAATGTTGAGATTTATTGATTGTTATCTTGACTTTGACTATGGCATTGTTGCCTGGCTGTTCTGACACATTTTAGGGAAAATTGCTATTTATTGGAAATAAATGGCTATGTAAATGTTGATAGTAATTTTTCATTTTGATTCCAATATTCTGCAGTACAGACTAAGCAGAAAGTCATTCCCAACAGACAATATAATAAAAATACTTCTGAAAACCAGTTATATTGTGTGCTAGCACTAAGCACCACTTATTTTATAAACCAAATGATATTTCACAGTGCTTCAAAAATTTATAAGTACCTCAAAAATTGTTCTGATGAACTTTGCTCTATGGTACCTTTATGAATTTAAGTGCAGTACTAGATTGGCAACGAGGTCTCATCGTTTTATAGTTGAATTGGCTAGATAGCCATGAGTTCTATGCTAACAGTTTCTTTTCTCGCACTTCTCATCTGTGGGACTTTTTTCTGGCTTCTTATTTTTCCACCAACTTTGATCTTCAAAAACTTAAATGCAATGTCAATCATTATCTACTTTCTTCTTGATTCCTATCCTTCTATTGTTCTCGCTCCATAATAATTTTTCTTATTCTTTCACACTCAGTAACCCCTTGGATTTTAGTGGCTTTATTGCCTTGCTTCAGGTGAAATAATTAAAAAGAAAACAGCAGACAATATTAGTTTCATAGAGCTGTATAAGTGCATCTTAAATAGAAGACAATGTAATTTTCATAAAAATGTTTTGGCCATTGTGCCCTTCGGCTTTCCTCAGGTGTATATCGACCTGGGTAACCTACATGGAATTCTGAACTGAACCCTTTATTTAATCTATGGAGATCGACTGTTCTCATTCCACTGCTCATGTCTCGGGATATCTCATCTAGTTCTTATTTTTACTTAATACTGTTCAGTTATTGCTCACCCATTTCCACTGAGTGCAATTACACACTGCCCGACCCAGGGATTGAACTCACATTCACTATGTCACCAAATTCACAAACCATCTACAGGGATAGATTGTTTTCATTCTGTTTTTCTCACTCAAGATAGAGGGTTACATAGTCAGAGGCACAGTTTATGGGAAAGATAATGCTTAACCCTATACTTAAACAGGTTAAGTTTGTAGTTGATTTGTTGATTTTTGTTTGGATTTTATAAAGGAGCTCAAGGTTAACAGCAGGGGCACCAGACCATATCTGGCAGCAATATTCTAAACATGGATAAATAAGATAGATCCTGGAGAAAAAAAATTGTCTTGCACAGTACTGTGAACCAACTTTCTTAGCAGCTGACCTAACAAAGGATTCAATATAGTATTTCCACTTAGGACATTATCCTGAGAAGATACAATGAGTCACTTTCTTGGGGATTAGCATCAGCCATACTGATGGAAGTCAGAGAGGGAACTCTCAGATGATGGAGAGAAGTTTAGTTTTGGAGGTGTTAAAATTAACAAGCTATCTTTTGCCTCAGTTAATTGTTTTAGACATTGGCTGCTATTTTTTCTAACTGATCAGTCTTATTATAGAGGCAAGAATAAATGGTTGTGTCATTAGTGTAGATACTAAGTTGAGAGCTGATGCCATCAGGAAGGCCATTAATGAAAGACCAAGGATGTAGTCCTAGGGGCAGCCATGTTAGTATGAAATGATCTAGACAAGTGGCTGTTCAGGATAACTTTCATTTCACGATTTAATAGCAAAGACTGGATCAGCTCAAAAATGTGTCCTGAGACACCATACCTTTTCAGAAGACAGGAAAGCAGGTGGCAATGAAGCATTTATCATACAGTTTAGAGAGAACAGGAGCCAGTTCGAGAGTGCACTTGTTAAGGGCACTTACAGGGATACAAATCAGGTCCACATGTTTTGTAAGGATGCAGATTAGAGACTAAGCAGAAAACATAGGAGAGTTTATATGCATATCACTCAATGGAGACTCAGTTCTAAGTGGGAAGTTAGGCAGAGACACTGCAGATGAGTCAAGAGTAGAGTTTAAGGAGAATTTATAGGCAAAGCAGAGGATGTTAACGCCTCAAAACATTAGCAACTAAGATACAGCAACAAGTTTTTCATTAAAAGAATATCGGTAACTATATGAGTGACTATCCAAGCTAACTTGACCGAATAAATATGAGTGATTCATTTATTGTGGCGAATAAAAAGAAAACAGCAACCAGTGAGTAAATTGTAAATTCAAGCTCTCCCAACTGGTATCCCAACCCTGAGTCGTTCTTTCTTGAGTTCTGTCTCAAAATCGCACTAACAGACTTTTCTAGCCGCCAACTGTAAACGTCACTCAAAGCACACCGCACTGGGAAAAATTAGTTGCTTTTATATTTGTCCTTATAGCCATAATCCCTTGCGTCTTCATGTGATCCCATAATTCATTGCGTCCCTGTCCCATAATGCATTGCATCTTTATTGCATAAAATACAATGCAAGTCCCTCATTCTTTTTACGTTATCTGGCCGAGGACGGATTATGGCAGAGTGGTAAGTGCTTTTTCTCCCTCATTTCAACTGCAGTAGCTTTACATGCTAAGCAAATACGGGCTCTTTTTTTGGTGGGGACAAGGCAAGTCGCAACCAGTTGTGCTCGTCCCAGGTTCTGTCTTATCATAACTGCCACATTTATGTTTATGAAAACTTTTTAATTACCAAAAATAACCTGGCAACTATAAAGGTTCACCATCTTGGATCCAGGCCATTGTTCCAGAAAAATGCTAGAGGTTGTAGAAAATTCAGTTGTTCAGGGTTTTTTATATTTAACTTCTGAATATCTAATAATAAAATAAAATATAGAGAAAAAATGGGTAAGCTTGTTAAATAAATTATTTCTATTTACAAACATATGTAGATGAATTCAAAAGAGTAAAAATAAGGATTAAAAATAGTTTTTAGTTGAGTGAGTTGTTGGTGCACAGAAAAATTTGCAGTTTAGAAAAGACATTTAAATTGTTGATCCACAGAAAAAAATCTGGGGTTCAGAAAAGACTTTTAGTGAAGATTCACTGTCTTTGCTGTTGGAGATGATTTGTTTAAAGTCACTGACACATGTGCATCAGCAAAGATTCACTGACCATCCAAGCTGTTGTTGTTTGTAACTAATTTGTTTGAAGTCACTGACATATGTTTCTTTCAGCACACACATGGAGGAAAGAAAAAGCTATGTAGCCACATCTTCTCTTGTGTTCAACTTAGAAATAGATGCATCTCTGCTTGATGAAACTCGAAATCTGTAGCTTTTTCTAGGAATTTTTTTCCCAAAAGTAGGCTCAAGAAAAATAGTTTTAGTTTACACTGATTGGTCAAATATTTCACATGTTGATATTTTCTAACCAATCGACACTTAGATTTAAACAGTGAGTTGTATGGTGGAATCTTTTTTGCATGTTTGTAATATTGTTTGCTATTGGGTAGAAAATAATATTTGGGTGTATTTTGATATGCTATGTATGTAGGTATATTATTGTGTTGGAAATAGGGTTTATTTTCTATTAGGACCAGAACATTGTGTTCATATTAACAAAAATAAGAACATTAATAATTATCATAAGACATTCACACATAGAGAGATTTGTTTATTTATACATATTTTATAGTTAGCTATTCAGCAGAATAATTAATGTTTCTCATCTAAAGAATTCTTTCATTTTTCTCTTCTCTCTTTATTCGTGTTAACATTTTGTCCTTTTTCTGACTCACATTTTTTTCCCCCCTCCAGGCAAAACAGATTGATGTCGCGTGGATATTCCAAGTCGTCCTCAAAACTGTCCTGAAAGCTTCTGCCTTTAAACAACTTTTCCAGTTTCTACCAGAATTCTATATTGATACATGCATTAATACATACAATGCTCTAAAGAATTATTTTCATCCAACGGCAAATTTTAGTGAACTACCAGGTAAGACGAAAACCTATTCATTAAATACACACCTAATGAACTACTTTAATTATTCTGCATGTCTTTCTGCTAATTATCTCAATCTTTGTTGGTTTTTAATGCAGCCTTTCGGTCCACATCCTTCAGCCTTCTTCAGTGGTAGATTACAAACGCAATGTAAATAGCAAAAGATCTAAAGAATATGTCGACTGAAAATTGAAAAATAGATGGAATAATTGATCAGTGAATAGTAACTGTTGCTTCATTATCACCTGTATCATTTGAAATTTGATAATTTCAAAGATGGAGAGCTTTTCCCAAAAATATAGACACTTGTTAATGGTTTTCTGAAGTTCTGGAATGAATTCAGGGATGATGTGGTATGGGTAGAGGACAGGCATGTGTACTCCTCACACACACACACACACACACACACACACACGATTCAACAACGTTACAGAACACAATCGATATGCAAAGAAGGCCAGAGAGTAAATGGCCAAAACATGAAAAACAGCAAAGACAAGGAAAACAACATAAAATTAACTATTTTCTTTATTCCACATATTTTTCCGTTAATTATCTCCATGTGATAAAATTGGCACTTTTGCATAGAGTAATGGTTAATGAGCTAGTCTGCTTCATCATTTCGACTGAGTAATGAGTTAGCTCCTCACTGGGTGCTTCATACTTATCACCTCATGCTAAACTATGCAAAGCATAATAAATTACGGAGTGTGCTTCAATATAGGGCCATGGTTAGCAGTGATTGTCTCATTGACCACTACTATTGAGTAATGAATTAGATCCTCACTAGGTGCCCTATACAAAATTTGAACTTAAATAATCCAACAAGTATTAACCTATCATAGAATCAACCAACCAATTCTTGTAATGAATAAAATCCCAAATTTCAACTTTTATCACGTTAGGGAACTATAGAATTAAAAAAGAAATGCTGTGAAAGTGACATTCTTAAATGTTCTTTATGATAACAACCATTTCCCTGATCCCTGTTGAGCTAATTCTAGCCTTGCCCAATCTGAAGGACGTGTTAGCTAAGTATTGCATTAAAAATAACAAATATAAGGATAATTATCCATATATATATATATATATATATATATATATATATATATATACAGTGTCACGCATAAGTATTGGATACGTGTTATTTTCTGTTATAACTCTAGTTTATGTTCGCCATTTTGCCTGATATTTTGTTAAGTAATATCTCGTAAAGTTGTTTTAGTTGTATGTGGAAGGAAAATTAAAAACTCGTGGTTGAATCCATTTTTTTTATCAAAGTTCAAAATTACCCTATGCAAAAGTATTAGATACATGACACTTTTTTCAAATTTCCAATTGAAACTTTGTATTTTAAAAGACTTTAAATATTCAAATTTTCAATAGTACTGGAATGTTATCTCTGACCAATCAGAGAAGCACACAATTGTTTACAAGATAGTGCTACTAATCATCTGACTCTTTGATGTGCATTCTGCAATTCAAGGATTAAAAATGGCAAAAACTAAAGAATTATCCAGAGATATGCGAGATAGAATCATTGAATGTCACAAAGGAGAACAAGGTTACCGAAAAATTAGCAAAGAAATGAATCTAGCACTAAGTACAGTAGGAAATATCATCAGAAAGTATAAGAAGTATGGCAACGGTACAGCAAACCTTCCAAGAAATGGAAGACCGAGAAAAAATAAATGAGAGTACTTCAAGGTGGATCAGCAGAAATGTGCAAAAAAACCCCTTCATTACTCATTCTGAAATTAAAACTGATCTTGAGGGTGCTGGAATTAATGTAAGTAAGGATACCATTAGCAGAGATCTATATCGTACAGGCTTTCATTCAAGATCACCAAGAAAAGTGCCTTTACTGAAAACCAAACATGTCAAAGACCGATTAAAGTTTGTCGAAACTTATGAAAAGAAAGGTATGTAGTTTTGGGAAAAGGTAATCTAGTCAGATGAAATGAAAGTTGAACTATTCGGAAGGAACACAGCGACAAGTGTTTGGCGAAAAAATGGCACTGCCTTCAACAAGCACAATACCATCCCCACAGAAGTTTGGAGGTGCTTCCATTATGATATGGGGATGCTTTTCATTCAAGGGCACTGGTGAGTTACAAGTTATCCATGGTAGAATGAATGGTAGCATGTACAGGGAGATTCTAGAGAAGAACCTTCAGAAATCTGCAACTTCTTTAGGACATGGTCGGAATTTCGTGCTTCAACACAATAATGATCCCAAACATACCACAAAACTTACAAAGGAATGGTTTGAAAATAATGGTATTAGTACTCTCAATTGACCAAGTCAGTCTCCTGACTTGAATCCAATTGAGAATTTGTGGAATACTTTGAAGGTTAAAGTTCATAAGCGGAATCCACAAAATATCAAGCAATTAGAGGAAAAACTAGGTAATCCATATGGGTAAACCTAAGGAGGATAAAATCCAGAGAGCTCAAATGGGCTGTGATGAAATAATTTATTACATGGAACCGTAAAGTGGTCTGTTTTTATTTAATATATAATATATATATATATATAATATATATATATATATATATATATAAGGAGGCACAGTGGAGTAATGGATAGCAGCTCAGAGTGAGGAATCAGAGAGCCAAGTTTGAGTTACAGTCGGATCCATTACATTCACTTACATGCTAATACCCTTGTGAAAGATATGAATTCTCTTCTCTCCCCAGCTATGGTTTAATTAACAGGACAGACTGGATTTCTATAAGCTCGTGTGGCAATTGGTTTAGGTGAATGAAAAACTCTGAATTCAAAACCTTCCTGGAGAGATTTGGGCTGTGTCAGGCCATTTTGCCCAAGAAACACCACTTCTACTAGCTGTAGTACACATGGTGACTCTATGGGTCACAAGATAAAATATATAATTAATACACAATAAAATACCAAATCTCCTCAAATGGGGAATAAACTTATTTCAACCGACAAAATTCGTCAGTCATATTCAGCCCCATTATAGACTGAGTTTGTGTTGAAATTAGAAATTTAACTGTGACAGCTACAAAAAAAAAAAAACTAATACAGAATTTATCCATTTCAATGTTTCAGTCAGACAAAAGGCACGAGACAGTAGTCAGGAGAGGGTGGAAGAGTTTTTATAAAATTAAACCCAGATATTAACCTTATGACAATAAATTGGAGTTATATGAGGAATGAAATGGTAATTTAAAACTAAGAGAGGAATAAAAAGGTGTTTAAAAAAAAAAAAAAAAAAAATTAAATTATATAGATAAAGTTATGTTTAAAAATATAAAATCATACTTAAAAGAACTATTCCAAAAACAAGTTATAATTAAAAATAAGTCATAAATATATTTAAATAATTTATATTAAAAATACGTAAAATTATATTTAAAATAAGTTATATTTAATATAAAATCTATAGGTTATATTAAAGAATAAAAATATATTTAGAAATAAAAATATAATTGAAATGGGTAAATTTTGTATTAGTTTTTTGACGTTTTTTTTTTTTATTTCTAGCTGTCACAGTTGAATTTCTAATTTCAACACAAACTCAGTCTATACCAGGATTGAATAAGACTGACAAATTTTGTCAGTTGAAATAAGCCTCTTCCCTATATGAGGTGATTTTAGATTATATTGTGTATTAATTATTTGCCCTGTAAGAATAAATACATTGAGCTCTTTTTGTTGATCAATTTTAATATTTTATATTACTAGGATCCACTTGGATTATATACCAATGGATATATTACCTTTATATATATATATATATATATATATCAGTGAACATCAAGAATTACTTTATCACATGTAATTGAAATTTATTTATTTCAAATATAGAGAACTCCTCCTTCCTTCAAAAAATGTAACCTCTTTTTAATGGTTTTATAAAATATTGGAATTATTTTATTATACCATGTGTTTTTCAGGTAATTATCTCAATTTTTGTCGTTTTTAGCATTTCGACCCATATATTCTTTGGTCTTTGCTCAGATTACACTTGACAATGGTGTAGCCAGATCCTAATGTTAAGAGATTGAGCCCATAAAATGGTACCAGGATGGGTACCAAATAATTTTCAATTCTTCATATATTTTTGTTTTGTATTTACAATCAAAATGCAAGAAAGAGATATTTTTAAAGTTATTTTTTACAGTTTTTTTAAGTTTAAATTGTGATAAAATGAAGATGTTATAAGTTTTGGGCATTTTCAACACTGCCTCTTGCTTTGTTGTCAAAGGTACAAAGAGATACATTGATTCTGTACTTCAATGGCATTGTTATTATGTATGGAACTTGTGATATGAAACCTATGAAGTTCTATGGAATCATCCAAAACCAAACAGGAGGTTGTGATATGGTTTGTTTTAGTCTGACAGATGCCAATAGTCTCCAGTGTGTCTCGGGAAACTGAGCATGTTGTGTTCTGTGTTGTCTCTGGTTTCAGTTCTTCAACAAATTCTACATGATAGACTAACCTCAATAGACAATTTCTTTTTCTTATTATGAAGGAATAGTCATTTTTAAAGAGAAAGTGGGAGTGAGATGATCAGGTGACTGCATGCTAGGATTTCATTGCCACATGCTGACTTGCCTCACTGAGGAATCTAAGTGCAGGAGATGTGTTGATTCCTCAAATTCTTGCAGTCATCTCTGTCTTTGTGCCTTTTTAGTAAGAAGGCAATCTATCATAGAATGTCACACCCGGGGGGGGGTATAGACCAGTAGTTTGCCATTCTGGCTCAGCTTCAACATTCTATAACAAAAAAATACCAATTTTTGGCTAATTAAAACAATGAGCAGAAAAAACTTCTTTCAAGGTTAAGTGATAAATTACAAAAATGCCAATGAAAACTTAATTGGATTAAAATTTATTTGTGACACTCTGATTGGGGAACTTACATAGAAGTCGATGGTGTGTGATTTTATCTCAGTCTTTTGTTATATGACCAGCAATAAAGTCTTCAAAAGCAGCTACCCACTTGACCAAAAGAGAATAAAATAATTGATAAACCAATAAAAACTTTAGGGAACATGTGACAACAAATTGGACATTGAAGGTTTCTGATCACAGGTTTTATATTACCAGTAACAGTGGGGATTAAGGTAGTATATGTCTGTCCGTCAAGAGAGAATTGCCATCTGTGTGCCGAGATGGGCAGAGCGTTGGTCAAAGAAAGTCATTTCTCATCATGTCATTTATTTTCACTTGCATTACGTTGTGAGCATGTAGTGTGGCTTTTCCAGCATTTGTGCATGAATGAGAGAATAGAGATGCGGTGTGAGATTTCATTGTCTTGTCGGTGAAAAGCTGAGACAGGGTCCCATTGTATATTTGCATTATTATACAAGAGAACTAGAGTTAAAATTCTTAAAACAGCATCCATGTGAAAAATTAAAAAAACAAAAAGGACAGCTCCCCTTTAAAGTGATGCCACTGCCTCCCCAATAAAAAATAAGAAAAATGGAGATAAAAATCTGAAAAATCTTGAATAAAATTTATCAATCAATATTGATCTGTATTATTGATTAAACAAATGTTGAGTTAATACAAATTGTTTTTTTTTTGTTTTTTTTTTTCAGTAAAACATTATTACTATTATTATTTTATTAGCTTTATTTCATCTAGACATGCTTTTTATCACAACACACTCAAGATGGCCTTTGATTTTTTTTAAGGAGCTTGCTAGAGCAGCAGTTTGTAATATTTATGGACTCTCTATCCTCTCTGGTTGCCCTGAAAGAAAAAAAAAATACAACTAACCACTCTTACATTGCAGACATGTTAGAGATTTACAACAACATGTGAAATTCCGAAATTCATTATTTTAGCACGGATACAAGGCCATTTTGGCATAAAGTGTAATGAGAAAGTGGATGAACTAGCAAAAAAAAAACCTGTAACATGAAAATAAGGAAAGAGAAAATCACCTAACCTCAAAAAAGAGTTTGTGTTTTATGCATGGTCTGCCGAAGGAAAAATAAAAAAAATTGTTTGCAAAAATCTGCTATTTTAATTATCACAATAACTATGCTAATGTTCTTTCCTACCTTCATTGGTGTGGCCAGTAAGAAAAATCCGTCTGTGAATAAAGGCCATTGCTTTTGATTAACAAGGACAATTTTTGACCTTGGTGAGTGGAAGTGAATTTCCTCTGTTGTGAGTGAAATTTTTGGTATTAATTTGCCTGCTGGACTTTTTACGACCGCTTTGCCTCTTGGACTTTTGGAACGCAGATTTGCTATTGGATTTATTGTTGGCACACAAATTTGATTTTTACTGACTCCATTGGTTAATACTCTAACACCAGTAATAGCATCCAACTAGTTTGCACAAACCAATTCTTAAAATTATAAAAGCTTAGCAAACCAATTGTTGGATTATCCAAAAATATTCTTATATATTAATAGCCAATGGTCTAGGTAAAATGTTAGTTACACTATGCTCATGCAACCTCCCTACTGTTTTGAAGCTAAAAATGTAGTAAATTTTCTAGTCATAAATTTAATAGGTCTTTTATTGGATCTTTGGCACTGCAGCAATTCAGTTTGAATGTGGCTAAGAAACCATAACACAGCCGATGATACAAGAGTCAAAAAACATCATACTTCTGAACAAATATGATGAGAACAGAATATCAATCTGGAAATATCTTAATAAATAAATGTTTTCTATTAAATTATCAAAATGGTTTAATTCTTTTTGGTCATATAAAGTGATTTGTTTCCATTCTCAGATTGAAAAGAAAATAAGCAGAATAGGTTCCGGAAGGTTACTTGCCTTTATAGAACTTCTTCCTGCAAATTTGAGATGCCACTACTGGAAATAACTAATATAAAAATTATGTATACAGATTTTTAAATAGAAAATTAACAACTGTATAAAAACAAATGGCAAGAAATCTGAAATACGTTCCCAGAAAACAAACTTTACGAACACCAACCAAGTGTCAGACAGAAAAATGCAAAACTACTAAAAGGATGAAGAGAAGAGTCTATGCAAACTAGAGTGTGTATTGGAAATACAAGACTAAATCAGGTAAACCTGCTAAAAGCTGAAGATGTACCTCGATGTATTCCTTACGAGCATAGATTAACAGTTAAACACATTCTGGTTGAATGTAAAAGCTGTCAGCTTAAACATTAGTAAACACTACAATGTAAGAAATGTAAAAATACTAAAGACGTTTTCCGTTGCCAGATAAGAAGGATTCTAAAAAAAAATAGGGATTTTTTGAATTAGTTTAAAAATTGTTTATGTATGGATATATAAGAATCACTGGTCCAGCAAAGAAGTCAATGAATTGAAATTAATGAAGAGAATAAACCACACCCTTTCACCATCTGGCCAACTCATTTTCCCATTATTATTTTGATTTTATATATATTTTTATATCATATCTTTTATTTCCTATTTATACAAAGTTTGCCAAAAATTTTTTTTTCCTTTCCTGAAGTGTGTATACATTTTTTTATGGTGTGTGTGTGTGTGTGTATATATATATATATATATATATATATATATATATATATATATATAAATGTGGTTTAAATTAATCTCACCAAATTTATTTGTTTTTTTTTCTTCTTGTAGATCAGGCTGACTTAAGCTCACGATTTGCATTGTTTCTTACAAAGCACTTCTCAGATAACAGAATTGTTAACTCAGGTAAATTTTTTTTTTTTTTGTAATTTGATTCTTTGTGTCTCCCTTCACCCAAATAAATGAATATTACAACTGTTGGTAATGGTAATATTAACTGTTTCCTTATACTTTTCCTTACTTTTGGTTGAAATTTATAAAATCTTTCTATTAAAACAATTTACTATTTAAAAATCCAAGTGTGAAAGAGTATTTATTGAAAAAGTGTGATGAAACTCTTTCAAAAATGAAAGAGTAGCTCTACTCTAGAGAGTTTATCATTTTGAGTGATTTTTTTTTTTTTTCTTTATTTAACCTTTCATGAGTTATTTAAAGCTGGACCCTATTTGGGATTGTAAATTTTTTTTTTTTTTTTTTTTTTTTTTGCAAGTGAATATTGCATTATCACTTTATTTCTTTTATTTTTATTTTTTTTGAGATAACAGTGATTACAAGTCCTACTATTTAACCCATAGCTGGAGGAGTCTATCATAGGAGGTTGGTTACAGTGCTCAAAAGAAAATGTTAAATGGAAATACTTTTATGGTCAAAGAAAGACTCTCATCATAATCAATATTAAGAGAGATAAATGTTGTACTGCTTTTTTTTTTTTTTTTTCTTTCTTGCTCAATGTGCCACACCCTTTTCAGGATGTCAATAATTATGCCTTCATATTTTTTATAGCTTTTACTAATTTTTGAGCATTTAGATTTAAAGATCATTTGGAAGAATGTACAGAAATACCTAATTTCCGTAGGCTTTTGCTTACAAACTGACTTCAAAATTTGACTATTTCAAGAATGAATCCAAATAAAGTTGATACATTTCATATTAGATTCATTGAATAGAAAATATATTCAAATCAGAGTTTTAATTATGAATCACCACAAGCAAAATATGCAATTTTTTACTGTATTCGATAAGTGAAAACTGTAAAAATTGTAAATGATGACAAAAAGGCTAATCAATGAATAAAGTCTTATACCATTTGTTAGGCTATATTTAATAAAAAAACAAAAAATAAAAATTTATATAACACCATAATACTTCTGGGTACAAATTATAAGTCAAAATGTTTTAAATTTATGTTGTTTATCGAAAATCATACTAGGACTATGGCACACTATAACATATTACATGATAATATAGCTAAATTGTTAAGTATTGTGGAGCAAGTAGCCATGATTAAATGCAAAATAAATAAGAGACAACAGACAGAATTGACAAAGTTTGTAATAAATAAGGAAAAGAAAAGGACAAAAAATAATAGAATGCAAGCAGACAATATATACAAGGCAAATTAATAATAATAAAGCAAAGCAGCAGTAATATGGCAAAAAGTTCACAAACTAAGAATTTGGATAAGGGAATGTGACATTGTGACTTCAAAATGAGATAGACTGAGTCAGATGAACCAGCCTATTGGCTAGAAAAAAATCCCAGCATGCATTTATGTGCTACTGCCTATAAAATGGGAAGGGGCAAGTGTTTTGCAGTCATTTCTGGAGATTGAAACCAACAAGTTGTGATGACTTACCTCAGAGCTGGAAACATGTGAAAACATGTCTTGCTTGCGTGATAAATCCCAAAGAAAACATGGCTACTGTCGAAGACGCGATTTATACACGCCGGTCTCGTCCAAAATGAGATTGTACCAGTACACATGCAAATTTCAGCAGTGTCGGACTAGCATATAAAAGGTGAGGCACCAGTGGCACGGCAGACGGCGAGTCATTCGGCGGACTTCGTGAAATAGTCAGACGTGCAAATAGACTGGCAGACCAAGCGGCGGTTGAAGTAGGTGCATTTGATTTGGGTGTCCGTTTCGCGACTGCCCAGTGTAACGGCCGAGAAAAGGAGTCTCGCCGCAATTCATTTCTTCGAGGCGACTGACGGCGAAGAATAACAGCTGGTTTGCCGGTGAACCCTCTCGTTACTTTTTTGTTTTTCTCTCTTCTTTTTGCTACACAAGTCACTTTGAAGTAAGTGAATGTCTTATTCGATGGCACAATAATTTGCTTGTACTTTACTTCTTGTTCATATACAATTTGTGAAGCTTCAGTAAGAAGAAGATAATGAAAATTAACACCTTTATCCACTGTGCCATGTGTCCTTGAGGACAATCTATAATTAAGGATAATAATTGTCTATATTTCTGAGATGAGGTATTATGTACACTATTTACATTGTTTGGATTATCATCCTCATCTCTGTTGCCATATTTATCAGCACGGTGGATAAAGGTGTTAGTTAGATCCAGTGACAGGACCCAAAGAGTGTGAGATCAATACCTGGTTAAGACAGTGGAGAACTTGGAGAGGAGAATTAACAGGAGATAACTGATATCCATTAGACACCCACCTGAAGTAGGCCAGAGCATACAACGGCCGAAACATTGTGATAAATATGGCAACAAAGATGAGGATGATAATCCGAACAATGTAAATAGTGAATAAAAAGCTTGTTTTCATATTTACTTATAAAATGATAATAAATATTGCATTGTAGTTAGGTGATTATATTTTGTTAATTTTGTAATTTTTTTTATAACTTTTTTGTACAAAAAGATTTCTTTTCAAATTGGTAAATAATAAATCTTTATAAAATGTTAAATAATAAATATCGCATTGTACTTGGTTCAAATATTTTTATGATTTTGTAAATAAACATTGCCAAGGGAGTCAAATTATGTAGAGTAATAGCAGTGTCAAGGGAATAACTGTCTTTTTGACAAACTGTTTATTTCAGTTAAACATTGCCAAATTCTCTTTGAATCTCACTAAACACATCTTTCTTTATAGTCGATTCCTGAACTAAGACGCTAAGGAAGCTAAAATTTTAGGGTTTTCTGATTCTTATAGGTGGGTAACTTATATTAACATTTCATAAAAGCCTGAGGTGCCCATGGGGCAATTGGTTGAGTTGATATGGAATGGCTCATATATATATATATATAATATTGTGGACTCCATATAGGTCCCATATCAATCAGCTCAATGTCTTCCACAAAAGTTGTCTCTGCATGATCTGTAGTTATACTTTTGACAATAAAATATCCAATCCTGAGCCTCTTGCAAAATGCAACATTGGTGAAATTGAGACCTTCCTGATGTAGTCACAACTTGGCTGGTCATGTCACAAGAATGAGTGACAACAGAATACCTAAGGTTCGCATGTATAGCCAGCTTGACAGTGGACAAAGGACTGTTGAATGGTCATGGATCAGTTATAAAGACAAGAGTAGTTCCAGAGCTGTCAATGTGCCCCATACTAACTTTGAGCGAGTTGCCCTGGATAAAAATAACTGGAGATATTTGTGCCAGAGTGGTATCAGAAATTTTGTTGCCTGGTTAAGAGACGAAAGACAACAGCAAAAGGCATCAGCAAATATTCCTGTTTCTATGTCCTGAGATGCTCACTGTTGCCAAATATGTAAACTTATATGCAAGTCTGAAGGGTCACATACGACACAAACATAAAAATTGAATGAGGTTGTTGGATTCTCGTGCATCGAAATTGATGGGAGTGTCCATCATCATCATAATATATATAAGTAAACATTGAAGTCAACACTTAGAGGCGACAGTCTGTTTTCAGGCCTGACGATTGCATCTAGCATGAAACAGCCTGTCACCTCCCAGTGTTGACTTCAATGTTCTCGTTTATATTTACACACGCTCTATCTCTGATAATGAGCACTTTATTCCATAAATATAGCACACCTTAAGAGTATATTTCTTCATATATATATATATATATATATATATATATATACATACATGAGTGAGTGGTGGGGAAGGGTTGGTGATATAAATCTAAAAAGACAGGTTTGCTGGCTGGATATCAAGAGAATCAGCAAAAGATTGAAAACATAAAAATTAGGGTAAATTTAAATTTTTTATGAACCAGTAGAGCAAGAAGATAAAGGAAAAAATTCAGATATGTGTTTCTATAGCACTTAGACAATGTACAAGGAACATGGGAAAGGATAGGGAATAGATTAAGAAGATACAGATAAAGGGTGAAACAAGATAATAAATCCATCTTATTTATTAACCTCATAGAATTTTTCATCTTTAGCCAAAATATGAGTGCTAACAAATCAAGAAATTATGCACTTATAAAACCTTGAGGCTTTTCCTTTTTTTTTTCTTTTTGTTGAAATGTTTGTCTCTTTATTTTCCAGATCTTCGTGACAATATCACACAAGCATTGGCCTGTTTTGCATGTTTCCCTTATTCTCTTGAAGCCTTAGAAAATTTGCCATTGGACATGTGAGAATTTTTTTGTTTTTTTACTTTCTTTGTTGTTATTTTCTGAATATTGCTTAATTCTGTCCCAAGGCCACAACTATGCGGTACTCAGTGAGGATCAAAACCATTGCTAATGATTTGCAACTTCAGCTTGTTGATCTCTGCCTTTATTGGAGTCTCAAAACAAAAAAATGCAAATCTTTTTATTATCTTCAACTATTATAATAAGCATATTTATTATCGTATAGTAAGTGCAGTCCTCACTGGGTGCATTCATGCCTGTGGCCTGCCCTGTTGGCAGAGTGTACAATATGCCAACTACATGCCTTGCAGAAGGTTAAGACTCGCCTGCTTTGAAAGGAAAGGGTTTATCTTTCAGCAATAGTATTCAATGTACAGACAAATAGTAGATTTGTAAATGTGAAAGATGGAATCTGACGAGAAAAAACTTCTGGCATGACACCAAACTTTCCTTGCAGTAGATGCAGCTATTGATTTGATGAAGGCGTTCCACTTCAAGTCCATTGAAAATGTGAGGCCAAGAAGGCTTTGAGATATCTGGAGCCAAAACTCAAGCTTTGCCATTATTATCAAGAGCTTGATATACAGATTCAATGATGGCTGTTAACACATCAGCAGTAGACCTGGCAAAATGGAAGCCATGTTGTTTGTCCAAGAGGAGGTCATGAGAAGTAAGATGCTTAACCACTTTAGCATTGATTAGAGCCTTGAATACTTTGCCAAAGAGCGGTAACAGACTAATAGAGTGATAGAGAAGGTTCTCCAGAGTTCTTAAACAGAAAGCAAGGAGGAGTACTTCCAACAAATGGGAAAGCAGGAAGCAGCAAGGCAATAATTGTAGAATTTGAAGAGAACTAATGCCAGCTTGGGAGTGCATTTCTTTAAGACAATTGCTGGGATCCCGTCACTTCCGCCTGCCTTATGGGAGTCTAATTTAAAAATGATATCTGAGACCAGTGACAAGGTTATGCACATATCACTTAGTAGAGCCTCTGTCCTAGGGGGGAAATTGTGTTTGAATACTCCAGATGAATCAAGTGTTGAGTTGGAAGAGAATTTACAAACAAAGCATTCAACCTTATCTTCTGCAGACATCAGGACTTCAAATTGATTGAATAGAGGATGGATTGAGGATTTGCTGTTTAGCACACTCTTGCAGAGCCGCCAATAATCTCTGGAACCGTACTTGCAAGATGCTATACGTTGTTTCAATCTATCAGAAAACAGTAATTTTGATTCTTTGAGGACACGCTTGCACTCATTACGAGCAGAGACAAAGAGACATCCATTGCAATCAGACGTGTCGCTCTGGTACAGATGGAAGAAGTGATTCTCGTGCATTATAGTAGTCAAGCATACAGGTGAGAACCAAGGAGATGAATGCAATTTAACTTGGTATTTCCTTACTAGAATGAAAGCCTTAGTGCCGGCTTTCACCCAGGAGGAGACCTCAGATGTACATTTATGAACAGGATGATTAAAAACTTCAATCCAAGGAACATCACAAAGGAAATCACGAAACGAGTCCCAAACCGCTTGTTAATAGCAAAGATATTTTGTTGGTAGGATGTTCTTGGCTGATGGGGGAATGGAAAGAGATGGTATTTATCAATTCACCCACAGGAATTGAATGTGGCACAAGGCCTTTTTAATGTGGGTATGTCTGAGCCCGTAGGCCCAGCCAAAAATAAAACCCATCTAAACCCGTCCAAGCGGGCTAGTTCCGTCAACCTCCCCGAACGAAACCCCACCCTTCGGCGGAGCAAGCAGAGAGTTCGACAGACACCCGACCCGGCAGCTCACAAAGCGCAGATACTACACTTTGATCCTAGCCACCGGGAATGGAAAGAGATGTTTACAGACAATACTGCATGATTAGAGTTGCCAAGAGGATAGAGCTGCATAGTACGACATGAGTCAGGGATAGAAGTAAAAAAGAGATTTAGAAGAGAAGCGTATCCATCAGGGTTTTCTTGGAAAATACGTGTAGAAGTCCACCACTTGTGTGAGAAATTGAGTGATTGAGAAGTTCAGGGATTAGATGCTAGCGAGATCAGTGACAGAGTATTTAAGCCACCGGTGCAGATGCAGTTACTTCTGGGAAGAAACAAAGAAAGAGAAAAAAAAATGAATGACCAATTCAGACAAGAATTAAAAATGGCTGAGACATCTGAAGGAACTTTGAAAGAAAAAACAGTCCTGGATTTGACTTCCAGTTATTTCAAAGAATTTATATTCCAATAACTTATTTATTTTGAGAGTCAATTCGCAGCCCACAGAACTTTTTGACCCTGAAATGTTTAACTGATATTCATATTTTGATTTCTTGTCTTTGTATTGTTTAAATGTGTGTCTATTTCTGTTTCAGTAAGAAAACGATGATGTATTCTCTCATTGCTCCTTATGACAACCGGTCATGGGCACAGACCAATTGGATTTTGGTGCGCATTTGGAAAGTGAGTTTCTCTATTGAGGCTTTCAAATCTCTATTTCAGATTGCATTTTAATTACACACCACACTCCCCTGGCTACAAGCTCTATCTCTCCCTCCCCTTCTTTTTTGCAGTCATTAGTTGCTAGCTCTGCTAATACTAACCTTATGGATCATCTGGCTTTCTTTTTCCTCCTAGGTTGGGGTTAGTGTGTCATCTTGATAGGGTTGAATTGGGTTTTCCCAAAATCCTCTGATATTGGGATTGACAGTGATGCCTAGTATGAACCCCTATATATACGTCATGTACCACAGACATGATTGCATTTTTCCTGCCATGGTAAACTTTTGTATCGGTACAACCAATCACACATTAGAATAATGCTGGAGTAAGAACACCTTCAATAAAATGTACAACATTGTTGATAACTCTAACAACAGTTTTAATGAATATGAAGAAAAAAAAACTGGCTGAATAAAATGTCTCTATTATCTACTGCAGATCAAGTTCTCTACGATGGTGATTTGGGAAATGTGGCAGATGCTGAAGTAATAACCAATTAATCAACTCTTCCTCAATTTTTCAAAGTAATAACCAATCAGTCAACTCTTACTCAATTCTTCCGTCATGCATGTATCCGTTTTTGCTCTGGCCCAAAAATTTTAGGCGTGCTCTTTATGGACAACTGTCTTACAAGCAATCCCAGGCTGCTCTGAACCAACTTCTCATTGAGCCCGCTCTCTGACTGTCAACTTAGGGCCTGTCGTTTATATAGACAACTCCCCCTCCAAAATTTGACATTGAATTATCTAATTTCTCCACCTGACCTTCTTAAGCTTTGGAGACAGTGGGAAAAAAAACATATGATATTTCCTTTGTTTAAAATCTTTGTAGATATCTTTCAGTAAAAGATGTTTTGTTCTTTGGCCAGAATAATCTATAAGAACACATACATTGTGAACAAATAGCATAGTGTAAACAAACTACTGAATTTTAATTTCTCGGGAACTAAGAAATTCCAACAAAACATTAATCATGTCTTCTTCTTATCAGCGAAAGTGGATCCTATTGGTTTTACTCAATTTTACTGAATCCTATAAAAGTTGAATTTGGGTTCAAATCCATCTTGAACTGTTCACAATTTAATTTTATTATTTTAAAACATAATTTTTTACCCATTCATTTTCACATTTATTCTCAATCATTGAAACCCACTGAGAATTTTAATAATTATTATCCAATTAGTTATCCCTCCAAATCACCATTCTTCAATTTTATGCATTTGAATGTTTAAACAGGGTCAGTACCCTGTTACACATGCATGAGCCCTTAAAATATTTTTTCTTTTTTGTTGTAAATATGTCAGACTGCATTCTCATTATAATTGTTATTTTATATAACAGCGACTGGTACAAAAATATGGTTTAAATTTTGCTTAACACTTCACACTCTTTGAAATATAAGATGGAGTATCTTCCCTTTCTTTTCAGGTACAACTCTATGAGTACATGAGTTTTTTTTTGTGTGTGTGTGTATATATATATATATATATATATATATATATTTTATCACATATAAGTGTACCATTCGTCCATGCTTTGAATATTGCCAATGCATATGGTCTGAATTCATCCTCTTTCCTTAAAGAACTCAATAACATGAAACAAACACAAGTTAACAACAGTTTTTCAAACTACCTCATTGACCACCAGACTAGAATGTTTTTTTCTAAAATAACAAATAGCAATACTGAACATTCAAATAAAAACAATAACATTAATATTTTATATAAAAACCAAATACACATTAACTGTAAGCAAGATGAATTTTCTCTTATTAACATTATAAAGACATACACAACCCCAGTTGACCAGAACCAAAAAAATTAAATTATCTACTATAAAAAAATCAAGAAACTTCTCTAAATAAGTCAAAACAATCTGTTTAATTCAGTCAGTCAGTCAGTTATGTGCGTTGCGTGATACACACTTATGTGATCATGTATGTTTTGATACATGACTGATGAGGCAGATTTTTCCCTGCAGTAGGTTGCCATTTCTTTCTGCGGTAGACCAGTTGCCATCCAAAGCTGTAGAACCCAGTCTGTCCTGCTATTTACCCATAGCTGGGAGGACAAAAGCACGTAAGTGAATGTAATGAGATTTCCTTAAAACTACTGAATGAATTATTTAAACAAATGAAAAAATAGTATTTTTTTTAAATTAATTTCTATTATTGTAAACATTAGACAATATTCTTTCCTTTTTCTATCCTGGTTGTCTCTTTATCTTAGTTATGTCCAGAGCAGGAAATTCATTTGGACTTAGCATAAGGACGAAAAGAACTTTAGAAAATAATGTCTTACTAAAAATGTTGTTTATACAGAAATTTTAGAGAGGTAATACAACTTTTCTCTGCCTATAGGACAGGTATTTGGATAGTTTATTGATAAATAGATATGAAGAGACTGATACAGAGAGAGAGAGATGAAGAGAATCTGGAGTTAGAAATCTAAATGCACTTAGCATAATGAAAAAAAGAACTTTAGAAAATAGATATCTTTCTGAAAATGTTATTTATACAGAAATTTTAGAGATAAGAGAATTTCTATGACTGCTTTCCACTGCTCTTAGGATGAGTTATTGGCTTGTAATGATAAAAATGTCTTAATTTCTGTGAAAATAATTTCACATTTTTCCCTGTTTTTTTTTTTTTTTAGGGCTGTGGCTTTGGCTATCGTTATACTCACTTGCCACATCTTGTTCCTTCAAAAGTTCAAACAACTGATCTTGGTTTGGCCAGCCTCCAGAGTAAGTTTACTTTATGCTGTCATCACACTAACTTTATACTGCTTCATTATGTGTTAATATTTCACTTTTCAAATAAAAATATTGATGAAGACTCTTCTTATTAACTAGCATGATACCTGGCATTGCCTGGTCAAATTTCATTTTTTTTATTCCTCTGTGTCATACAGATATTTTCTTTTTTTCTTCTTTGAGATATTTGCAAATGTCATAAAATGGTATCAGGAAAAACATATAACAGTTTGATAGGTTCAAACATTCGAGTTGTCATTTATTTCATATATATGTCATTTTATAATATAACTTATAATGACACCATTGTCACTTCCCTTTACTCCTAAACTATGATCAAAATGCTAAGGTGGTTACCACGTTCAGAGCAGAGAATGGTTTCTTTTAATAACCAACCAATTCAATTATAAAAAGCCATCAACAACATAAACACTTACTTGTAAAGATCACAAAATATCATTTGATGTGACTAACTAGATACTTTTAAAAATTTGCTTTTTAAAGATGACTAAGCAAATTTGATATCTCCATGAAAACAAGAAACTAAGTTGAACAAGATAGAAAACACTGGCTGGTATTTATAAATAATAAAACTCCATTTATTTAATGTCAGTTTTAGACAATATTTGCACACACAAATGCATGCGTACACTCACACACCTGTATAACAAACCAACTTTAGTATTTGTTTGTGAGTTGCAATGAAAATTAAGATGTAAGAAATACTAGGCTTAAAATTAAGAATCATTGACAATGCTTCATTTAAGAAATTCCAAATTATATTACTGTTATTAACAATTGGGGAATAACTGTCTGATTAATTAATGTCTAATTAATAATAACTGACAAATTTTTTATATAAGAAATTCAAAATAATATTACTACTACTATTACTAACAATTGTAGAATGACTGAAAATTGCAAGGGAAACTAAGATGAATGAAATATAGATAGAATTGAATTAAATGTTGAGTTCATAGAATTGCTTTTCTTTGTATAAAGTGTCGTCAAATGACTTTTTACTCCAGTTTTAAAGTTTGCTTAAATTTTTCTATTTTTCTTTTTCCCCATTGTAGAACCGTGTCCTTCTCGGGTATTTCAGAGTCTTCTCGCAGAAATGCTTCTTCTGGATCATGAACGTGCCGTCCGTTTCCTTGATACGATGCTCAGCCAACTCAATTGGTCTTTTTCTGAATTTATAGCCATTATGCAAGAGGTAAATCAATAAATTCTACATAAAAGGAAACAATTCTTTTATTAACACTTGATCAATGAAAATCCTTTTCTATGTGATTGTATAAGGCATTTTCTTGTTAAATTATTTACAATGCATTTCTATAGTAAATTTTTACCTATTATACATCTAATATGTTAGTAAGGCTGGTATTATTTCCTGACCACTGACAATCCCTTTCTTCCTCATTTGCAATGCATTTCTATAGTGAATGTTTATCTATTATACATCTAATAGCCCTATTCTGTCAGTAAGGCTTGCATTAATTCCTGACCACTGACAATACCTTTCTTCCTCATTTGCAATGCAATTCTATAGTAAATGTTTAAATACCCCACCTTCAATAAAATGGACTGCTCCACCATCATTATAGTATGGTATGTACAGGGTGCAATGGGTAAATTGTTGATATTTTGTATTTTTAATTTTGTACGTGCACATTGTTTGTGCTTGATTATGTCAACTGCACAGTATAGTAGGGTCAGTTGGGCACCGTCTGTGAGAAAAAGACCACCATGATGTAATTCACTCCACCAGAAATGTGGATATGGCATGCTGTGCTGCTTGGCATTCATGCTGGAAGCTCCAATACAAAAATTTCAGAGTGTTTGGAAGATGCAAAAGGATAGTGCAGTGGATTTGGATGAGTTTAATGGTGATTATGAAAGTGTTTGGAGTGATCACTAGTGATGGCGATGTTCATGCCACCATTCATCTTCAGACAGGGTCACAAACTCAACACAGAGGCCTACATTAAGTACCTTGAGGAGGTAGTGCTGTCCTAGGTCAGGAGGGTGGCTACTAGAAGGGCCTATGTTTGCCAACAGGGCTCTGCATCAAGCTACATAAGCAGTAGAACCCAGTCATGGCTGTCAAACAATTTCAGTGACCACATCAACTCTTACACTTGGCCAACTAACTCCCCAGACTGCAAACCCCTTGATTATTATGTTGCGGTTATAGTTGAGTGAGAGGCCAACAAAACTTGTAACAACAAAGATGAACTGGGAGCAAGGATTATGGCAGCATTCACCAACATTTCACCAATAAGATTCAATAGTGACACTCTCAAGAATTTTCCTTCTAAGAAAGTTACTTTCTCTTTGGATAAGTGTGATGTTCTTTAGATCAAAGTTGTGTTTGAATTTAGTTCTATATATATCTAATGCATTTGATAAATTCTAACAAATTAGAAGAAGGCCGGAACATACAATGGCCGAAACGTTGTGAATGCGACAATAAAGATGAGGACAACAGTTCGAATAATGTAAATAGCATGTGTGTGTATATATGAGTGTGTGCATGTGTATATATATATATATATATATATATAACAAAGTAACAGATTCTTTTCATAATTTTTTCTTTCCTTTTTTTTTTTTTATTTTTATTCCTGTTTTTGTAGTGAGTAAGACACATTTAGCTGCAGTATGCATAAAAATAGCAGCATGTTTAGATTCAAATGCCTTCAACTGTCATTGAACATTTTCAAGCACTGACCCATTATGTTATGTCCTCAAATGTGGTTAGTGAAACCTGTACAGGAGAAGGATGCTTTTACACATCAGCTGTTGGAGAGTCTGGCAGTTATCAGAAGCTGAAACGTCTTTTAGTTTTTTCTGCTTGATATATACCATACACCCCCTCTATCTCAGCCTATCAGCTGTCCTTGTATTTTTATTAACTCTGAGTCCAAATGAGATCACGATCTTTTTTAAAAGAGTTCTTGTATCACATTTCCATTGGCTAGAAATTCATTTTCCAGATAGGAGGATCTTTGGAAGGTGATAATCTTAAATCCTTATCACCTAACAAGTCAACTGCAGTTGCATCTTTATGCAGGCCAGATGATATAACTTCTGTTTTTAACTATCATCTAAATACAACCATTTCCTCAGATCAAAGAAATGACTCCTTTAGATATTAAAGAATATAATCCTTCATCAGACCTTTATGGAACCTGATGCTACAAAGCCACATAGAGCTTTACCAAGAAAAAAAAAACCCACATGATTTGAAAACTTCCAATAGCAGCAACAACTAAAATGAATATATCACATGTAATTAAAAGTGAATATAATGATATAATCAAGATGTTAACTTTCCATACTACCTTAAACAAAAGGTTAGGAAGGAAATCTCCTCTTAATACTTGAAAGAACAATAACAGTGCACCTGAGAAATCTAATTTCCTGAAAAACTGTTTCAAAGGAAAGATTTTATAAATTTCAGGTGACAGTAATGTTAACTGTTCAGATAATTTCCTTATTTCACCATTACATTTTGAAATACTCCAGTTTATAACCATGTTTGTTGTTAGGTCCAGGATGTTTATTGTTAGATGTTTGGAGATCATTTGTTACAGAAAGCAATGGGAAAATGATACATATATCGGGATTGTCAGATAACGTTGGATTGGACACTCGACAATAAACTTTCTTTTTTCTTTTTTTGTTCATAGTAAAGAATAAGGTTTATGAGAGAAATCCCCATCTTATAGACAAATTAAAAAGACTTCATCTTGGAAGGATTTATTGACATTGAAGCAAATTGAGATTTGTGTTGTAGCATGTGTCACAGTGTTCTGGAAAGGTTTGAGGAATGTTGCAATATTAAAGGAGGACATTTTGAGAACTTACAAGATTGTAGCAAAGAAAATGGCAACTTACCTCATCAAACCAATGTGACAGTGTCACATGTATTCTACATTGGAAAAGAAAGAAAGCGTGCATGTGACTCTTGTTTATATATGAGATCATCATGTAATTTTTTGGTCACAACTCAACCAATCACTGACTTCTCGACCTACATCTAAACAGTTGCAAATCACTTACTTCTTAGATATTAACAGGTGAAAATCATTGACTTCTTGGCCTACATATAAACAGGCGCAAATCATTGACTGCTTGGCCTACATATAAACAGGTGCAAATCATTGACTGCTTGACTTAAATATAAACAGGTGGAAATCATAGATTTCTCGGCCTACATATAAACAGGTGCAAATCAATTCTACAAATCATTACACAGCATGAAGGAGAATTTCTTGAGATGAGCAGCTGCTGTATCAAATTTTATCACCTCAGAATTCTTCAACAGAGATTAAACAGTGTTAAACAAATGTAATTCTAATAAGTTGGTTGGTTGATTTTGTTTAGTAGCATATCAACCTCTATGAGTTATTTAATACTGAAATCTAAATATGTTGTATGTAATTTTATACTTTCAGGGTAAAGGTATATTTTTTTAGATATACAGGGTGTGTCAAAAATACTTTTACAAACTTTGGGAGTGAGTTTCAGACACCAAAACAAGGTAAAATGTCTGTATAAACACATGTCCAAAAGGCTATCATTGTACCTCAACACAGTAACTCATAACAAATGCTCAAAATGTTCTTTGCTTGCTTCTACACATGCATGGACCTGTCAGATAATTGACTGGCAGACCCTTTCAGATACTCCCGCACGCCGCCAAATGGTTTCGCAGACCCCATGACATGTTGATGAAGCATCTCTGCATTATTAATGTCTGCTGCATAAAGCAGTTGTTTTAGGTGGCACTACAGATAAAAATCCAAAGGACTGACGTCAGTGGAACATGCAGGCCATTGAACCGGTCCTCACCTACCTATCCATCTTTTATGGTAGATGTCAGCCAGTGCATTGTGAACAATGTGACTAAAATGTCCTGAAGCCCCAACATGCATGAATCATATGTGTCTTTGTATAAGCAGGTTTACATCCTCTAGCAGGTCTGGAAGTGTGTTCGAAATAATGTCCCTGTCAACAGCTCCTGTAAGAAATGCTAGAACATATAGACCGTACCAGACAGTCACCAACAATTTACATTAACCTTGAACTGATGCTGGTGTCTAGCTTGTATTGTACTATAGGGATTCCAATCCGCACACAACTTTTGGTTGTGTAAATTTGTTATTCTGTCTCTTCCAAATATTGCTAGTGAGATGTATGTGTGGGGAAAATTGTGAAAATGGCCTACCTCAGAAACGCCCGTGAATCTGTGCGTCATGCAAACTCCGATTGCTCAACGATAAAAAGAACCAAAATGGCGGCGCCCATGTTTTATGCCGGGCGGTCTCGGACAGTTAACGCGAAATCTCGTTATCTCGTCATTCACATGAAAATTATGGTCGGTCCTCGGCTGTATAAAGCAGGCGCATTTTTGTTTCTGGGCACTGAGTTTTTTTGCTCATGAGAAGGTTGGACGTGTGACACTATTTTGTCAGTTACCCTCCTCGCATTTCCTATCTGCTATTATCAGTTGAGTCGTTGCTTTACCATCACAGTATGTCATGCTAGGGCCACTTGACACATGCTTATATCTGGATCGTCTCCAACAATGTGTAGAATGAGTTCTTCATGGTCAGGCGTACAGGAGGATCTCAGTCTTCTTCAATCTATAATTTGTGGTGCAACGGATCCTGTCTCAGCAATGCAACAATAAACTGCAGCAAAGGTTGGATGATTCAGCAGCCTTCAGTTTGGAAATGCAATCGGATACAGCTGTGCAGCCTTGCTACCATATCTAAAAAATCCTATCTGCCTGCTCACAATACGAATAACCTGCCATTGTTAAATGGAACACTTCTCCGTCAACTCACTATTGCAGATGTGAAACATTGAAGACAGACTAGCTACAAATGTACACGAATGACAATAGAACATAGCACCATCTACCATAAACTTTCTTTAAACTTAATAACTTTTAAAAAAAGGGAAAGATTTGTGGACATATGTTTATATGGACTTTTGTCCTTGTTTTGGTGGGAGGAACTCAACCCAAAGTTTCTAAAAGTATTTTTGATACACCTTGTACATAGCTTGTAGATCATAAAATGCATTGTTGGTCATTTTACCAAATGTATTTTTATATTATTTTAGGTTTGCATTGATTGTCATTTTGCTATAAAAAATGTATTATTGGTCATTTTATTATAAAAATGTACTGTTGGTTTACTATTTGGCTATAGCTTGGACCCTAACAGGCACTACCACCTAGAGTCAGGGTGGATCTGAGAAAAACAGCATTTAAGAGGTGGTTTCATGCTCCCTCAAAACCTCTAATCCCCAATCAGAGGCCTTGCTGCCAGATGTAGTTTATCATCATACCCAGGACTAAATTGTAATAAGTGAATGTATTAAAATATTTAAAAAAAAAAAAAAAAAAAAAAAAAAAAAAAACTCTAAAGTGTATACCTACTTTTGGCCCCACCCTATGACACTACTCAATTGATAGATATTAAAGAAAAGGAATCTGTGGATGCCTCCATCCTATTGAGACATGGCACTTAATGAGGAAGCAAACACTGGCTTCTAAGCCTAAATATATTTACTTCAATAATTGCATTTTTCTGAGTCTTCATCAGTTTTTTTTTTTTTTTTTTTTTTCTTTTTCAGATTCAACAAGTGGTTAGTAAAACAGAACCACGGTTCATTGATACTCGCCAGTTGAAATTCTGTGCAACTTGCTTTGAGATAACTATTTCCCTCCTGCGTGTTGTGGAGATGATTGTCACTATTGCCCCATCGCTGTTCACCGATTGGTCAAAACCATCTGCAGAATTGCTCCTTACCAGATTAATACAGGTGAGTTTGAAGAAATCAAGCATGTATTCTTGAAATTCCTTGTTTACACAAGGGGGTTTGTTAGTACATCTTTCTGTGTTTATTAAATACTCATACACAACTCCCATAAAAAAAATAAGTCATACTTCAAATATTGAATTATAAAAGATGTTTAAAGATAATTGAAACACTTTATATAAAGTGGTTTAAGTCAAGTCTTAATCTTACCATCTTTGAAATGGGATGAAACATGGTGGTGATGTTTTAAAGGCACCCCAACACAGAATTACAATTACTCTCATCCAGTACAACTTAGAATTACTACTACTTCTATCCAATACACCTTTTAAACAGAGGAAAATGTACTAACAATGAAGCACTTGAAAATGACTAATAAATTGGCTGAATGAGCTTTGGGCAGTAAACACTCGAGGCAGTTTCTATACTTACTTAGCAGCACCCCCTACACACACACACACACACACACACACAACAAGGAAAAGTTTAAAAACATTAGAAACACTAAAAAAAAAAAAAAACTTATAAAATTTTTCTTGTTTATTACATTCAGTTAAACACATACAATGAAAAGAGTTGACATCAAATTAAGCAAGAATAATGTTCATATTTTTAAAATAAATATTCTTTATTGCTCCAAAAGAATTGCCTCCTCTTTTATTACATTGGCTCATCTGTGATGGATGTTTTGTACTATGGTAGTAGAAGCTGAACCTTCCTGCAAGTAACCCATATTTTTCTTCTTTTTTTTTCCCCTTGTTATGCAGATAATGCACATTAGACTAGTAAAAGATGCCTTCCAAAAAACAAGCAATGTACTAAAAAACAGGAAAATTCCATTAGAAACAAAGAAAAGAATATTGACCTGTTACGTAATATCAGTCCTCTTCTGTGGCAGTGAATATTGGACAATCCCCTTACAGATCAAACAATAGAGTTTGAGGAAAGAGGGATTGGTTCTACAGAAGGATACTGAGAATATTATGGACAGAGTATGTCTTAAGAAAAATGGAAATAAAAAGGACACTTAAAATCGGAAAGAGACAATTGAAATTTCTGGAAGCCATAATAAGCAAAGATGGCATAGAGACCTGAACACACTCCGGCCTTATCAAAGGCAAAAGAGACGAAAGGAAGCAGTTGGCTAGCCTACCTGATGATCTTCTGTGAATGGATGGTAGAACAGAGAATAGGATGGATGGTAAACAGACAAACATACTAACAGCTGCATGGGATAGGAGGTTGTGGAGAGCCATGATTGCTCCAAATCCTGAAGGAACATTAGTTCATTAGTCATCATGATGATAGTTATACTTATGCCTGTTGTAGTTTTTACATGGAAATAAATAAGAGGCATTATTTTTGGTGCATCGTCCATACAAAGAATGACATTTATAAGCAGCCAGGTGGTCTCTGGAATTTTCTTGTGTACTTAATTGCAGCTCTAGACAGTTTTCCAATATTGCATTTAAATATCAGTGTCTGCTTCTTTTTTTTTTTCTCTCTTTCTCTTTCCAGCTTTTGTGTCAAATCTTAAATCGGATTGCAACACGAAGTGGAATGTTTGAAAATGTCATTTCATTGCCGTTGCCTGGTAAGAATTCTGTCTCGCTGTGTGATATCACAAGTAAAACATTTCTCTTTTCTTTTTTTTTTCTCTACTTCATATCAAGAGACCTACAATCATGTAAAGAGTGGTTATTTCCACACAGTATTAAAAGGAATTAATTTTCTTTATGTTTCTTTTTATGTTTAACCATTGTCTTTTGTATGCAGTAAGTAACCCAAATGTTTATCTTGGACTGGTGGTGAAATTATTCTTCTGCCTAAGGGGTAATAAAACAATTAGGATTTGGTCAGAGAAAGGGCAAAGGAAGGAGATTTTTGTTCTTATCTTTTTATGACCCCTGTATCTTCTTAGACCTAACTCCATTTTTGTGTATTGTGTGTTTTTGCTTGTATATGTATGCATATTCCTTCTCCATACATATATATTGTTTTATTATAAGGAATTAGTAATATATATATATATATATATATATATATATATATATATATACACACACACACTTCCTATGTTGTGTAGGGTTCCTGTGTGCATGTGCACACGCGCTTGTGGGTAGTTTGTTTTTGTCAGGGTGTGTGTGTGTGTGTGTGCTCCAATCAGTGTATTTGGTCATTATGTGTGTATGCTGTGGGGTTATGATGATGATGATGATGTGTGTGTGTGTGTGTATATATATATATATATATATACACATGTATCATTCTTACATCTATGTTTCATTCAGTTTTCTGTATGGTACAGAAACAAAATGGTGTGAATGTTTAATTGCATTTGGAGACTCTCTCCATAATGCACTTAAGGATAATTACACAAGTGCGTTTGATCAATTTATTGTGTCGGGCAATGCAGACGGGTACAACAATTACTTTCCCCAACCCCACAACCCCCTTGTAAATCTGGGTAAATACCAGGACAGCAGGAGTTCTTTAACTCTAGTAATATAGCTGGGTCTTAAACTGAGAAATAGGGAAGGGTTGGGTATCAGGCCAGCACCCTGGCTGCATAAACATAATAGCCTTAAATTCAAATTTTTTTCATTTTTGGTGTCTGATGTATGTAGATGTGTAACCTAGCCAGTCAACATTCAGGACTTTTTGAATTTTTGTGATTATTATCCTGAATATAAATTTTTCATGGAGGATTCCAAGATTAGTGCATTTTGGTGTTAATAAATTAATTTCTTATCGTGGATATGAAACATTCAAATATAAATCTAAGTGTCCTTGTATCTTCAACATTTCTCATGTAACAGACATTTGCTGTATTTCTTCTTCCCCTTTCTCTTTCTTTCTCTCACTCTCTATCTTTCTTGTATATATATGTATATATATATATATATATTTTAAGACATTTTTATATATATATCTATAGTTGGGATCAAATATTGATCAGAATGGACACGTCGTCCCTCCTTGAATTCAGAACAAAACAAATTATACTAATGTTGGTTTAAATGAGTTTACTGCACATGAGACATGATTAACCAATGAAAATCAAACAGCACAAAAGTAAAAATACCAGAATTTCTTTCTTCTTTTTCTTCCTTCTCATTCTCTGATGAAGCTTTGATAAAAGTGAAACCTGTTAGGTCGATAAACGTTTCCTATCTTTCCTATATCTTATCAACTTTGTACTATTAAAATTGATCTTTTTAAATGAAGTCTAAACTAAGCACTCCTAATGCCATCTAACCACAAAAACAATACAAGATTTTAGGCCAACTCATTTTCTCTCACTATTTCAGGTATGGAGGTTGTCACACACTACCCTATTCTTGCTGCCACAGTTGGCATTCTTATACAATTAATTCTTCGATCTCGAGGCTCCAGGTAAGTGCATAGAATATGCTATTGATTAACTGAAATGTCAGTTTACATCTTAACACCTTTGGTGTTC